AGAAAAACTTACACTTTGCTGCAACAAGCCCCCCATAAAGTCTGAAACAGGTCTAGTGTAGGAAAGGGCTGTTGGACTCGCCAGAGGTCAGTTCCCTTGTCCTTCTCTCTTCCTTCACATACCTTGCACAAGCCCATCTCAAAAAATCGATTTTAAATCAGTTTTGCCGGCCAACCAACAATGTCCATACAAGACCATCAGAGAGCCTTTGTTCCGACTCTGGCCGCCCCTCATGGCCCGAGTCTGAGCTTTGAAGGCACATCCTACTTCAACAAACCAGCTTCTTCATTCAACACAAACACACCATCACTTCCACAATCACAATTCCCAACTCCTGGTCTAGAAGCATTCAGTCTGTCGCCCTTTCCAACTGGAAACCTCACAACTCCACGATCCTTCTTTGGCTCGTTGAACTTGGAAATCAATCCATTCGAAAACTCGTTTAGTACTGGAAGTACCACCAACGAGCTCATTGATCTACCTTATGGCAACAAGCCACTACTACCACTACCGCTGGCTCGTTCTCCTGCATATAACTCAATAATAGAACGAGCTTCAGCTGGGTTTCCGTGGACTACTCCTCTTACCGAAGAGATCAATCAAAAGAGGGAACCTGTCCCTTCACCGAGGTAAAGCAGTTAATCCAGTGTCTCATTGATTATACTATGTCTTGTTTTCCACTACTTTCCTGAATCGCACTTGATGACCTGGCACTCTCCTATAGGTTGCCATCATTCGCTGCTCTTGTGGAATCGTCAACGAGGACAGTCCATGATATAGACGACCATCATAGCGGTAGTACCAATACATCGCCCGATATGGCGGCCGCCTCTTACGCAACACCGGATTCCATGCCTCCAGTATCATCTTCAGCAACAACATCACGTACTTTATCACCCATACCCTCTGTAGCACCCTCCGTCGTATCCCCGTCGCGTATCCTTACATCCGCAACAGCAGTAGCATCGGCGTCCTCGCCGAAATCCAAAAATAACAGTAATAATAATACCACTAGCCCAGCACGCCCAGTCCGCAAACCACGAACACGACGACCCACAGGCACACTCCCATCATCACTCGACTCGCTAATAGCAGCCACACGAGTAAAAGCATTCGAAGCATTCCCGTCGCCAATTAATCTCGACCATATAACTGCTGACGATATGGCGCTCGCATCGCATCAAGCTACACAAGCTGCCTTGCAGCAGTTTCAACTAGCTCAGGATGAATATGAGGCTAAATCATCCCTCATGCATAAGCAGGAAAAGATAATGGCAGGAGATTATGACGATGAGGTGGACAAGGACACGGGCAAGAAGAAGAGGGGTAGGAAGCCGGGGTCCGAGCATCCTGAAGAGAATAGCGTCAGTCCGAGTAGTGCAAAGAGGGGGAAGGGAAGGAGTGATGCTGATCAGAAGAAGAAGGACTTCCTTGGTAATAATGAAAGGCAGAGACAAGTTTTTATCGACATGTTATGATAGCTGACACTCTCAACTTGTACTAGAGCGCAACCGCCAGGCGGCCTGGAAGTGTAGAAGAAAGAGGAAGGCACAATTGGCTCTTAGTCAAGCAAAGACAGAATTCCTTGAGCTTCATAATGATAATTTGATGCAACAAGTGAATGCTTTGCAACAAGAGGTACGACACCAAAAGCGATACTTTTAAGGGCATCTATGACGCCAAATGGCTTTCACACGGAAAACTTACAACCATCACGGCTTTCTCCAGATTCAAAGTTTGAAGGTTATGATTGCCGGATCTCAAGATTGTAAGTGCTAATCATTAATGATCATGCAGATTCGGTTGTACTAACGGAATTCACTCATAGGTCCAGCTGTGTCTTCATCCTAACCCAGACTTTTAAAAAATAGTAGTTTTCACTTGTAGTTTTCCTTTACCTTAAGATCCAAACAGTAAATCTTTATCTTCTCTCCTTCGGAAAGGCGTCGGCCGTGCGAAGCTACGTCCTATGGAATTCAGCGACAAGATGACCAAAAAATTTATCCAGCGATTTATGATTTGGCTTGCTTTCATTCTCTGTGATAATAAGATGGCTGACTAGCTGACTGGCCTTCTTATGACCTTTGCAATATTTCGATCGGAACGAGCTGAAAACACACATTGGCGATGATCAAATAGCTGTTGTAGCCAGGCAAAGGTGAAAGATTGAGCTATTTATCTTGGCTCTTCAGGCAATCTAGGACACGTGGATGGAGGACCGCTCCGTAACTTGGAATGACGCTCAAACCCGAAGACTTTGTCATAGCGCTGAACAATAACTATGTACCGCCTGTACTGGACCCTGATGATTTCACGCAAGATCACTTTGAGAAATTCGCATCAGGTAACATTCCAATTGCCGTCCCTTCTCAAACCGTTGAGACATCAAGTTTCTGATTCCTCCAATTTCCGTCATCTAGACTCAGGCTTGAACGAAGAGAAGCTGAGACTCCTTAGGAAATGCCACCAAGTGGAGGCGCTACTTCAATATCTGGTGCCGAAGATACTCCAAATGGTGCGTTTGTCTTTAGACAGAAGGCGATACATCATAGTATATTATACTTCAGGTACATCCCGTATCAAGTGTTGGTCACGTCTCGCTGATAAGTAACACAATCCCATCGTCCGCCCCCAATTCGGTCCTACTCCAATTGGATGGATTCCATTTCGAATGCGTATTTTAGTCCTGCTAGTTCTTGGTGAGTTTACTCCTGTCCGTGGCATGTGCTTGACGTTTTGTTTTTGTTTTGTGACTAGGATCTCATCAACAATTTCATCTACATCAGCGCCTTCACGTCTCAGTTATTAGCCAACACTCTTCATTGGTACCACACGGTGCTTGACTCTACAAATTACAATGGCTTGTAGTTCTATACGGCATACAAGCCTGGATCTCTTGCTGGACTTTCATGTGCATGGAGAGATCCGACAACGCAGGAATGTAATCGTCAGTCTGATGGCCAAGATCCGAGGTAAACAGAAACGGGCTTATAACTTGTTGCCGCTTTAATCTCATTACCTGGTTTCCTTTTCAGGTATTTTCCGACATCATGGGTATCTTGAGGACGCTGAGTTGTGATTGAAATCATTCCCAAACTGAAGCAAGTCTTACGAATTTCTATGCTAGTCGCGTTGCACTGTATCGGTTTCGGGTATGTTCAATATTTACTCTCTCGATATATATGACAAGAATGCCATTAATGTGGTGTTTGAAATTTTAGGCGGTTGTCCTCCAGGAACGAGTTGCATGTCATCCTCTGGCCGTACGTACGGAGGCTGCGTTGGCCCGGCTGCTTCTCCATACCCTTCATCAAATCCAGTCGTAGTTGTTTCAGGAGGAGCTGCTGCTTCTCTCCCGGCAGGTGTTAATCCATCTGGCGGTGCATCAAATCCATCGCAAGGCGGATCCGCTTCTGGTCCGACTGGATCAGGTATATACTCAATTTAGAGAGTAAGCAAAGACAGCTTGATTTTTTTACAACTTTTCTGAAAAAGCGGGTGGAAACAGTTCCGTCATCACACCAGTCGATCTGGCACTGCTACAGTTACTGCAACTGCAACAGCTGACCCCAATAGTACAAGAACCAGTAATGGGCCAAACGTACCAGCAATTGCTGGAGGTGTATCGGCTGTTGTTGTGGTTTGCGTCCTTGCAGTGCTCTGGTATTATCGTTGTTTCTGATTCTTTGTTTAATTTTTCATGCATGGATTTACATTAAATGGACGCTCATTTCTCTAGTTTCGCTTGTAGAGCTCGCATCTTTGGTCTCAAACGGGACGACGACGAGGATAACAGTCAAGTCCAGACAGTGGATCCTCGTGCTTTGGCTGTCGCTCAATCGGTATCATGGTGCTGAGACGCTTACAAAATGCCGCATTCAGACTATTTTAACCTGGCCATTCGTTTCCAACTTTAGGCTCCTCTGCCACCAACGTATGACGACACGTTTTCAACCACATCTACGCTGCCAACCCCACCAGAATCGTCACGAGATTACTTTATTGCTCTTTCGTAAGTTCTGCAACTATGTTCAAGCTCCAATGAAAAAGCTGAATGGCAATTCCACTTTTTTTGCTTAGACCAGTCACAGACACGACTATCGCTCAATCCCTTTCGATGAATGTTGGAGACAAGCTGCTAGCAACCAAAGCTCGAAATGATGGGTGGGGAAGGGCCATTAATATGACTCAGGACGCCAGTGTTTCAGGGTTGGTGCCAATACGGTTCTTGATGGCGTTGATTGATGGCAGTGCCGAATGGTGTGGATGCCGATATGGACATGGCCAAATCGCAATACATTAATACACAGCCCATAGATGTAGTGGATGCTGGAACAAGCTCGTGATCTTTTACGGGCCAGTGGTGGGAGGGAGGGATTAATTGTAATATAATATTACATTTTACGACTTTGCTACTTACGAAATACGCTGTCTCTCTTTATTTCTTACGTAAGTTCGAAACTTTTGATCGTTGACGTCTCGTCTGGATCCAACCAGAAAGGCGTCTTGCGTTCCTTTGCTTTTGTTTGTAAGAAGCTCTTGCAGTTTCTGTGTCTCGAAAGTTGTAAAGTTGAAGGGAGAGGAGAGCGGATCATGTTCATATACGCATACATAAAGTAAGTTCATCTTATTGGTCGTCGACTAGATCAGGATTAGCAAGAAAGAGTTGAAATTGAGCCACATTTCGAGCAACTGTGCGATGGATGAGTTTGAAGACTTGCTTGATGGGGTTTACTAGTTTGAAGAGGAGATGCGATGAGTCTTTGTAGTTCTCGTCATGATGTAGAGCTATGCTACCAGTTGCAACGATGTACATGATGTACATGGCCACTCACAATTTCTCAACATTTGTCACATGTAGCTACCTGGTCGAGAAGGAACGAGGAGAGATTATTCAGGTACTAACATATCTCACAGACTGCTCTCAACCCTTCATATCATCTTGATCTTCATCTCACTCCTCATCCTCGCTCGTTCCCAAACAGCTCCTTCTGCGCGGCATGGAGAAGAACGTTGCCTCACAGTATGATTCCTGTGGTCTCGCAATCGACGGTGATGATGATGAATCCACTCTTGTATACAAACAAGTCGGACCAGTCTCTACCAAGGAACTCAAACAGCGAATCATGAACTTGAAAGAATTGGATTTGACTGTTCCGTTTATCTCGCATGTGGCTATATCGCATAAGCGGTGGGCTACACATGGAAAGCCGGGAATTGTCAACACTCACCCTTTGCGAAGTGATGCGAGGAGTGAGTTTGTTATTGCCCATAATGGTGAGTTTTGCGAGTTTTCCTCATGTTTTTTTTGATGACCTGGCACTACACTGGATTTTGGTGGTTCACCAGCAATGAATTAATCTTGGTTCCTGCATACTATGTGTTGATCGCTCAACTTGATTTTGACCAAAACTTTGATTATGCCAGGTATCATAACAAACCACCGAGAACTCAAAGAGTCACTTTCTCGTCGCGGTATATCATTCGACGGAGACACAGACTCGGAAGTCATTGCCAAACTATGTAAATACGTATACGATGCTCACACCCGTACCTCCCAACAAAACCAACTTCAACAAGCCCCAACATTGCCTGATATCATGAAGGCAGTACTACGACAAATTGAAGGATCGTTTGCTTTGGTCGTGAAATCTAAGAAGTTTCCACATGAAATGATTGCTGCGAGACGAGGTTCTCCGCTGATGATTGGCGTAAAATCGTCCAAGTAACCTTGCCGTTTTGACCATCACACCCAATGCAAACAACCTAACTCGGTTCGTTTTCTGATATAGATCAATGAGGGTTGATTTTGTGGAGAGTAGTGAGTTGGGTGATGTTGCTGATGATGAAGAAGGTAAATCTGAGCCAAAACAAAAGATTACATGAGTTGAATGCCTAGCGATGGAAGCTTACACAAAAGGCCTCTTCATAGGTGAAGGATCAGACGATGATGGATTCCTACCACCTGAAACACCACCTAGATTACGTCGAACAGTATCACGATCGTTCCTTTCACAAGATGATTTACCACAAGCTGCTGAATATTTTATCAGTTCTGACGGATCTGCTATTGTGGAACATACGAGACAAGTGTTGACGCTTGAAGATGATGATATTGCGCATTTCACTGAAGGAGGTATGAAGCGATCTTGACATGGTGCATATCACGCTTAGCCAAAAAGAAGGCTTCCTAGGGACTGAGGTATGAGTCTCACCATCAAACCCATTCTCTTAGAACTACACATCCACAGACTCAGACGAGACCAAGAAGATGCACCTATAATCCGCCAAATCCAAACTCTAGAACTCGAACTTGCCCAAATCCAAAAGGGATCCTTTGAACACTACTTTCAGAAAGAAATCCATGAACAGGTTGAAGCCGTTACGAATGTTATGAGAGGACGTGTTGATACACGATCTGGACGACTTGTACTTGGAGGATTGATCAAACATATGGCGAATATTACGAGGAGTAGGAGGATTGTGATGTGTGGGAGTGGGAGTAGTTATCATGCTTGTCTTGCGGTGAGCTTGCAATCGTCTCGGGAATTTGATTTTTTTTGTTTGAGCGGAAGCAAGTCAAAAAAAAGCGTCCTCATCCTCTACATACCTTCCAGACGAAATCACTCTTTTCGGAACTACTCGATATTCCATGCAGTGTTGATCTACCATCCACACTCATTGACGAAAACTTGCCTATATTTCGAGACGATGTAGTGATTCTTGTTTCGCACAGTGGTGAAACTAGAACCACTATTGATGCACTCGCATATTGCAAAGAACGTGGAGCGCTTTGTCTTGGTGTTACGAATACTGTCGGATCTACTATATCTCGAGATACACATTGTGGTCTTCATGTTCATTCTGGGCCAGGTAAAATCATATTTTGAATACCGCAGTGTTTTCTGCAGTCTTTTTGGTGGTTGCGTTTACTTACACTTCCTTTTTTGACTTGACATTTCTAGATGTATCAGTAGCATCAAACAAGGCCTTCACATCTGAAATAGTCGGACTCATTCTTATTGCAGTCTTCCTCTCTGAAGACCGTGGACAATTCCGGGCACGACGTACTGAAATCATTCAAGCATTGGACACATTGCCTAGTAAGATGCAACAGGTGCTAGCATTGGAGGGGCAAATCAAGAGTATCGCGCAGAGGTTGGTGGGTGATGGGATTGAGCATTTGTTGATGGTACGTGTGGTAGCGCAAATTCGGACAAACCTAGTGTTTTTTTGTTTTGAGCTAATTTAGGGTCTTTCTTTTTGGTAATAGGTTGGACGAGGACAGATAGCTACTTGTATGGAAGGAGCTTGGACGGCTAAGAGAGCTGCACGAGTTCATGCTGAAGGTAAGGTTGATTGAATATGACGAATCGCAACTCTCGCATGGGTTAAGCTTTTTTTTTTTTGCTTTTAGCTATCCCGGCAGCAGAGCTACGTTATGGACCAATTGCACTTTTGGGAGCTGGTTCCGATAAGAGTGCAGTGATTGTCGTGATGACGCGTGATCGGGTTTACAGTGTAGGGCATCTGCATAGGACCATTTCATACCTTCGCTTTTGTTCGTTACAAACACTCATTTATTAAATCTCCTCTGCCACATAGTCACTAGAAACAGTATACCGCCACATAACATCCCGCCTCAAACAAGCAGCAGCCTCATCCTCCCACATCCCAACTTCACCACACTCGGTAACATCCATCGAATCAGACAGTCTCCCACCATCATCATCACACCGCCCTATCGTCCTAGTCAACGAAGACGACGACAACACCCTCCTTAACGACTCTCTCCAAATCCGAATCCCATCTACATGTGACGCCCTACAATCCATACTTGATGTTATACCATTACAACTACTTTCATACCATATGTGTGTTGCCAAGGGCTTGAATCCTGACCCACCGGAATTGGGTGTTGTTAGTGTGGGGCAGAGTCCGAATATGAGTAGTGTTGTTGGTGGAATGGTTGGTGGTGAACAGGCAGAAGGGAAGGTTGTGCCGAGAGGGGGTATTGCGGTTGGGAAACCACCGCTGGGGCCTGGGAGGAATAGAGCGAGTGTACATTTTCAAGACGATGATGATGGGAATTGAATTGAATGGATGAGAAAGGACCTCAAATCGACAAAATGTCAAAAATCATAATTTGTCAAAAGGGAACAAGGAATAAGTTGTATGCCTTATTTACTTTATATAAAATGCAACCTCTGAATGACTAGACTCAGGCTCTGAATGACTCTGGACGACCTTCTGATGGAAGGAAGCACAATTCACGTGATTTTCGGGTGCTTGCGAGTTCGCAATGATTGCAGTGGCATTGAGGTCTATTAACTCCTGTCCGTATTACTCAAAGCTAGTACGAACAAGGTTTGTGGATTGATCTGGCAACTGCAGTGTCCAGATAGCCGAGACGTTGCAAGTCCAACTCCTTGATTGCCTCAAATTTCTTTGGCCTCTCATTCTTCCTAAACGTCTCCTTCCCAACAGTTCCCTCCAAATCCAGCGAGATCATAGGCGGCTGCGAACGAAGCACCTACATGAAAGCTCAAATATCAGTTAGTTTCATTCACAGACGCTAAAAAGCCACAATCTCCAATCACAAAAACCGTCATTTACCAAAACCGATAGTAGCCATCGCACCAATCCAGAAATCCCCTCTGGATTTTCTCTGAGTGCATTCCAGATTCCTTTCAGCTTGTGTATGATATATGGATTCCAGTCATTCTCGTTTTTGTTGGTGTTGGAAGTGTCTGGTGTTGATGCGTCATTGGTAATGTACCCATACGCTCGTATTTGAGGAATGGTAGTGGGAGAGTAGGAGCCGTACACTCGTATGTGAAGGATGGTGTTTGTGTCGTAGAAGCATTTGGTACATCATTCTTTTGGTTCCTGGGTGCTTTTGTGTGTGGGGAAGGTGATGAGGCCTTTCGACAGTAGTGAGCTTTGACAAGAGTTCGACTGAAGAAGCAAACACAATGTGAAAAATGAAACAACAAAACCTTGAACCCCATTCCGACGTCAAGATTTTTACAATTTTCGTGTTTTACTTTCAAAGTAAAAAAGTAGACATTCTCATCATCATAATCTCATCCAACAAAGAAATAACATTAACCAGCAACAAGTATTTCCAACCCAACAAAAGCAAAGAAATCTACAAATAAATTGACTGTTCTTTCCAGTTCCTTGTTGGAGTTTTAACGTCTCAAGATTTGGCTCAAATCGTTCACATTCTGACCATCGCGTACTGGTCCCACCCCACCTTTACTGGGACTGTCACGACCAGCAATACCTTAAAGACAGTGAATCAGCGTACGATGCTCCATCCAACCTACGCAATACTTCAGGAACTTTTTGCTTACCTCTACCAGTTCCATCATCATTGAATCGCAACTTGTGAGTACCAGTGTATTGTTTCGTGTCAGTCAATCTACCAAAATTAACAATATCAGAACAAAAATCACGTTTTTGGTAAATCCAATAAGACACTAGGCGACTTACCGATCATAAACAGAACCAACAGATCCAGACTTGGACTTGCTAGCACCCAAAGGACTCATATTGTCCATACTGCCCAAGGCCTTGTTTGATTTAGGTGGATTTGCTGCCAATTCTAAATCACACATATGTAAGCACTATTGTATCATTTAACAGCCAAAAAATCCTCAAGAGGCCAAGAAATCCCCACATACCAAGTTTATCCATACTCTCCGTAACACTCCTCTTATTACCCACCGGACTACCCTTAACTCCTCCACCAGGACTCTTTGTCGGCGTAGTCCCAGTACTACTCTTAGCATTCAACGCACCCTGACTTCCCAACCCTTTATCCTCAAACCGGTTTTTGTGGGTAACAGGGAACGTGGACGTATCCGTCAAACGGTCGACAATCGCCGAGTTTTTGGGTACGGCCGTGTTTGTCAAGTGTGGGGATCCATTGGAGAGGATGTCTGTTACGAGTCTGCTGAAGGCTTGTTCTGCGGGGAGGGTAGCGTATTTCTTTTCGGCGAGGAGGGCGAGAGCGTCTTGGAAGCTTTCCCAGTCTAGTTTGCGGGCGCCTTTTGCTTTTACCTAGTGCGACATGTATTGCGTTTAGTTAAAGCAGAGGATTATTTGTATATTTATGATGTGGTGGGGTTGTATCCGTTTGTTTTCATTCACAATCATGCATTTGTGTTGTTGTTTACCTTGTTGAATGTAATATCAATATCCGCATTAGTTATCTTCTTGCCATCAACTACACCAGTATCCTTTGATAATTTAGCAAACTACCATATCGAGTAAAACATGCAGGTTAATCCATCTTGTTCATCTTCGTTGTTTGCCACCCAAAATGTCTGATTTTAGGAACGTACTTTGGCATTATCCAATTGAGCACCAGTCAAGGACTCCATAGACATTGAATTTGATGACAAGTTTCTTGACGAGCCAAATGCACAGAAACTATCGTAGACTGTTCGTAGTTGTTCAAGGTCTGCCATTATGTGTTCTAAAGAATGATGGTTGATGTAGATGGTGTTAGAGTAGTTTGAGAGTGTAGATCTGGAGGTAAATGCATGATTTAATTGATCTGGGACTTACCTCTTGTATGTTGTTCTTGTATACTTCGTTGTATTTTGGAATCTGGTGTGTTGTGATATTTGGTGAGAATCCAGAGAAACCTCCCAACAACGATACCTGGAACGACACGGTTGAATCGAGATCGAATTGATTTACTCGATTTGAATCTTTGGATCCAAGCTCGTTTTTAATGTTCTGACAAGTGAGATTAAATGGACGCGTCCCGTAACAAACAGTACAAACACAAGCGTGGCTGTCAATGAACAATCGCAACATTACAACATTGAACTCAAACATATTAGTTTTAAACAACTATTTATTAGGAGCTTCTACATATTTAAGACGGGTATGTACAAGCCATCCCAAGACCACATTTTTTCTCTCTCTGGAACAATATTCACATCACACACAAGATAACACCCCAAATTTTAATCTTTCTTTTATATCTTACAGCAAATGCATTCATCCCAATTCTTGTATTGCAAAATGCTGTAGTCCTTCTTCATTGTCAAGCTCGAGCACCCACAATCAATCCAGGTGGCGAGGCTCCAAGTATTGATGGAATATCGTTGCTGCTGTTGTTGTTACCACCATTGGTGCTGGCACTGCTATTGTTGTTTCGACTGTTGGTAGATCTGCTACTATTATTTACCATTGCGGAGAAGGATGTCGCGACTGGGAGGGAACCATATGACCAGGATGGGTAGAGTATAGTAGACGTTCCTCCTGCATTCTTGCCAAAACTATTGCTGTTGCTGTTTCCAAGACTAGTCATGCTCCATTCTACAGCAGATGAGTATGGACTGTTATTGTATATCCCAGTAATGGTGTTTTCATACACATTTGACGATGCTGCTGTTGTTGATGTTGTAGTAGATGACGTGGTTGTTGTTGATGATGATACCGGCGTGGTTGCCTTTGACGGAATGACTTGACTTTGGCTCTTCGTTCGTTGGGGTTTATAATACATTTCCGAGTCAGCAGATGGAGCGAGAATGGAATTATTGGTTATGGGTGGTCGAATTATCGCCACGGTTCGTGAATTCGACATGGATGGTGGGATGCAGGATGCTGATAAGTATAAGGGCGATACAGGTGATGGTGGCGATCGTGATGTTATTGTGGCTGGTGATGACTTGTCATTGTTGGTGCTATTTATTGGCTTGGTGCTGTTTATAATACTGTTTGTATATGTGGCGCCTGGTGTAACGAGAAGAGACGGGACTGAGGGTGAAGATACTGGGTCGAGTGGAGTCATGGGCACGACTGGGATTGCGACTGCCTTCCTTCGTCGATGATGAAGACTCTTTTTCGGAGGTTCAACGAGGGCCATAATGTTCGTCTTGACAGCTTCCACTCCATCCTTGACTTCCCAAGTACCAGTTGACCTACTGGAATGCGAATTCCTTATCCTGCCTCTGTTGGAGACTCGTTTCAACACCATATTGTAGTTTTCTCCATACAAATTGTCCCAATACGACCTTCCATTTGCTTCAAATCTGATGACGAGAGCTAGATTATGTAGAGTTCTATCAGGCCTCGAGTAGACTTCATCCATTGCGTTTGTTGAGCTTTCAGACTCGAATCCCACGTCATCGTCGTCTGATTGTGAGCTCGAGGATGATGATGGAGACCATAGATGAGACAAGTTTGCGCCCGATGATTGTCGTTTGAGTGCTCTGCGTTCCTTTTCTTCTCTGAATTCTCTCCATGCTAATAGTAAGAATGAGTAAGAAGATGGGGGGTTAAGATCGGAGTCATGGCAAAAATAGAGATAAACAGGAACGTGACAGAATGTGAGACAAAAAAATGAGAGTAAAGCTACAACATACCAGCAATAGCGGCTTCTTCTTCATCACCAGGACCACATTCCTCTTCCAAATCCAAACGAAAGGCGAATCTGTCGACACCATGGGTTGGTGAGTCAACATAGGAAGCAGCCATTTCATTCCAGGAGGCCCAGCTATTACTACTATATCTGACTACAATCCATTTCTCAAAAGCCATGTTGCATACGAGGATGGTTCCACATAATATCCGGTTATCATTCACACGTATCGATTCGAGCACAACGGGATGGTCATAGTTGACTGATTGTGGATTTGGCAAGTGAGTAGGAGGGATTTGACCTTGGATTGACCACGAGGCACGACCAAAAGCAGCTCTGACATCGTGTGGATTTGATTCTACATTATAGGAAGAGCAATCTGCTAAACTCGCGACGGGGTCTGTGGCAGTAAACAATTTCACAGATTCGAGGGTACGACCAAACGAGAGAGACCGTGGTTTCCTACTATTGCTACTATTGTCGTCGTTTGTAGTGTCGAGGGCATCCAATCTGAGGCAAGATCGAGGTTTCCTTTCAGATAATAAATTGGGCGAAGATGGCGATCTTGGAAGTAGGGACGCTGTGATGAGATTCTTTGTAGATGAGCTAGTGTCTGGGCTAGCAGATCGTCTGGCATTGCCAGATCTGGGATTAGCCATTAAGTCGAAGTTTGGTTGGTTGTTGTTGTGGGCGAGTTAATTTTTTGCGATTTTTTCTCGTGAATTCTACTGTTTGTTGATATTAGGCGATGGAAGAATGGGATGAGGTGTATGAGGTTGACAAGACTAGATTATAATACTGTAATATTGTTAGCTGCCCGTCCACCTCGTGAAAACTTGTTGCTACAAAGAATGAGTCGATTTTTGCAACGTTTTCCCTTGACCATTCTTTTTTTCGCCCTCACCTTATGGAACGGTCACTGGCCGACGGAACCCAAAATGAAACAGATGCAAAAGATGAACTAGCGATATGCGATTCTCAACGCAGCATGTAGTAAAACCTAACAAGAATGGCTCTTTCCGTCTCGTGGAAGTTTACTATGCTTTCTTCAAAAACCTTGTCCTTCACGTGTGAAAACGAAAGGGGTGTTGAGCCATCTTGTCAAACGAGTGTAATCATAGAGTGGCTGTTCCGTATGGGAAACCATACAAAGTAAATTAAATCCTCCATCAAGGGCGTTGTGGTGGAGAAGAACTAAACTATACCACTCCCTACAAGCAACAACTCGCCAATAAGAACTGTACTTTATCCCCAGATCCAGCATTCTTGCCATAGACTCATCATATCTCAACTGCCACGTCAAAGCCGGAAGCTTCCTAATACAAAACAGGTTCGTCAAAGGTTGTTTGGAATCTCTTCAACCATACTTGTCAGCCATACCAAAGTCAAATCTTGCTTGAATCCTCTGGATCCCTCAACTTGCTTATCCTCACCACCGTTGAATAGCCATCTTCCCCCCGACCCAAAACTCCGTTATGGTTCTCGGCAAGATTAGCCTGCGGAAAGCAACAACCATAGAGAAGCTACCACACGTACATCCAAGCAACGTCGTAGTTCTCGCAAGTCTGCATCTCGACTTGCTGCGTAGCACCTCATAGCCAGTCGAGTTGCAAACTTCTCATGTACCAAGTCTCTCCTTTTCCAATAAACCAAAACTATATCAGAAACAGAACGGCTTGAAAGTTTCTAGAACGACAGACTTATATCGTCATTTGAGGTAATGGTTGACGTTTTGCCTGGCGGCGTCGTGGATGATGTCCGCAGTGAGGTCTGAAGGCTTGTCAATGAGGAGAACACGTAGTTTCTCGACTGATCTGGGCAAAAGAATCAACGAATCAATCATGTAAGTATATGTATGAGATTTGATCCGGTTTGCTCGAATCTTCAAGTTCGCATCAAATTTCACAAAAGCTAGAAACACGGCTCATGAGACTGGGACTATTAATATGAGAGTAGTCACTGAGTCAATCAGGTTTGAAAGAGGGTGCAATTTCAACATCAATCTGCACCCAGACAGATTGGCATTTGAAGTTTTCAGCTCGTTTGACTGGTCTCAGCAATACATCTAAACGAAACCAGATATGGAATTGTTTGAGGGTGCTTTGTTGGTTGGCCATTTAACAAAAAAAAATGCTCACATTCTTGATTCTTGACATACACAATCTCTTGGTGACTCCAATCACCAAGTCTCCGTCATCAATTGGCAAACCAAAAGAATCTTCCAATTGAATCTCACACAGAGATTTGGTATTCGTATACCATATTTTGATGCACCCGTCCATAGATGTAGTAAAGAAGAGTCTCAGGCCAGTTCAATAAGATATCGCCAAGAACGTGCTTGCTGCGATAGTCGTCTCTTCCGTGTTGTAGTGTCAGAGCTACAAAACAAGTGATATTAGCTTGCAGATGATGGTCAAACAGCTTCGATAACACTCACGAGAAATCTTGTCAGGAGCAACATGAAACTTAATCAATGCAAACCCCTGATACCCATAATGCTTAATGCAGTATCAACACACATTTCGCCTTGGAGTCATTCCAGAGGCAATCGGCAACGGTGAGAAATAATGCTGTCCCATGACAGCTTGGAATGCCCATGAATAGATATAGAATGGAAACTGAGCAAAGAGGACATTGTATTCAGTCGTGAAATAGGTTATCGCAATGACTCCAGCTCCATGCACACCAACTCAAGAGCAGGCTTAATGAATTCCTTACTCTATATTGGGAAATTTGTAGCTCAGCAATCAAGTCACTGTTCAGAGTCTTTTGCAACGAACTGATCAAGCAAAAAAGAACACATTAATGCAAGTCACCACTACTAACCAAGTCCAAGCAACCACAATCATAACTATCAAAGCAAAACATTTGTTGGCCTTAATACGACCATCATTGCCCAAGGTAGTCGGACCACCAGTAATGAACGAGAGCGTTTAGGTCTATTCAGGTATGTATTGCGAAGACTAACATGATCTACAATGCCTGACAAAAGGCGAATATGAATCAGATCAACAATGGATTGAGAACAAAGTGGTTTCCTACGCACCTTAACGATTCCTCCATGCAAGAACGATTCAACAATATTGTATGTTCACCTCGAGCTCTGATATACAGAATACTGATACAAGAGTAATGCGCTCTTGTGAAGGCGCTACGAGTGCTCCCCTTGCATCAAAGTTCCTGCGAACTGATCATTTGCAAGTTAAACGACACACTCAACTACTTTACCAAGTGTGTATACCAGAGGGACGAGAGCAGTGAATACATATATTTTATCATGTAGTAGGGTGAAATGGTCAACGTCAGAAAGGATGACGGCCACTTATCTTGATAGTGTGCATCCCTCATGTTGACGTGGTTTGAATGCTGATGGCTGATGTTGATGTTGATGCGGGTGAGGGAATGAACTTGACCAGAGAGAGAGACATGGAGAGAGACATGGCAGATCCGTCACCCATATGATACATGTCAGCCGGTGCTTCCCAAAGAGAGGATATGTAAATGCCTTGAAGATGTAACCATCACGACTATCCAACATTGCGGTTGAGGAATGATTAGTGAAGGACGAAGAGAAACAACGACCAAGTTGAAGGCCTATTACATACCAGGAAATTGAAAACCCATCGTGACTTGGTTGCCTTCTCGTTGGTATCGGAATTGACAGGTCTCGTTTCTCTGTTTACTTCGAAGATGGTGACTACGCATTGTTTACAACTTTGCTGCCTCTTTGATCAGTTCTTCATGATTTTCAGCATATTCTCATAGTTCTTATCACAATAGAAGCCCTGCCCTTTCGAGAAAACCACGTAAATCCCGTACGTTCGTAGCTGGGATCCAATCGTCGAGGAAGGACGCTGGGCTAGGAGCTGAATAATTAAACAAGGCATATAAGCTTGAGAACAGGCAAGTTGTATTCATTCAACGATTCTCCACCTGGTTTGTCAGGGATACACAAGCTCACAAAACTCTCATTTTATACCTTCACTATCGCCACTTTGTCACTAAATATGACTCGTTTGTCATCGAAAAGTGCATCATCAAGCTGCCATGGATCTGGAACGGCTGCATCTGCTGTTACATTGGCAACATTCATCACAGTAAACCAAGCAATCCAGAAGACAACAGACCTAGACGACCGCATATTACCAAACGAGCTACGTCTTATAATATTATCAAAGCTGAGGACGAAGGAGCTCTGTAGAATGGCCCGTTTATCCAAACAAGTGAATGTACCAACGCTTCTCAATATCGATTTATCGTGTCATTCCTTTAAACCATTTGGAAAGCGGATTGGTTTTTGACTCACTCCTCAAATCTCTCCATAGATAACGAAATGGGTGATGAAGCATTTTGCGCCATTCCGGAAGCACTAAAAGGCAACAACGCAATTTGAAATGTTGGATGTATGCAAAACTCAAAATTATGCAACAAACTCAGTACAAATGGAGCATCCGATATCTGCTTGTCTTCGAAATCCACCAAACTAAACTTTTCGCATCTTTCCCTCGTGATAACCCTTGTTGTTCTGCAGACTGTTGTGGTCCTGATTGACCATCATCTGCTCGTTTCCTCAACAACTTTCCAACCGTACAATGTAATGTAGGCATTGACGACCAGCTGTTACTGCTCCTCGTAAGTCCGTTGAATGTTTGTTCCATGCGCCAGTTCTCGGTGTATATTTTAAAAATGAGGTTGAAATGTCATCTAATGGAATGAATCAATCCACAATCATTCCGGATTCTCGACTCCATTTACTGAAGGCCTGTTCTGCATTAGTAGCTTTCACAGCTGCAGAAGTAATATAAACTTGGTCTGAAAAAATGCTCCACTTGGGTAAAAAGTTCAGGGATAAACGTGACGTTCGGTATTGGAAACGGATATCTACAAATATACAACCATCGTTCCAATAAAAACTCCACTTTTAAAAATCTTTCCTGACACAGATGCAAAGACGATTCCGTCTCAAATAGGTTCATTCTTTAAAAGCTTCTTCTTGGTTTGCTCCGGATAGCCTTTAGGGACTTTGTGAATCCAAGTATTAACCATCGTGCTTGTTTGGTGTCGGATCTTGGGAAGTTTTTCGTCTTGTTGAATCCTCAGTTCCTAAGAAATGTCGATTTGATTAGTTCCCATGTCAGAGATTTGAGATATAACTCCTCGTAAAGCCGGCAAGCAAAAAATCGGTGTCAGGAGAAGTATTGTATCTTACATCCAAGTAATCTCGTGGCCTCTGCGTCTTGACACGTTGCGTAGGCAAACCACCAGCATCAGATAACGACAAAATCAGTTCATCACGAGTAGCAATTCCTAATCTGCCAAGACCCAATGCAGCTCCCTTCCTAAAAATCAATTCACATCTGAGATCACAGAAAGGTCCATGGGCACAAGAAACTATGATTCACTCTCATACCTAACAAGCCCGTCCCGGTCTCCAAGGAGCGTCATCAAACACCCCAAAACCTCACGATGCCGATACCCATATCTCCCATACATCATTCCAGCATACGCTCTGACAGTAACATCAGAATCATGCGATGCAACCAACTGCGGTATAACAAGCTCATCAATGGGTCTTGCGAGATCGCCCTTGAATGTCGTGAATATTCCAAAGAGGACAAACATGGCGTCGCATTTCAATGCTGGTGGTGTTCTGGATGATTTGAGGACGGATATGACGAGAGATGTGAGACGTGGGACACTTAGTTTTTCGGTTATCTATAGCAAAAAAAAGTGAGATCATTTTACGGATGTGGTTTATAACACTATATTAACCGCAACACACATACCGAAAGAGGTGGAAAATCAATCCTCGAAGCAACACGATCACAAATCCCAAAATCTACATTCACTTCTGACGAACCATCAACCTTGTTCTTCTTATTCCCAAGGGCATTCACATTTGAGGGTACAGCTGCCGTCTTCAATTCCAAAACACCCTGATTTCGTGATGCGACAACAGCAATATTCATCAACAGGATAGACTGCAATGCAATCCTCTTCTTTGCCAATTCTTCAGCCCGACGTTCATCAGCATCACTGAAAACCAATGAGATCGGTGCGATTCCTAATCCACCGCCTGTACTGCCGATTCGTGCTAGAGGTAACACACTTCCTGGCACAGGGAAGGAAGGGATTGATGGCGAGTGTTCAGTGTTTGAATCGTTGAGTGTTATTTGTGGTGCTTGGACTTGTACTGTGGATGTGCTGCGTGTTGATGGTCGTGATGATACTGATGTTTGGTCAGAGCGTTTGTCCATGACTGACGATTGTTTTTCTTGGATAAAGTTGGATTGAATTAATGATTGACTCTTTTGATTGGCGAGTGAGGATGTTTCGAGTTTTACTGGGAGAGGCGGAGTCGATGGAACCGGCTCGTCTTTCGGTGCTTGTATGGCGGATTTGGAGAGCTGCGGCATAGGTGATGATGGTCTATGCAGAACTGGTGTTGTCGGTCTGACAGCAACTGGCTGTTCCAGAACAACAAGGATACTTGGACGGCGACTAATACTAGGCCTCGCTCTAGCGGTATCAACAACCGGAATCGTAGCCTCGGGCACCAAAACATCTTCCACAGGAGGCAAGTCTTCATCGTCAGACTCATAATCATCCCAATTAATAATCTTGGCCTCCTCATCCTCTACACCATCATCTTGTTCGTTTCTCTTCAGCCGAATATTAGCAATGGTAGCTCTTCGTGCAGTCCACGAAGCCTTAAAATCTTGTTTTACAATCTTATTTGCTTTTGGTGGAGGCAAGCTGTTCGGTTGAGCCACGTCATTCGATTGAGATACGTCTTTTTCTGGCTCGTAAACCTCACCACCGAGAAGACTATTATTGGATGTGGTGTCTTCTATCACACTCTTGTGGATTTGGCTGCCCTGTCTTGATTGACTCATGTTCAGCATATTTATGGATGTAGCATGTAAAAGATCTGTCGTAGATTTCAATACGGGAGCAGTATTAGGCATTTTAAGACCAAGATGCTTCAAGATGGCTTCTCGTTTGGCAGCCACGATTTTAGGATCAACTTTGGGTTTGGCTACTTGTGGCTTTCGAAGTACATCCGGTATTGGCAACTGCGTATTCGATTGTGCTCCTGGCTGTATTGTTTCCGAATCCTTGGAAATATCAGACAATAAGCCTTGCTGTAACTGAAAGTTTCGTTCTGCACGTAACTTGGCTTCAGCCTTCTTCTTCAATTCTTCTTTTTCACGTTCAGCCTTGAAACCATCCTTGAAGAAATCAGCAGCGGCCCATTTCCTTCGATTCGACTCTTCATCTGAGGAATCTTCATTGTCTGAATCAGAGAAGAAAGCGTCATCCCAATACCCATCCTTCTTGTTTTTGGTGCTAGCTGATGATGATGACTTTCTAGCTGATGAAGGTGTCTTCCTCTCTCGTGTTCCATCTTCGTCACCCTCGTTCTCATCTTTATCTGAACCGTCAGGAGACGTGTACTCTTCGTACTGCGTATCATCAATCTCGACTCCATGATAAACTTTGTGTTGATCGTTCGGCCTAACTCGTCCTAATTATAAAATTTGAAATAGGAAATAAGCTTGAGCAAAAACTCCAAACAGCATGATTCTATGATTTGACCTACCTCGTCGTCCCTTATTCTTCCTCGCCCGTTTAACCAAGTCACTATCTTCATGTCGTGATCCCAGCGACGGTGAAGCCAAATGTGCCAAAGCAGCCAAGTTGGCACGGAATTGTAACTTGACTTCCTTTAATCGATTATGTTCTTCTTCGACTGATGTTGGTGGTCTGATTCTATTGGCAGGATTCACAGCATCGCCTTCCAATGCGAGTGTGCGTGTTGGTGAGTCTGGGATTGTGTTCAGATGGTCCGCTGAGCCGAGGACGTCCATGTTCACTTTCTGTACAAGTGAATGTAAGTTAGCAAAAACCGTAGGATCACCGAATGGTCGTTCACTTGCCCTAGCAATAGAACGAGCTACAGCTTCTGTATCTTGCCCCCGTGAAGACTCTTCCTGTTCTACAGACTGCTGTTGTCCTGATTGGCCTTCATGGCGACTGTTGGTCTCGCCTCCATCCTTCCAAAACGATAGCTCAGAGTCAAAGGAAGGTGCCTCTTCAACCGCATCTTCCACTAGATTCATATTCTTCACTCGTTTAAACAAGTCCAGAGGCAGATCTATAAGAAACAGATATTAACCGATGTAATCAACGTTTTTGGCTAATAAGAACAACTCACAATCCTGATTCTTGATATACACAATCTCCTGCGACATTCCAATAACCAAATCTCCCTTGGTATTAGCGAATGCAGCAGCTCCCAGAGAATCTTCCAATTGTATTTCACGTAACAGAGAATTCGTATTCGCATCCCATACTTTGACACATCCGTCCATGGATGTAGTCAAGAAGAGTCCGATACTGGTGAGGTTCGATATCGACATGACCTGTTTGCTGTGATCGTCGTCTTTGCCGTGGCGACGTGTCAGAGCTAGAAAAAAAGAGACGTCATAAGAATTGCTTTATGAACAGGGCAAGTTCTGATATCACTCACGAGATAACTTGTCAGAAGCAACATGAAACGTATGCAGTGCGAAATCCTCCATAACAACACCCATAATGCTCAACGAGGGATCGAAGCACATTTGCCGTGGCGTCATTCCAGATAACGGTATCGATGCCATTGCATGAATAGACGTTGTTTGGGTAGCCGTGCTATAGCCTTGCAATTGCCATAGTTTGATTACACCGTCTAAACGGAAAACAAAGGGTGAAAAACGTTAGGGTGAAAAACGAACCTTTTAACAGCTCTAAACACGATTCTCAAGTGTCACCATACCTTTCCCACAACTCAGCAACCGATTATTAGGCTGTATCCTCAACAATGACGTAACACTAGCAATATGCGCCTGCACTAGGAAATCTCTTGCCCCAGTGACGGGATCAACAGTCACTAATTGTCCATTGTTGAGACCGGCAAAGAGTTTCATGATTTTGGCGCTTTCTGCGCCTATACTTGCGATACATGTACATGTGTCTCTATTTGCTATATGAGATTAAGACATGTGGTAATGAGGAGAAAGGCTTGGAGTTAAGTGATGGAAGTGCAGAAAGTTATTTTGAATACCTTGAGGAGACCAGACATCGATTATCTTGGCTGGATTCGTAGCAACAGACTGTACGTATATAGTTCCTGACTCGAACAAGACCCATATTCGATCTATGATGATGTAAGGGCAAAATTTGAGAAAGTGGTAAACAAACAAAAAATGCTCCGTGATTTGGATAACTGTTACTCACTGTCAACCAAGTCATAAACCACATCACGTACGACCGTATCATTCTGCGGTGGCAATATAGTACATATAGTCGACCCGTTAACTGGTGAAAATATCCGTACAGCACCATCAAGACCAGCAACTAGTAGTCTAGCTGCGGTTGATGGTGTGGCCTCGATTCTCCTCAAATGAGATGCTCGCGCTCTATTGTAAAAAGTTTGGTAACCTTTTTGGCTACATGCTATCTCAAACCAAGCACGCTTACCTCGTAGTCAAAAAATGCTCGTGAATCCTCGTCAAACTCCATACATGTGTTCCACGTCTTGAAACAGAGCTGATACGATCTGCGCCGATGCTTTCTACTTGTTGCCATTGTTCTGTTGTTTCGACGCTACCATGGCAAAAATAACGACACTTGAGTGCTTTTCATGCCACTTAGATCACACTTCATGACTTACAGTCCAATACACCGCCCGTGATCAATATCCCATATCCGCAGCGTTCCATCCTGCGAGCATGTCAGCACCATTGGCATTGGATTTCTGTTTAGCAGGAGCATGGATGTTACAGGTCCAACGTGGTCGCGAAGACTGTATACTAGACGTTTCTGGGCATTCCATATGTTTACTATAGAGTGGAGTTAATGGGGTAGTCAAAAAATGGTAAAAAACATCGGAGAAGTAAAAAAAGTATGGAAAAATTCAAATCAATGCAGAAAATTGTACCTGTTCCATCACGACCACAAGTCACTATAGACTCTAACTTTTCCACAAATTCCAATCCTGTTATCGGGCCTGAATGAGCATTTTGTATGCTATCTATTCTTTTACCACTGGCAAAGTCGTAGACCTATTTAGAAATTGTGAGCTCAACACCTTTTGATACGGGCGTCAGTTTTTTGTTTGCCCTTACCAAAACATTGCATCCACAAGCAGCATACAGCCATGCATGTCTCTGTCTATATCGTGTTCTCAATATCCAATCATCTACAGCCAGGTCTTTGACTTGTAGCCTTGTTTCTTGGAATGCGTGGTAGACTCGGCCTCTATCAAAACATAAAGTCTCAGGTCTGCTTCTTTGTAACGTGGTGTGTTAAAAACTCACTGTTCCATGACCGTTTTAAATGTCCATGACTAGATACAGAATGGGGGTGAGCGACAAAAAAAGGTATCATACAACCGCCCAATGAGCTTACCGCAATCCCTCCAGCTCCTGAAACTACAAGTTCACCAGCAGGCTCAATGAATTCCATGCTCAATACAGGGAATGTCGTTGGAGCGACAAACTTTTCGTTCAGGTCGCTGTCCAGAATCTGGTTGACAAAGAGTGTGATGTCAGGAGAAACAAACACATGGGTGCAACGCAAGTGTACACTCACTCTGAGTTCAAGATTGTTTGTAGCAACTACCACAACAGCAGGCTTCCAACACGTAACACACGTCCACGCAACAAACCCACCCATTGGATTCTTCTTGACGACACTACTACCATCCTTGCCCGATTTTTTATCAGCAGCACCAGGTCTGACCCTTTCTTCAGACCGCGACAACGTACTCGTCTTCTTATCACCTTGCCAAACATGTACCGACTTGGAATCAGCCATCAGAAAAACTTCGTTACGTGTCATGGACGTGGCGCTGGGTATATGTAGTCCTACTGTTATGCCTTCACGTAAATTCGTCAGAGTCTTGAGTGTCTGGAAGCCATGCGGCACTAATAATGGTCCCGTTTTGGCTAGAGCGACTTCTGATTTCGTCATGTTGGCGGTACTTGTGCTATAACTATGATCGTCGTCGTCATGGTCGTGATTGCTGTTGGCATCGCTGTCCGAATCCGAGTCGTTTGAGCCACGTCTACGTGATTTATGACCTCGTAAGACGGGCAACTTGTTGTCAGGGCGTCTCATGTCGGTGGTGCTGGAGAAATTCACGTTTGCACCAGATTTGCTGAGAGATTTGGAAGCAAGATCGAATTCGCTAAGAGCGTGTCCTCCATCGAGCAACCTTGAAACATCGAGTGAATCGAGCGACATTTTGATAATATTCCTTGTCGTAGCCCTTGCTTTGAAGAAAGCTTGTTTAGAGTTGATGAGCGCAACTTGGCCAGTTTTTTACTGCGCGAGATTGGTTCTAAGTAGGAGAGAGAGTGAGGCTATGAGTACGTGTAAACGTATGAAAATAATAAAAGATGAACAAGTGTTCAACGTTCTGCTTTCAAAAACCGTCCAAATGTTTTCATTGTCCAAATCTCAAGAAGTAGCTGACTCTATAGGGAGAAAGAGCACAGCGAGACCTGCGGATGAGCTTCGATGCTAGCAATGCTGCGTCCCAGCCACATGACCTGGTGTTTCTAGTAGCAAATGGCCTGCAATTCACGGCTCACAGGTATTTGTTGGAATCTAGTAACGGAACTTTGATGCAGCTGCATCTTCATGCGAATTAAACATGTTAAGCACATTATACTAACCTAACCTGTACATACACTCTATTCAAATCATCTCCTAGTCGAGTTCTGGCAGAAAAGTCGCCATACTTTTCCAGATTGCTTCAGCATCAACAGGATGGCAACAACAATAGTCCCAACATACATTCGTACGCTCCAATCCCACCAGTAGCACCAGATCAGCCTGCCCATATAAATCTACCTCTGTATATATCTGGAGACTCGGTAGAAACACTATTGACTTATATCTATACAAACCGATATTCACCACCAAACCCATCTGAAACTCCCTCTCCAGTCAGACTCGCCCAGAAAAAGGAATTAATGTACTCAGTCACTATACCGCCAGCACTCCGCACGCCTCCCAAAATACTCGTCGAACTATATACCCTCGCTACAGCATACGAGCTGGCCGAACTCACAAGCCTCGTCGCAAAGGATCTAGTAAAGAGACTAGACTCGTCCACCGTATGGGAATTCATAGACTGTTGCAACAACTTTGGGTCGGATGCGGATCAAATCAAAATGATGGCAGAAACGTATGTCAGGAAACACTCATTGACGCCGCCCGGTGCTTTAACTCCTGATCGGGGTGCTGGGAGTGATCGTGATAGGAGGCCTGCAAAACGTCCTGCGAGACGGCCTGGTGACGATCATGCTGTATGAAAGGAATGGATACCGCCGTGATAGAGATTATTATAAAATATTATAAACCCCGTAGTTTCAAGCTACGAATGGAATATAAGGTTACCCCATCGCATAATATTGCATAGTTGCATTCAGTTTGTAACGTGGAAACGTATTAGTATAAAGAAAATATATACCTTCGTTTATTAGATGCACGACTAGGAAGTAAGGTTGGCTCCTAGTCTCGGCCTTTTAGGACACAGCTGCCACGCGTTCAGCTTTAGATTTAATGCCCTCCATTTCTTGTGAGTCGCATTTGCGTATGAGTCGCTCATAATTTGTCAACCCCTCTTAAATCATCACGACAAACAGGCGCACACCCAACCAAAAAGAACAAGGAATTAAAATGGAATTGACTGATAAAGGCATTGAAGTCTGGCTATGGGATGTCGTAAGTCTTCACGTTGAAACCTGTCTTTAAATAATGGCACAACACAATTCTAACTTGGGGGTTCCAGATATATAGCTCATGGAGCTTCCGAGCTGAATTCTTGATGAGGAAACTTGGTATTCCAGCTACATTCCATGTAATGGGAGGTGTCATGAATGATGCTGAGATTGCAGCTGCAAAGGAAAAGAGTCCATCAGGATTGTTTCCATTTGCAATCTTTCATCTCAAGGATGGTGACTGTAAGAAGAGAATACGATTTGAAATTGCCCTTGGCTTACCTGTAACTGATCTTCTTTCCATTCTTAAAGTACCGGTGTGGGACTCGTTGGCAATCTATGAAACACTAAATGAACTGTATCCTGGCAAGATCTGGCCAACATCTTTCAAAGATCGGGCCAATGCACGCGCTGTTTGTGCAGAGTTTCATGGAGGTCTGTCCGTGCCTGTAGTCTTTTCTCTTCACCATGAACAAAGCTCACACTACCAACACCACGCACACACCTCTGCCTTCAACAGGCTTTGGAAACGTCAGAAGCAATTTATCATGCAATATTCGTGCCCGCTACCCCGTCCAGAAATGGGACGAACCGACCCTCACGGAACTAAACCGCCTCTACCACATCTTCGAAACCGCACGATCGTCATCGTCAAAACATCCAAACGATCAAGGATGGCTGTATGGCACATTCTCTGGAGCAGATGCTTTCTACTTTCCAGTTGTAACACGGCTCCGTACCTATCGTGTTGAAATCGATGCGGACAAGTATCCGAGGGCTGCTGAATATGTAAAGTTTATGTATGAGGATTCCTTGGTTAAGGACTTTGTCGAGAGAGCCAGAAAGGATGGGTTTCGTAGGCTGAAGTATGATGCTATATACAACGGGATGGTTCTTGAGTAGTTGGCCGAAATATACGTGATTTTGAAGCAGTTCAGGTTTCGGGTGTTTTGGGGTTGTGTTTGACCATTTTGGGGGGAATAACTACAAGCGAGTGATTGCCAACTCGGCTAAATATGGCTTGCTACAGTTTCGAAATATCTCTTGCGGTTTTGTTTCAGACGAAACTTGACACAACTCTCATACTGTCAAACTTTTCATAACACAACACCAACGAACTAGAACAAGCAAAATGAAGACCCAAGCCGTTTTAATACTTCTAGCATACCTGATCGCATGCGCAGTCACCAAAACTGACGCAAGAGTCTTAAATCGTCGTCGTCCTGTATGGTGTTTCACTAGTGGTTTTTGACGTTTCAAGTCATGCTTGAGTTTCCATCATTTTTCAAAGATCTAACAACTCAAATGGCATCACTGTATAGAACGTTCCATCAGAAATTGAAGCTGCGGATAGTGTTTCCCAAATTGGACGAAAACATGGTCCTGAACAAGTACGTTGGCTCTTGAGACATTTTCGTGTTTCATGTCAAACTTTGAGGTTGACTTTTTCTTCGCATAGAATGTTGGTAATGAAAGAATAGTGACTAATGAGCTTGTGGAAACGGATCGCCAGGTAAGATTTTGGCATAGCTTGTGTTATTCTGGAACTTGGATGAAACGGGATGAAACTGAATGGCGAATGCAGATCAGCGTCCTTTGACATTATTCGACTTTATCTTGAAAACGTTCGTACTTACGCCTTTCCTTTAGCAACAACAACAACAACCGATAAGCTATTTCTCTTTCACTGTCGCCGAAGGTAGGCGTTTACAACAACACCACCAAGGAGTGATTGATAGTTCTATACCACCCAGTGATTCTTAATTTCTCTTTTCCAAGGTATAATGGGAACAAGTATCCCATTCATACTCGTAGGAATCTCAACCATATTCCTGGTCAACCCAATGTTTGGTCTAGTCTTTGCTGGAACCGGTGTGGTTTTGCTCGTAGTTGGAGTTGGCATCTTCCATTTCAAGCTAGCATTCAATGCAGTCTTGTTTGTTGCCCGTCGCGTGTACCGCATGGTCACCCGTACAAACACTCGTGTACCGGTAAACCGAGGCAGTGCTCATGATTTTAGCAGTGAAGTGTATGAGAAGGCTTTGAGAAAAGAAGGGGCTGAAAAGGTGAATACTTGTCATTGCTGATGCATTGTATGCCAGATCTGACCCTTGTTCGGTATCTCTTCATCATCAAGGCGAAAGAATGGGCTCAATCGCAGCAACACGTGTCGTTCGAAGACAATATAGTCAGAGAGAACATTCATGTATGTGGTGTGAATTGATCACACAGATGGAGCATCAATGTTTTAATGTACCTTGATCATTTGCTGAACTTCGCACAATCACACATTCCAACATTATAGGAGATATCTCGTGCTGAAGAAGAATCTATGAATAGAGCGCGATTGCATGATACGGTGAGAAGTGCAATCCACTATTCGCTTGTTCCTTTGGTGGTGTTTTGTCGCTGACACTCTCCAAATTGTTGTAGCCTGAAGGGAGCCTCGTACACAGACCTTATGATACTACCAGTGATCACACATCTCCCAACTCTATCCAAAATCACCTTGAACCACATACTCCAATTCAACCTGCCGGTGGAAATATGGGCTCGAGACCTGGTTTTGTAAGTTAATCATCTTTTCGATGTTATATACTCTTTAGCTCGCTTCTTTAGCTAAGTCTTATGTATCTTTTCTGTTTGTAGAACAGCGCTCGTTCTGTACCTGGTCAGATTGGGTATTAAGACCATCTGCTAGAACTACAGACTTTTCTTGCTTTACATCTCATTTGTTACTACACATTTCTTTTTGTTTTAACTCAAGGAAAATAGATTCTCTCGTGTGTCTCTACAAGTTTCAACTTGGTGTCAAGAAGACAAAGTTGAGGCGTGCAAGGGGTTTTTTGAAGCTGAACGAGGAAGGTACATATTGCTGAAACCTGAAACACACAAACTTTCTCATACACCACGGCGGTACATTGGCACCCAAACGGCTTACTACGAATTCCAGCAGTACCAGCAAAGGCAACAAGAACAACTACAGCAAAATCCTAAAGGAGGCGTACTTTCTGATCCCCATACGCCTCTCACGGCTGAAGAAGAAGCTCGTCTTGGTGAGGATGTCCAACAAAAAAAATCTAAAGGATCGAGTGTCGGCTGTACGGTCGCCTGGTGAACCTGTAACACCACGTTTGTTCGTCCCGGACCTCATGTTCCTCAAAGGCGTGCTACTTGGTCGTAGAGAATTCTCTCTTCTTTGAGGTAAGTTTGTGAACTGTCTTTTTTGTTGGTGTCATTTTGCAAGCTGGGGGGAGAGGTTACTGATTCAAAGGCATTTCATGAACTTTATGTCATTTTATACTTATTCCAATACTTTGTCTTCAATCTGCAAAACCTAGAAGCACTCAATAGATTGCTTATTCTTTCAGTAAGTATGTCTCGTCTTTGAAAGCAATTGAAAATATGGAAAATCCCGAAACTACGACCCATGCAGTGCATTCTTACGTGTATTTGCTAATGGTCTTCAACCAGCATCACCGCCGTGTCTCGGCGGATCTCGAATCACTTCGTTGCTAGTTGATAAACTACCATGTAAAGTTTTCGACAATCGGGCATTTGGCCATGCATTTGGGGGGCAATTTTCTTTGGTAGCATCAGGGCAATAAAACGTTTCTCTGGTTGATGGAAGGTGTCGTTATTAGAATTCTCATGAGGTGAGGTTTTGTATTTGATTCGCAACGCCTTGAATTGAAAGTGAAGCACAACAGTTGTGAAAAGAAAAGTTATGATAAAGGCTTGTTTGAATTACACTCATGAACTTGTTGGTAGCAGCGTTTCGAGACGTTCTCCTTATGTAAGAATTTTCATACCATCTATTGCTCTTCTTTGCAGTGAATGCTGACATTGTGTACCTTAAATCTAAATAGAAATGCTTTCGAGCTGTCAACTGGAATTGGATCCCTTATAGATTACATTTGTCGCTTGGACTAGTGTCTCTCCTGGCTTCACACCTCTTGCGTCTTTACGGTCTTTTTGTTGTTCCCATACAAGAAATCAGCCCTAGTTTCAAGACCAGAGTTGTGCAAACACCTCGTTCTAAAACGAAACCAACCAAATACCAACTGCACACCAAAACACGTCAGGTGTGCACCCCACCTCGAAACATCAACACACCTAAACCCAAACTTCTCAAACCTCGACCTCAGCCAACTCCACCCAACCTCAACAACCGCTTCACCATGGCCGCAGTAGGTCCAGCATTCGTCCCAATCCCTGGCATGAATCCAGGCATGGGATACACTCAAAACATGCAGCCAGTAAACCACCTGGACAAACCACCTGCCGAATTACAAGGCTTCTACGACAACAGCTATGACAACAGCAACAAACAAAACGGAGTTGCTCAAATCCCCAGTGAGCGTGTATCGCTTCTGGGATCTAGGTCCAAGATGACGCTGGCTGCATTTGTGCTTTTTGGGGTTGGGTTTGGATGTATGTTTTGTTGTTGTGCAGTATTGTTTCAAGTGTGTTTTAGAATAAGTGATGCTAAAATGAAGTATTGATTTTCGTTAGTGGCTATTGCAGGAACAGGTGGTATAGCAGCTGGCGTGCTTATCGTACTTGGTCTTGCTGGTTGGTCAATCGTCGTCTTGTCTATTCTTACTCAAGTACGTGTTTCAGGTTTTAAGACTACCGCATTTTTTGGCACTGAGTCCTACCTGAAAATGCCTTACACAATCTCTCTCTCTCTCTATGTCATTTCAGACCTGGCGAAACTGGCGCGCACGTCGTGAATACCGTGCCTGGCAACGCTACTACGAATTCGAGCAATACCAGCGAAGGCAACAACAGGAAAACCTGCAAAATCCAAGAGGAGACACTGAAAATCCTACTCCTAAGCTTACTCCGGAAGAACAAGCTCGTCTTCGTGAGGGTGTTCAAAACGAAAACCCGAAGGATCCGAAATTGACACCTCCACATACACCTAAAAACCGTCAGCCCGTAATGCCACCTGTCATTCGTCCTGGACCTGGAGGTGCTCGAAGGCGTGCTGTTAGATCGTAGGGAATTTTGTGCTCTTGTGGTGAGTCTGGGGTGCATTTTTTTGCTTTGGAAGCTTCAGGGCGAGATTTACTCATCCAAAGACATTTCATGATCTTTAGGTTGCTTTATCCTTATTCCAATACTTTTTGCTTTAATTTTTACAGCCTAGAAATACTCAATTGTTTGCATATTCTTTAGTTAATTGTGTCTTTGAAACCACAGAATGCATTTCTTCACATCAAGCACGTTGTTTCCCCTCGCGAAATTTTGAACTACATGACCAAGACATACATATGGTTGATGATGATGCAAACGAGTGCGGTGCCTTATATTAATATTGCGCAAAAATATCGAGCATTTGTTACATACTATACAAGGAATTTCTAAAATTAACTATTGAGCAGTAGCCTAACTTTCTCACTCTCGCCCACTCAAGCATTCGTTATCTTCCAGCTATACCTCTCGCCCTTCTTGCCCCCTACTCAAATCATATACGACCTCCCAACCACCCATAGAACCTAAATTTACAAGCCGTAGGTGACCGACCAGGCAGATTCTTTGCAATATCACTCCATTGGATACCGCCTCTGTTATTCGAATCAGGTACGCCGTTAGATCGTAGTTTAGCTAATAGGGTGGCATCTTCCATAAATGTCCAAGGAGTCAAGACGGCTCTGGTAGAGAGTGTTGGTTGTAGTGGTGATCGTCTGGCAGGTGGTCGTGTATCCAATAGCGGATTTAGGGTTGATGGTTTTGGAATATCGTTTGGGTTTGGTGCGTGATTATTACTGTGTGAGAAAGACGTGGATGCTGAAGGTGGAAGATATGATTCTCCTTGTTGATAAGGCACAGCCGATTCCCGTTGTTGATATGGTAGCGGTGATTCTCTTTGTTGTTGAAGTAGCTGCTGTGGTTGTTCCTGTTTTACTGTTGCTTCTCCAGCTGCTGGTAATACAGGTGGTAGATTCGATACTGGTGATGGAGACGGTAGAATTGACGCGAAATGTGATGGTTGTGATGGCCTGCTGGTGCTATTTATAGGTTGCTGCTTTTCATGTACCACTAAATCATTGTGCATTTCATGAATCACTACATCGCTGTGATCTTCACGCACAACTATATCTCTATCTTTTTCATGTATTGTTATATCAGAGTGGTGTCTCTTCGTTTCTTCGCTTCTGGGAGATCGTAACGGAGACCTTGACCTTCTCGGAGATCGAGATCTTCGTTCAGATGGTAGTGGAGACCTAGACCTTCGTTGAGATGCTAGTGGAGAGCGAGGTCTTCTCTCAGAGCGTAATGGCGACCTAGACCTTTGTTCACGTAATGGAGAGCGAGACCTACTCATTGGAGATCGTAATGGAGATATGGCTTTCAGCCTATCATATACTGATCCATTCGATCGTGAATTTCTTGGGTCTCTGGTAGTGCTACCACTGCTACTATTCCTACCAGATCTATCATAATTATCTGTTAATGCTCTAGACGACGACATGGCTGTATCGTGGTGGACTGGAGATGGAGCTGATGGGGGTCGACCATACCCAGCATGATCTCGAGGATTAATTGAGGTAGCAGCTGCAGCAGCACCAGAAGTTGATGATGTTTCAGACTTTAATGCAGTTGGGCTCATAGCTAGTGCCGAGGTGGTTGAGGGAGATGCAGCAAGGCTTGTAAGCGTGGCTGATGATGTATCTATAGTTGCTAATGGTGATGGGGAAGGTGCGGGAGATCGCCCATACAGGTTTCCGTCCAAGAGCTGAGATGGGAGTGGAGGTAGAATAGATGCTACATCTGATACTATTGGTGGAAGCCTATCTCTACCACGATCATTATTATTACCACTGCTATCTCGTCTGCCGCTACTGTCTCTTCTCGTAGCATTCGAGTTTGGACGATGATTCGTGTCTCGTGGTGAAGCTGCAGGAATATCACCGTCCCGTTTCCTTGTTGCGTTAGCGTATTGCTGTCGTATGCCTGCTATAGGTTCTCGGCGTGGAGGAGGCGGCTCACGTCTACTATCGGCTATAGTGGGATTGCTATTGCTGCTGGTTGTATTGGCTGCACTATTGCTCGTAGCAGTAGTTGTGCTAGTTTTTTGGCTCTTTGCAGACGGTATGTAGTCAGCATGGATTTCGAATTCGTCTTGTTCATCATGAGTAAATAGGTCTGGAGTGAATTTAATCCATGGAGCACCCTAGATATGAACAAGTTGTTATTGTTAGTGTATGTGTTGTTTTTGTGTGGTTTGCTGCGTGCCATATCAAGAGGGAGAAAGAGAAGGATACAGTGCAGGATGCCCCCGATCTAGTGCGTACTTTACTGTTTCGATTGAGCAACTGATACACAGTAGGTGGCTGTTGCATGCGAGTCTTCTTTTGTGATGAAACTTGCTGCTGTAGATGGTGATGATGATGGCCATTTCCATTTGCGAGTCCATTGGGAGCAGGAACAGCTGGTGCCTTGTCCTGTTCAGCAGCTGGCTGCACTACAGGCGGTGCTCCCCATATACCATTGTCGGCGACTTCAGCTATTGATATTGTTGCTGTTGCCCATGTATTGAGATCATTTGCTACGGGAGGAGGTGCCGGCGGAGGCTGATTGTCTGTCTTCCGCTTCTTCGGTATAGGGATCTTGAGTGCCTCGCTGCTCACAAGACTGTCCATCTCTCAGATGTCATTGATTCCGTTTTTGTTGGTGGTGTATGAATGTACGAGCTCAATGGATTTCCAGCCAGTTCAACAACGAGTGATATTGCTTTTGAGACGCGACTTGCAATTGGCTGAGGTCTAATTAGTCTAATTCTCCCTGCTTTCCTATTGGGATCACGCTACTCGACTGAAATGTTACGAGCATCAAGAGCAAGGTCAACAGCAAAGACTTCAAGGAAAAGGACCTGTTCAAAGGAAGAAAGTCTGATACCAGTTGCTTCCCTATTGGCTCTACTAACACAACACGTACGAACTACTCGGGAGTTGCATGCCACAGTCATTCGATCGATTTTTTTGCCATTGTGTAAGTTCACCACCTATATCTCATCAGTTTTGGCATTCTGTAACGAGGACATTGATTCGAAAATATCGCTTCATAGTGTAAATTGAGACGTTTGTGATGTCTTTTGTAATTCTACTGTCTTCAACTTCTATGTTGATCTACAGTTATTCACAATCTCCAAGCGACAGCGCACAATCGAAACTTGAAACTATTCCTTGCATGAAATGTTTCCAGTTAAAGACTTTCAGTTCACTAAACTTGTTGCAAGCTTCAAAAGCACTACCACAGGCGTTCGAAATAAGATCCAACTAGCGACTATAGGCGATCGGTCGAAACCAGTTCTCAGAGACTGCAAAACAGCATACAACCCATACTGGAACCACCATTACAGTACTCTGCTTGACATAGAATCTTCAAGACTAGATAACGTTGCCCGATACTTGTGTGATTGGATTTTAGGTGTTTTCACGTTGTTTCAATACCAAAAGAGCTCCAATTACGCGATTTGACACCTTCAATCACTTTTACCGCGTCCAATGAGTCGCCAGTCCTGTAGTTTTGGGTCTAGAAAGCCCAGTCGTGTAATTTTCTTACTCTTTCGTTCCTTCAAAGCAAACCGCACTTATAAGCCCTTAATAGAGACATTTTGAAGCCCTTTCAAGAGTATACTTAACACGAGAAATATTGAACAAGTACGCATACTAATTTTCAGCCCTTCTTTTGACCCTCAGTTGTGGTGTTGGCTGCACGACTTCTTCACCAAACGGTCGAATGTGGTGAATTACGAGAATTTTCAGCCGGAGGCCCCATTTTAACATCAGATCCCATTTTTTTAGTCGTTGATGAAGCTTTAGCCCCTGTGGCAGCTCCTCAAACACCTCCCGTTGGTGCAGCACCCTTCCCAGTTCATCGAACACGACATGTCTCACCCGATTGGGAGGCGTTGTCTGTCAAGTGTGAGTACAGAAACGGAGTATTTGATCAATTGACATCTCGTTTCCAAAAAGAGAGCTTTGAGTCTTGAAGGTTTACTTTGTCGAATACTGACATTGCTCCAGTCTCGACTTACATAGTGAAAAAAGACCCGTTTGCATTGGCTTCATTGCAGATGACTTGCACTGGGGCTCGTGACAAAGCAGATACTAGTATCTGGGACCAAATGGAAGCGAATGGTGTCAAAGGCTTGGCAAGATTTGGAATCTCGAAAAAGAGAGCCTTCAATCTTGTGGTTGGAACTGGCTGTCAGACAACACGATGTGCTGGTGCTGCCGTCATGAATTGGAATCTACTTGTCCGTAGCTGTGTTCATGTCGCGTATCATTGTAGGTCCTTCTCCAACTCGTGTGTCGAAAACGATTCCGTCATGAGAACCACAACTGACTCCATTCTCATGTAGCTTCGTGACGGCATCTGAATGATTCAATGGAACCCGCTGGTCCGGCAGTTCTTCTTGAGGTCTGCACCTCACGGCTCTGGGTATTGGGTTGAAGGAGATGCATACTACTCCAAGGCTGAAATCACTCTGACTACGGGCTTAAGCCCACCAATGGAATCCGATGAATGGTGAGAGGTCTGCCATCAGGACTACTTGGAATGCAAAAAGGAATATACAGCTTTTCTCTCGTCTCGAATACTTGAAGTCAAGAAAGCACAGCTGCTCCACAAAGAATCGATGCTTGCCCACTCGTGTGATGCTCTTGTAGACGAAATACAGCAGCTTTGAAGTGTATGAGAAAAGTTGGCGGGAGTGGTGGGGAATTGGAGGCTGTTGGTTGAGGAAACACGCTTCCATTTTCAAACATGGAGTAGTAAATGGGAGGTTGATCTGGCTCAAATCTTTCTATAAAAATTTCGTCAAATCATCCGAACCAGAAGAACCTAGTGATAAAAAGGTAGTTGAATTGTGTCCTCCATGAATTTTTGGTACCAATTTATTTCGACGTTTCACGGGATACCGAAATTTCTATTCTTTGCTGCCAAATTGGAACTACATTAAGTGACCCTAGCCGATTTCGATTTAACGAGTAAAAGTTCTTAGTTTTCTCGTTGCCGGAGCGAATGCCTCTGACTGTGAAGCGAGGAGAGAACTATTGAGGTTGAATCATTAATGAAAGGTGGTTAATCTGGTATTCAGTGATTATAATATAATCCATGGAAAGAACAGGAGTTCAAGCACCATAACCAATTTTTTCTTTATTTCCGTACACTTTTTGCTGCTTGAAGACGCAGTTAGAGAGGTCCCACACGGATTTGAGGAAGATAAAGTTTGGTTCGATTTAACTGACTAGTCGATATTTAAAGATGGTTCATCATTCGTGTCAAAGCTTGAGCACCTTATTCTGTCCAAGATATCAAGATATGGAGCCTCGTTGCTGAATTGCTTTTAGTGCCTGAGACTGCCCTCCAAAATCATAGAGATAGCAATCTTGTCCGCATCACAAGTGGAGTGTTGGTCCCAAAAAAGCAAAAGTTCGTAATGGTTGTCCAAATCGATTACAAGACATGTGTATCAGAAAGATGCATTTCAAATCCGATTCTAGAATGAAGAATAAATTGTTAGATATGGTGTTGAAACTCATAGTCCTGATGCAACGTCTTGCTTAATCACGAGAACCTCGTGTTTGATGTTGACACGATACAGCATGCTTTTGATATCAAACCACCGTCAAAAGGATCGACAGAGCGTATTAAATACTCTGAAATCAATATTGACCCCGTGCATCATTGACACAATTCCACCATCTGAATGCTGGTTGGCTATTTGAATATCTTGTTTGATTCTCCACGAGGTTCAGAGTGATCTACGCGGTATCTTACATTAAAGCCAGTGATAAGAACATCCTGACTTTGTCAATAAGAGCATTGACACGATGGTTGATTGCTGTTCGTGTTAAACGAGTGGGACGAAGCTGCACAGTTAGTAAACTTTTCGCCTTGAGACATCAGACGATGGTCGACATACAGTCATATAACCATCTTTACGCCTCGAATCTCGAAATACTTGGATCTTCCTATTGAACGGACGAAGTAACAAGCAAACAATTCCATCAGATTGTGCAGTCTATTTCCTATCAAAAAAGGGACACCCAAAAACATGTTTCTAAACATGTTTCTAAACACTGGGCCTTTTTTATAAGTTACCCGTTATCACCAATTGAGATTGACGTATACCATCCTTTTCGCTTTTATGTACCAATTTTCTCTACCAACCTCATTACTTGACCTTCAACCCCAACTCCTTTACAATCCTTCCTCCTCAAATCCGTCACTTCCAACTACTATATTGCCTCTGCTGATATATAGTAGGTATGTTCTCCACATTCGACTCCCCGTTATCCGAGTCTTCTGACTCCCGCCTATTAGTATTCACTATGAAATTCTCATTCGATATACTTGGCGGCGAATACGTATGAGAACTAGAGGTATACCCCAACGGACTCTGAGCAGCAAGCGACGACCTGTTTGATTGCATTGGCGATTCATCGACCCATTCGCCGGCATTCAAAGCTGGAGCAGTCGAAGGCTGTAATCTGCCATTACCGTAATATGTCCCGATTTTCGTAAGCACTTTACTTCTGTTTACGATTAGTTTGTTGACTTGGTCCGATAGTGCTGATTGTGTTGCCCATTCGAGTAGTTTCTTCTTTTCGAGAATGTCTTTTGATAGTTGTACGTATTTCCGCTTTGATTGGACGCACTGATATAAGGAATGATTTACGGGTTCTTTCGAGTCTTGGATTTGGGAGGCTTCTGCTTCTGTGTGTGGGAATGGGCGTGGTGTTGGTCTATTCCATTTGGCAGCTCGTGCTTGATAGCCTTGATACTATTGAGATTGTTGGATGTGATAATATTAGTTCATGCAGCGTCAAGAAACAATCCGACGCCTTGACAGAGCGAATGTCACAACTCACTTTGGCAACAAATCCTTCATATTCCAGTCTTGAATTCTCTTGCTTTTTGGCAGACTCCCAAGTATCTTCTATACCCTTATTCAAGAAGGTATCTGCATGTTCTGAAAAGGATTCTAAAGACGATATCAATGGCTGTCTATCAACTGTCGATTGTGTGTAATGGTCTGCTAATATTCTGAGATTCTCTGTGAGGCGTGTTTGGGGTGGATAAAATGTTGCTCTGTCCTGAAAGAACTTGGCAAGCTCTGCTTCTGTAGCATTGACTAGAAGGTGGTGGGTGAGCAAGAGTGTTGGTGAGTAAAGCAAAAAAGAGGATTTCACGCCAACTACAGTGCTTCTTCACTCTCTACTTTATCTCAACAGTAGTACATACCAGTCTTCATAGCATCAGAATGAGCCTTTGCCAACCGGTTGAGCGTCGTGTATGCTTCCCTTAGGGTGTATATCTCCAATAGAGCCGAATCAACGTCAGGTTGTTTGACTGTAGATACGGTATCAATGTCATTGGCTAGTTTCTCCCGTATAGATTGTCGAAATGTCCTAGTATATACACGTGTTTCAGAAACGAGCTTCGCCATTGTTGCAAGTGCTTTGCTTTGTACTGTACCTGTAGAGCGATTCAATCTTCTGAGGATCAGCATTTGTAGCGACATTCTCTCTCATGCGAGCAAAGAATTGAGCGAATTGAGCGTCTAGGCCCTAATAGGCAAAAGCAGGTTAAGCAAAATGTTTTGTTGTGATTGAGGCAAATGTCGGAGTCATTGTATAGTACGTGTGGTGACAGTCGTAACGGTATGCATAGACTGCGTGTTTTAATATAAATTCAAATCAAATCCAACCGTTGGAGTCTCAGATTACTCTGTACGTCGGCTTGAAAGTAGTCGCTACAAAGCACTCCAACTACTATCAACCAACAAGGCCAGACACTTACCGGTTCAGCTTCAGCCAATCCTGAACGAGACATTATTCCGTAGATAGTCGTGGAGTCTGTCTCCGTATTCACGGCTCAAGATTCAAGCACAGTCGCAGTTGTCAAAGTTTGTGAACTCAAGCAGAGACAAGATCATAAACAATTGGACATTTAAAGCAAAGTAAGTGCATTTGCAATCCTTCGATTACATGGTTATTCCTCGTTCTATTGGGATCTAGATCTTCATTGCTAACCTGCATCATCAAATCAGGCCATGACATTACAAACAATGGCCCTAGAGGGGGTGCTGGGTTTCGATGAAGGTAGACTATATTCAACATCATCATCTTTATTGATCCCATCAATACTGTTGCTGATCTAATCAAGAGCTAATACCATTCCAATCTACTAAACCAAAAGATCCATCAGAGCTTGCGCGACTGCCAGATAAACATAATGCTGATGTCGATGAATTGCTCGGTGCAAAGGTCATCAGGTACTGATCAGCATTCTATTCGCACAAATCATATCTTACAATATTCCTAACACATTTCTGGTATAGATGGAGCTTCCCAATTAAGGAAGTCAGACTTTCGGGCAAAGCACCCAAAGTATCCAGCAAGTCCTTTGATCTGGGAGGCCTAAAGTGGTATGAAGCCCCACAATCATCATCTTCATCATTGCATCTTGGATTGAAAGATCTTGCATCTCACAATTCAACTCCTTCTTTGCTGCAGGTCGTTCGGAGCCCACTTTCCTGGTGAAAACGACAAGAATGTCAACATAATGCTCAAATTGGACCAGGAGAAAGTTCCTGATTCCAAGTATCGAGCTTCAAGTGCTGTTGGTTTTCGAGATCCTAATTGCCATGATCGATTCTTGAGAAACACAAAGAGTAAGTCACTGGTGCTAGTGCATAAAAGGACATTTTGAACGCAGCATCTTCATGTTTCGTTTTGCTGGAATCGATCTTAACTGGTACGACCTTCTACTTTAGCCAAGAATCAATGCCTCAGTCAAGGACGAATGGGTCTCTTGCACAACCCAGCTTGCAAATACAGACTGGACGAAGGTGTCTCCCTCCCTCAAAACGATGCAGACTTTATCCAAAGTGATGTAGTAGACGTCATCTTTGCTATTCGCGTATACCAGAGTCGCAGCAATGTCCCGCTATTCGATGATTTGAAAGCAGCCGCCAAAGCCCCGTCCGTAAAAGCAATGCAACCATCATCAGCAAATATCTCAACATACAATAATGTTACAAAGACAATCACTACTCCTCAAGGTACATTTTACAAACAGAACGAGAACAGTGTCATGGGTCCTCCAGCACCACCTCAGCAACAAGTGACAAAGGCTAGACCACCGAATATTCGAAACGATACTAGCAATAATAGTAATAATAACAGTAATGCTGGTAAAACGTCGACAATCTCAAACAACAGCAAAACACATTACCCACCAAACAACAAGTATATCAATAACAAGAATGACAATCACAACAACAATAATAATAATGGTAGTAATAACAATAGTCCAATGCATCACAATCATCAAAATGGTGGTTCTGCTGCTGGTCTCAATAACAGGAAGACATTGAATTTTCCACCAACTGTATCTCCACAGACTCAAAGTCGATCAGAGTCTCCAAGGACGTATACTCCGTTGAAGAGGTATTTTCGAAATCATAGGCCCTTTGTTTCCAGCTCTTTGTCTCACTCTTTTTGCCATTCATAGGAAACCATATGTCGGACTAGCAAACCAAGGCGCGACCTGCTATATGAACAGTATCCTCCAATCTTTGTTTTTTGTGATTCCATTCAGGAGGGTGAGTCAAGTGATGCTTTCATTATGTCTACCAAAAAGCCCTTGCACTATCTGATACTTACGTTTTTGTGCAGGCTATTGGAAGCATTGCCAAACAAGACATACCAGATCCAGATCGTCATGTGCAAGCCATCAAGGCGTTGTCTCGAGTCTTTGACAGTCTTGAAAAGGCTGACGATGCTGTCAGTAAGTGTGACATGATGCAAATTTGGGTCCATTTCTTTGCCACGTCAGATTGCTGATGACATGTTTTAATAATAGGCACAAAGGCATTAACTAAATCATTTGGCTGGGATTCTGCCTTCACATTCAAACAACAGGATCCTCAAGAGTTTACTCGTTGTTTCTTTGAGTTCCTGGAAGATGGTATCAAGGTATCTAGCATGTTTCACTTTTACTGGACCTTTTTTTGGCATTGGGTGCATCATCTAACATACAGTGAATCTTTCTTCGCATGAGCAGAAAGCAGGAGCAGAGAACATAATAAATCAGATGTTTGAAGGCGAGATGGAGATGCGAGTGCAATGTAAAAATATTACATATGCTTCAAGTCGAGTTGAGACCTTCAATGGTATGTACAACAAAAAAACCACAATTTCGCAGGATGTCATTGTTTCTCATATGTTCTCATTGATGTTGTTAGATATCCAACTGGACGTAGATGGATGCCGGGATCTGGAGGCCTCGTTCCAGGCTTTTACTGCCAGGGAGGATTTGATTGGAGATAATCAATATCGTGCGGATGATTTTGGCTTGCAGGTAAAACATCCTGAGGCTCATTTGATAGCGTTTTATGCCGTTTGATGCTTTCACGTCCAGAAGAGAAAGTATTCAAATCACTTTGAACAACATAGGATGCAGTGAAATTCATACGCTTCAAAACCCTCCCGCCAGTCCTACATTTACAACTAAAACGATTCCAATACGATGTCGAAAAGGATTCCATGAGAAAAATCTACCGACGCCACACCTTCCCGGACCGAATGGATTTATCCCAATTCAACATCCCCGCTGCCGAAGGTGGTCCCAAAACACCACAGATATACATCCTACAAGGTGTCCTAGTCCATTCAGGAGGTGTGCACGGAGGCCACTACCGTGCATACTTACGACCCAGCGTCTTGGACGACTGGTTTGAATTCGATGATGGACTAGTTACACGAATCCCGGCCAAAAAAGTCTATGAATTTGGATTTGGAGGTGAGGGTAGCAATAAAAGTGCGTACATGTTGATTTATGTGCGAGAGAGTGACATGGACGTTATTTTGGAGGCTGAGATTGCACATCAGAATCCAAATGGTGGTGTAAATGGTCGTGGGGGTGTGGTGGACTCTCCATTGGTTGGCGTAGCTGCTAATAGTATTGGTAATGGGAAGGGTAAAGCAGCAGCTGTCAGTGATGATACGAATGGTATTGTTGCTAGTGCTAATGGATACAACACAAGTTTGACCGCTATCACCACTACTGCTAGTACAAGTCCATCACTTAAACGAGGACCAGGTGAATTAGTTGAAGGATCTTCTGATGGATCATCTGGAGATGATTCAGCAGGTGGAGATAATAAAAATAATGCCAAACGAGTGAAACTGGAGAGTGCGTTTGTTGAGAGTCAAAAACAAGCAGATAGTAACAAGCAGGATGCTAATGGTGGTGGTATAAATGGTAAAGATGAATCGAATTTGACAAGGAGTACGAGGATTACCGATAAATACGATAATAAGCAGCGGCCTGTCAAACTGATTCAGGATTATACTGACCAACTTAAACGTGATAAGGATGTAAACATGATTGATGTACCTGACAAGACAGTTGGAGACGACTCAGGAGTGAATGGAGGTGTAGGAGATATGATGGTGGATGTACATGCCAATGAAATGGCAGGAGCAGATACATCTGTAGAAGCATCAAACAGTAGTGACATGTTACCGCCTACACCACTTATAGACATGTTTGCTGATAATGCTAGTGATATGGTTGTTGATTTAGGTGACAAGGAAGGAGGTGAAGATGTGACTGTGCCGTCTACACCTGATGGTGATATGGTTTGAGTGGGAGTTGTTTGTAAGATATATTTGTATAGAGACGAAAGTGGTGTAAAGACGTATTTATCGCATAATAAGGAAATTTGGCATATGTTTGAGAAAAATGAATTTATGTTTTATTTGGGTATTTTATGTTTCTATGGGTATTTCAAAATTTGGATAGTTATCTTCACATCTTCCACTACTTACTAGTACTACAAACTACAGAATTTAACACGTATATCAACACTTTATATCAGCAACAATATGATCCAGCACGGCACTATCCTCATAAAACTCTACGTGCACCTCCTTCGTCCTCCCACCATTCACCAGCCCCTCCACACATTTCGCCTCCAAATCCCACCGATCTCCCCCGTCCTCATTACAAACCAACTCACACACTTGCACACCCCATGCCCTCGCACTCGCAATACACACCAGCACCCTCCTCAACTGTTTACCACCTTTAACCATCTGCAGCACATCCACCCCGTTATACTCACACGGAAACACTACCAGCGTGTGTAATTCCTCCAGCAAAGCCACGACCGGTGCTAACGATGGTATCTGTATCCCCGTGACGACCAGTTTGCGGATATGTGTAAACGACGACAACACCGGTGATACATGCAGCGTCGAAAACACGAGCCCGATTTCTAAACCTACTATACCATCGATATTTGGGATTGTGGCTAGCAACTCGTACAAGTCTGTCTCGGATGTGTTTATAAATAGGTAGAGTTGTTTGAGTGACGGCCACTGCGATAGCGTGCCTGTTACTGGTGCTGGAGTATACATCCTCAGCTCCTCGATATGCGGCGACGCGAGGACGGACAGGTCGAGTGCCGGCGTGAATGTCGATGCCGTGTCTTGTGCTATGGTTAGTTTCTTGATGTGCGGGTTGTGGGTGATTATAGATGATATGCAGTGTGAGAGCGATGGTGCTGAGACGGGCCACGTGTGGCAGGATGTGAAGACGAGATTGAGGGATTTGAGGTTTTTATAGTGCGTTGAGGCTAGTACTGTTGGTGTGTTGGTGCTGTTTAGGTTTGTGAGTGTGAGGTGGTGGATGTGTGGGAGGTCGGGCAGTGCGCTGTGGGTTGTGTCGAGAGAGAGGGAGTGGATTTTGGAAGTGTCGGGGATTAGAGAGAGGATGGAATGGAGGGTTGTTGGGCTTACGGGTGGAGATGCTATGTGTGTTGGGGAGGTTAAACGGGATGTGGTGTATGGGTGAGACGGGATGTGCGTGTGGATGTGGTGGCCATAGTCTATGGAGTAAAAGGCGTAAGTCTCTTTGTAATGTTGGAATTTAACAATTGTTGGGTATACGTTACCAGTCCAGTGTGATGACGCATCTGAAGATGAGTCTGTTTCACTATCACCATCACTATCGTCATCTTCAGTGACGTTTTCATTTATACTACTACCCTCATTCTCCTCCCACGTACTGCTCCCATCATCAGACCCATCATCACAATCAACACATACACTAGTACTGGTTGCATTCCATTCAATCGATTTCACTTTTCGTGCACGTTCGACATCGTGCAGCCATAATGGATCGAGTAGTTCGCCTCCGAATGGGAATTTACGCCATATGGATAGTTCGTGGGATGCGATTCGCCATGTGTGGCATATGTGTGAGAGGGTTATTATGTATGGTGTTGTTGTTACATGTGGGTGTGGTGGAGGGAGTGTTGTTGTTGAGATGCGTGGTGGGATTGTTGTGCTGGTTATGCCTGACTCGGTGCGTGTTGCTGTGATGGTAGAGTCGACATGCTGTCTTGATGTTGTTGTGATGGGTGGTCTGTCAAGCACCTCGGTACTAGTTTGCAGGTACTTGAATATAGGAGTTAGACATTCGATTGGCAGACGGTCCATTCAGAGCTAAGTGCAATGAGTTTGTCAGATTGGGTGAGTTGGGATGTTACAATACAAGACGGTGGATGGAATGGAATTGTATGTACCTTGAGTGGTTGCTGTGAGTAAGAGTAATCGATGTACTTGTAGCTCCTTGTATAGGTTGATATGTCAATGTGGTTGTTTGGGTATATGTTGTACTAGTGTGTTTTCTGTTGGCGCATGACCTGGAACGGTGGCAGGTAAAACCATTTGAAATGCATAGGGAGCGTATAGGGAGAGTGCATATTTACGTGTAAAATCGCGTATATCGTGCTAATGCATGTCCCACTTCTTGTTATTCACAAAGTTGTGACAGCTTTGACCTTTCCAAAAACACAACCAACATCATAGACAGCAGCAGCACACGATGCAGCACATCCAACACACCATCCTCACCTCCCTCCTAGCCGCACGCCGTATCCTCCCATCCTGCATTCCACTCCAATATCACATAGCACGGCACTATCGAGTGCACATGCCAACTACTGAATCAAGAGGTCGCTCCGTAGCTGTAAAATCAAATTCAGTCACCCAGGCATACTACAAACTGAAATCCATCCTCGACGAATCAAAAGTCAGACAGACTGTGCGCTATCAAGAGAGATTCGAGAGGAAACATGACAGAAAGAGAAGAAAATTGGGCGAGACTCATTGGAGAAAGTATATGAGTTATGTTAAAGGAAGTGTCAAGAAGGCTTGGAGTCTGAAGAGGAGGTATGTACGCTGGATAATGTTGGATGATGCTGATGTTGTGGTGTCTGGGATGTTGGATGTTTTGGTCATGATGTTTGGTAAACACCAGGATCCTCCAGTGTGGCACGCTTGTTGGCTCGCATGGTGGTAAATTCATTCATTGCATTCAAGTTGAAGGAGTATTGGATATTGTGGTATCGCATGGCTGTTGCAATTGCCATACTATCGCGACTGGTTTTTGTGTTGAGGGCTGACCTGCAGTTTTCCGTTGATACCTTTATTTCAAAATTCGAAAATTTGATACCAATGATTATGATATGGGATGGTCTTCTGGTGACTAGATGGTCTATGACTTGAACTGCAACGTCCGACTGTTTTTGCTGACGTTCAACCATTTCTCTCTTCCTCTTTGTAGGACCCTGCTAGAAGAACAAACGTATAGAGACTTGTAAAGTCAACGCCGATGAGCTTCAAACCCACGTGTATATATAGAGAGCTTTACCAACACAATATCTCATACAGACCAAGCTGTTTTTGTTTTCTTCAGACTGCGTCTCTTCCAAGGTTTCTTTCTCCTTTGAGAGCTTCTGTCAATTCGACCGTTTGGAGCATCAAGTCAAAACCATCAAGCTTGCAGTTGTTCTTGTCAGACATTTTCCAAAAAATATCAAGAATAATCGCAATCGAGACGATGAATACGAGGAAATTTCATCCGCTTGTCACGTCACTATGGATGAAACAAGTCCAGGTTTGAAACATTCGAAACAATTTGGGTTTGTATTGAATGTGTGCCAGGTTTGAAACATCCGAAACAAACCCGTTGGAAACAAAATCAAACCTACCTGTGACGAAACGAAACAATACCAAACTTGTCACAATACCCCTCCTGTCACTTTGGTCGAAACACTACCAACAAACATGTCTCTCGCAATCACAGGAGCCGCTGCTGTAACTCAATTCCATGCTATTAATTATCTCGCCCATGCTCCTGCTTCAATTGGATCCTATGTCGACGACCACTCAAGTCACAAGTTGCAACGTCGCTTTTTGAGGACTGAAGTGGTTCCCTTCCTCAAATATTTTGCTGCAATGACAGGTAATGTATGGCAATTGCTGGCTGTGCTTGGATTTTGGCCATCAGTATCTGATCTTTTGATCCTTTTTATACAGCTGTAATTGCCATCCTCCCATTTCTCATGGTCGGCTTGATGATGGCTTCGTTTGTTGGTTCTGTCGGTGGTTTTGCTAAAGCTATGGTCGAGGTAAATCTGTGCCGCAATCAAGAATATCAGCGCAGACTATTCAACTCTTTCCGTCTCTCAACGTTTATACAGTATGTTAGGATGTATCAAGGCGAACGACCAAATGCTCGTGCCAACCCTGCAACTGATCATCCTGAAGCAGAACACGACATTGTTGGATCTGATGTTTCTGATACCTCTCGAAAGCCTGCTCCAGGGGGTTTCAAAGCAGAATTGGTTCCTTTTGTCAAATATTTCGGTCGTATGGTTGGTATGTCTTATAGGAAGAGGCGTTGCTGTTTTGGTGGTTTTAGTTATGTCAAAATTCGGATTTTGGATGTAGAACTAATTCAATTTTACGTTCGTCCTTCTCAAAGCCGCCATTGCTCTCTTTCCATTTGTGACAATCGGCCTCATGCTTCTATCGATTCGAGAGACTGGGAAATTCGCTATGGAAGCTGTCCCTGCTGTAAGTTAAACCACTGCTTCCAAGTCTGTTATGCCTCTCCGAAACCTAATTCCGTTTCCCAACGGTGTAGCTCCTTAGAATGTATCGCGCGGATCGACAAAGTGCTCGTAACAACCGTGACACGGGATACGGAGGATATCGTCAATATCAGGGCGGAAGTAACACTGGTGGATCTGAGCCCGATAATATGCGTTCTGGTGTCGTATCTGATACTGAAAGTATTCGTTGGGGAGGCACATCTGATGCTGAACATCCTCGGGTGATTGGAGGATCAGTTACTGATGGTGTCCGAATGCGTGGTACTCAGAATCCTAGAGCCATGCCTCCGAATCCTGGACTTGCTAATCCACTTCCAAGGTCTTCCAGCTCGTTTACTCACAGACGTCGTCGATCTGTTGCTCGTGTTTGAAGAAGAATGTGAGTTACTTGTTCAGGTTTGAAGTCTGACGGAAAGGGCTCTAGAAGGCAAAAGGATACAATGTGATCTTTCTGGAGTAATAGTGATCTTGTTTTTGTAAATTAATGAAATAATGAAGTAGGCAAAGTGTGGTGGGCGAGGTAGAATAAATAGACTGTGTTTTGAGAATTTCAATAACAATTATTTTCGCTTCCGAAATAAATATAGAGTCGTGTTTTTATCGCGACCTTTTGAAAAAGTCCATTCGCTTGACCATTCAGTTCAAGGTTCAACGAATGTGAAAGGCCACGTGAGAGCCTGGTGATGGGACAAATAGGCATGACGCTTTAGAGACAAGCCATATATGTATTCGATAAGGTTAAATTTGGTTAGAAACGACTCCCATTGATTGAATCATTTCCTGTTGCGGCACTGAAAACAAATTCATGTTTCTGGCTTATTTGGCTGACACCTTACTAAGTCTCGTATTTACTAGAGTCGTGAAGTCTATACTATCTAATTGATTTCTCACGCCGTGAGTCCTCTGGTGTTGAACGCCCTTAGGCGAGACATTAACAAGCCAAGTGTTTCCTCAGACAACGTTTTGTAAGCAAGCTTGACGTTCATGTGGGAAGAAGAACACCCCGAGTCGTTAAAATATGAGTCAAAGAGCACGCGCGCATGCTCTCCCCTCAAACAAATCCGAAACAAACCCGAACTGAAACGAAACCACAAACCTGTCACGATGTCGTTTGCTGGACATCCAGGTGTGGTCGGATTTGGCACAGTTGAATCTGAACATCCTTTAGGAGGGCCTGATGTAGCCGATGGTGTTCGAGTGTCTGGTACTCAGAATCCCAGATCCCCCCCTTCAAGTCCTAAACTTGCAAATCCGCTGACAGGATCTTCAAGCCCTGGCACTCACAGACGTCGTTGGTCTGTTGCTCGTGGTTGAAAAAGAATGTGAGTTGGTTGGTGCAACAAGCGTGGTGGGTGAGGGTAGATTTGTACGTGACCTCTGGCACACCAAGGAAAAAAAAAAACGTTCCTCCATAACCAAAGTTGAGCAGAACTTTTTGCAAAGTCTTCAACGGAAACGGTGTGTTCCTGGGTTGATTTGGTCCGAGCATGTCGAAGAAAGATGCTGTTCCGATTGCAACAATGATGCAAATGTCATGATGAGGACGTACGGGGCATGTTGTTGACAGAGAGCAGCAGAAATGGCTGCGACCTCTACGCGAGTACAAGTTAGAATTTGTTATATTCAGTGAGTTACGTCTTGTTGCGGCACTAATGCAACAACAAAAGTAACAGCTGATTTTATGACGACAACACTAATATTTTGACTACCAACGCATTTCCTGCTTATCATAGGCATTTTTCTGTGAATGGGCGCCATTGCTTCTTTTCTCGTTTAGCTCCTCACAACTCGAAGATCCAGAGCATCAAGCGTATTGAGATATTTTTGGCAGACATTTTCCAAGAAAGATTAAAGAAGAATAATCGAGACGATGAATGAGAGGACAATTTGTCTGCTTGTCACGTCACAATGGATGACACAAGTACCGGGTTACAAACTTCGAAACAAACCCCGCCTAAACCAAATTGAAACCTACCTGAGACGAAACAAAGTGAAACGAAACCAAAGTTGCTACAAAAACCCTCCTGTCACTATCATCGAAATAATCATCCAACACAAACAAACAAACGAACAAGATACGATGTCACTCGCAATCACTGGAGCTACTGCCTCTGTAACCCAATTTCATGCCATCAACTATCTGTCTCAAGCTCCTTTGTCAATTGATTCCTTGTATAAGGACGACTATTCAGGTCACAAGTTGCAACGTCGGTTCCTGAGGACGGAAGTGGTTCCCTTCCTCAAATATTTTGCCCGCATGACAGGTAATGTACTGTAATTGCTGTTCGTGTTTTGCCAATCAGTTTCTTATCCTCTAAACCTTGTTGAAGTCGCAATTGTCAGTCTCCCATATTTCATGGTCAGCATGATGTTGGGCACGTTGTTTTTTGCTGTCGTTGAATTTGCTGAATCGATGGTCGAGGTAAATTTGTTTGCTAGCCCGTAATAGCCTCGCAGCTGACTGTAGACTCTCTTACATTTTGCAACATTTCTACAGGATGTTAGGATGTATCAAGACGAACGACGAAGTGCTCGTGGTGACCCTGAAATTGATCATTCTGACGCCGAACAAGACATTGTTGGATCTGATGTTTCAGAAACCGCTCGAAGGCCTGCTCCGGGATTTTACAGAGCTGAATTGGTGCCTTTTTTCAAATATTTCGGTCGTATGGTTGGTAAGTTATATGGAAAGAACGTCTAGTGTTTCATTTGTCTTTTTTAATATCAATTTTGGGTTCAGTCTTTGAACTAAGTCAAATTTTACCTTCGTTTTCTCATCAGCCGCCATTGCTGTCTTTCCATTTGAGACGATCGGTCTCATGGTTGTTGTATCGACTCGATTGACTGCTGACCACGCTGCTGAAACTATACCTGCTGTAAGTTACATTCTCGTTTCCAATACCCGCGCTGTTGTGCGACTAATTCTTTTTACTGTAAAACATCTAACCCGTTTTTTAACTATTTAGATCGTTAGAGCGTATCGAGAGGATCGACGAAATGCTCGTATCAACCGTGGTGGATCTGATGCTGAAACCATTCGTGAGGGTCGCCCATTTCGTGGCGTTGGAGGATCTGTTGCTGATGGTGTTCGAATGCCTCCTGTTGAGGATGGCAGAGTGCTCCACCCGAATCCTAAACTTGTCAAACCGTCTTCAAACTCTGTTACTCACAGACGTCGTCGATCTGTTGCTCGTGTTTGAAAAGTGTGAGTTCGTTGCTTAACTTTGAAAGAAGGGGGTTGGCTCTAAACGAAATACGTAGAATTGATAAGAGTCAGAATTGTTCTTTAGTTATTTTGCTGAAGTAACGGTGATTTTGGATTGTTAGAGAGAAAAGTGTCGGGGTCGGTTCGAAATGTGTAGTGGGGTGCACCGTAGAATGGATAGAGTGTTTTGAAAGTTTGAAATAATAATAATGAATGTTCTTCTTCTACAAAGTAAGAGCAATTCTGCGAGTCAGTCTTTCAAGAAATCCGTCCTCCTGAGAAAAAACGACCTTATAAAAACTGATCGGAGTATGGGACAAAGGGACACCGTGTTGGAGACACAACACCCTTTCAAGACCCTGTAAAGCCTGTAAGTACACATCTGTCAGAATTGACGTTATTGATTGAATTACTTGTTGTTGCGGCATTGAAAGAATTTTGTTTTTTTGATTTGACGTTATTTTGCTGGTATGTTATCCAATTCCACATTTTCTATAGCTACGGAATCAATATTTTGCTAAGCGTATGCTTACACTATGCCTCTGAGAGCTCTTGGCAAGAAAGTGAACCATCAAAAAACTCAAAGGTTTCGTTTAAAACATCAAGGTCCGAGGAAGAGTCACGTTGGGTGTGGAAGGAAGCCAACGACACTTGACATCATCTCAAAGTGAATGACGGATGATGGTGGCATATTTTCTTCTCACATGAGAAACAAAACATACCTGAAACGAAACCAAACTTGTGACGAGATCGTTTCAGACCTATCATCAGGACAAAAATTGCATTTGTCATGGTTGGCTTTATTCTGGCTTCGATTTTCCGTTTTGGTCGTCGTTCAGCTGCAACCATTGTCGATGTACATTTGTACTACATCTGTGTATATCTTCGCAGCTCACCATTCTGTCTTTTCCATCTTTAATGGAAGAGAGACTGCCCGGTTGCGAGCTGAGACTGACACGCTCTTCACGACGAAACTGCACGTCATCGTATGGAATCTGTTGATAACGGTATTCGTCGAGGTGTCAGATCTGACACTTTTGGCAGTCAAACTGGATCTGATGCCGAAAGTGACCATACCCGTGTGTTTGAAGAATCTGATGTTACTCGTGGTGTTTGTATGCTTACTACTCAGAGTTATGGACTTTCTCCAAATTCCAAGCCTGCTAATCCGTTGCCAAGGGCTCCAACCTCATCCCCTTTGAGAAAATGTCGTTCTGTTTCTCGTGTTTGACAATGTGGTGAGGGGTTTAGATTTCAACATGTTTTAGGAACCTGACGAGTGCTGTCCTTAGATGCTTGTTTTGGCTGATAGGATCTATTGAATCTCGTATCGGGCTCCTTCTTTGAATTTACTGGGTCGGAGAGTGTTTCTGTAGTATAGCCTTGATCTGAACTTGGTGATGGGCAAATTCGATTGCTGTCAGACCACAAAACATTTCACTTGTAATTCTCAGGATGGCCTGGGACCCTTTCATAGGACTGTTTCACAATGATACTTTATTGGGAAGAAAAGGTGCAAACTCTCAAAACACACAGAAAGTACAATGACTCAGTGTCTCACTACAATGCTCAATGTATCAAGACAAGTCTCATGATCGATATTGAAAACGACGCATTAGTTTAGGGACTCCTCCTCCTGGTGAGCCTGGTCTCATTACTGTTGGCAATGTCACGCCACCAGTCTTGGGAGGGGTTTTGGGTGCGACTACTGGTGGCTCGATTACTGGTTTAGGCTTCAGTTTTGTTGGGTCGACTGCGGGGGGTTCGTCTACCGGATGCGGTGGGTAAAGATCACCATCCATACCACCAATCACTGCAAGTTTGGCTTTATTACTCGCAGCGACAGTGTCAGTGTTGAAGACGTTCTTGACTTTGGCAGTTAAACTGTCGGTCAACTAGCAGATAATAATAACGGTTATCTCAACTGTATTTGAAAAAGCACACCAACGTTCTTGCTACCTTCAGAGTAGCCTCAGGGCCCAAAACCACTGCGAGAACAACTCCAATCGTTAATATGACAGTTCCGACAGCAACACCAATAGCGGTTGCTACTGCTATCAGAGGTGATGCAACGCCAAGGGCTACTTTGATTCGAACAATTCTTTTCGAATTACGATTCACGATTTCGACTTGGTCTTGGTAGGCAGTCAACTTTTGCTCTGCAAGCATGACGGCTTGTTTTATTTCTTTGGGTGGTTCAACTGGACTGGTCTCTGCCGCGGAGTAGCGATATTTCCCTTCCTCATTTATGAGTGTCTAGAGTGAATAGGTACAAAATTGATATTTGTGAGTATCATGAACATACTGCTATAAAGCACGACTGAATATGTGAGACACTCACTGACCTTTTCTTCAGGAAGCTCAAAGAACTGTCCCGTGTTGCCGTCCTTGTAGGAGAGCTTCAGACCAAGTCGATCTTTTGTAGCTTGGTCCTTTTGTGATGAATCTCGTTAAATATACCCCTGAGCAATATATGCCAAAGAATCATTACCTTGCTGTCGAACCCGATTGGTTGTAAAAAATTGACTCTAACAGGACGACCTCCTGAAGTATCAGGCCCTCGCATCGTGACGGTAGGAACAATCTCCCAGCTACCAGTTGCCTGTTCCTTGGGGAACATCTTTTCAAATTGAGCTTGTTGCTTGGCATCTTGCAGATTATCAAACTAGTGATAGAGAGATGTGCGTAAATACAGTGGCTGGACATTACCGTCATTGTCCCAATTGCGTTCTAGAAACAGACTGTGTTTAAAGTCAAGTACCTTCACATAATCTCCTGCGTACTCGACTTTTGCGTTCAAATCTTCAAATGTTTCTCCAGTAATCGTTTGACCTTCCTACCAAAAGGGGACATTTGGGTCAATACATATCTGCCGGATTTCTTTTTATCTTTCAAGCATTGGCGCACACTAAACCACCTTTAGTTTGAACCTATACCATACGTCTATGGGTTTCAGGTTCGGGTCTGCTTGTACCAGTCGAGAGATATACACGGAATCTCCTGATTTTACTCCATCACCAACTAATTCCCGTATATCGTTTATAAATTGGAAACTCTCGTCTGCGAATTCTGCATAGTTGGTTGCAGAATAGATTTCGTATCCAGTTCCGTACTTGAGAGCTACAAGTCCTATGTCTCGGTAGTCTGATAAAGAAGGAGGCTTGTCGATGTCGGTATCTCCCTTGACTGCCAGTACACCAAGCAACGTCACGAACCAAACTTCAAGAAACATCTTTTGATTTATAAAAGCGATGGCTAAGGCAAAACTTGTTCTCGATCCTGGATGAGATTCAAGTAGCTCAACAGGGCTGCAACCTTTCTGATCTCTTTTGAAGACAGAGTTGAAGAGTTTCTTGGTTGTCCAAAGTTTGAGTGTGCAAACCGTGGATGTACCCCACCAAAGGTGTGCAAGAGATCAGGCCTCTCGTGTGCAGAATTTGGAAGGAAGCGGCATGCCGTCGTTTGCAGGCCTTTGACAATCGTACATGTTGTCCTGGCCATTCGCGAAAATTGCAAAGTCCAGCACTGCTTTCAAGCGCAGTTGGACATACAAGGTATGATTTTGAATACAACGGACTCCGAACTTTCCTTTGCTGAGGCAGCGATCGCTTAGGATCGAGTCACTTAAATTCGTGTGTTTGCATTCTTGGGGTTGAGGAATGAAGCGAGGGAGCCAAACAGTTTGACCACGAAAACTTTTGAAATTTCATTGCATGGCAGCCACTAGATCTCAAATTTGGTCTCTCTGAACGGCTTCAAAGGCCAAATCCCGTGCGTTTGCAGGCCTCGTTTTGCATTTGTTTGAAGATGGCAACAATCGCTAAAAAAACGATGGCATTATTGGCTCAAATTTGGTTATAATGTATGAATACTTCCAATCTAGCCCATTATTTGCATCAAATCACCGTGGACTCTTTTGCTGCTAGAGCAGATAAATGCAACATCATTTTGACATTTCGGATTGTTTTCACAAAATTGGATCTGTCTCGCTCGTCGTCAAAACCGGCAGCTAAAGGGTCCCTACGCCAAATTTCATCTCATTCAAGACAAGGAATAACGCTATAATGTGCACAATTGATGCAACCTGTTGGCACAGAAATACCCCCACCAGAATGGCCGGAACGTCTTGATGCATAACCTGCACGAACAGGGTACCTGTCCATTCTTCTGCAACATCCATTTACTTCCTGGAGTCGCTTCCACCAGCTCTGTCACAATAAAGACTATTTAACGCATTATTGCTGTGCTTCTCCCGGTGCCGCTTCGCCTGATGCTGCATGCAGACCTCGATTACCTCATTCACACCTACACCTAGTGCGTCGCCCGATACAAGAACAGCTGGTATCATTTCTGGAAGTGTAATTGGTTCTGCTGCAGTTCTCACCGCAGGCGTAGCCGCTGTATTCTCTAGGAACAGAGAAGCCAAGAAGCACGCAGATGGTGCAAGGAACGAAAGCAAAGTCTAGTAGTTTTCCTACGTGGCAAAAAGATGTGGGAAATACATGTTGTGAATCGATAAATAAGTGTGGTAAAATGGACGAACGCAAAGTATAGTCTTCGCTATATGTATAGTCTTGTTTTATGTGGCAAAAAGCTGTGAAAGTACATGAGGTGCATCGATGAGTCCATTACCCCCGTTTTTGATGTTCGTGCCTAGCGTTGGGGAGGATGAAACAAAGGTCAAATAGCAGGCAATGGGGCATACAAATGCGTAACGTAAAAATGGAGTCCATGACATCTACGTAGTTCTATGAGTGCAAACATACGAATACGAAACGAGGCTCAATTACATTATTACTTTTAAATAGAAAACACTAGTCCGTGGTCGTGAGCAGTTTATAACAATTCTAGTCCTCATCAGCAGCAACTTCGGTCAGCACTTCCTTCAAGTCATGTCCAATCCACTGTCACGGAGAGATAAAACAGTTAGCACCAAAAAATCAAGACATGGTATCACGATGAGACCGACTCCATACCTGTACACTTTGCATCTCCATCAACCTCGACAGTGCCCTCTGAAACGCAAACACCTCTTCACTGCCCGAGAAGATAGGCGACGACATTTGTTCCGGCGTCAACTTTAAATCATCCATCGTCTGCCGCTGATGATCAGACACAACCCCTTTCGTAATCATTGGATCATCAGATGAGAATAATGCATGTAGTGGTGCATCTGTTAACATGACGAGATTCATATGCGATTCATACAGTGCGTCTAGCAATGTAATGAATCTTCGTGCCTCGTTGCGGTGCTTTAATGTCATTTTAGGCACATCTGTGACCACCAGTGTTCGAAGTCCTGATTTAGCGATTTCGAGATAATCCGCAGCGGAATGTGGCTGTCCACATAGTTCTTCGAAGGATATACGGGCTGCTGTTGGTGTTGATTCGGGGAGTGTCATTGATCTGCCCAAGAAATAGAGGACCTTTTCTTCGACTATGTGGTCTCCGACCATTTTACGCCATATGGAGTCGAGGTGGGCGCTGTTCGTGCTGTTGTTTGGGTATAGGAAGACTCTATATTTGTCTCGCTCTAAAACGAAGAGATGAGTCAGAAAGACGACAAAGAAGATACTTGCATGATTAGTAATGAAATACTTTGCTTTCGGTAGTCAACACCGGAATTCAGTGTATGAACTTCACAGCGTTCCTTTAAAAGTTCTATGGCTGGTATGAAGCTCGATCTCTGAATACCATTTTTGTACAGTTCTGAGATATCATGACGTGTAACGTTAGCGACTTCATATGTACAATCATCAGAACCATATTTCTTACCATCTGGGGGTCTATTCGACGTAGTCACCATAACCACTCCACGATTAAATAGTTCAGTAAATAGACGTCTGAACCAAACCACAGAAAAAAAAATAAAAAAAATTAATGACACAACATCTCATTTGTCACATCGACACAACCAACGCATACCTCAGAATCATAGCGTCAGTTATATCAGTCACTTGTAACTCATCAAAACACAAAAGGAAGGCATTGCTCGCTAGCTCATCCGCAATATATGGGATTGGATCCGTTCCAATGCCACGAGACTGCCGTAATTGATGCACTCTCCTATGCACCTACAGTAAACCTTGATGAATAAGTTTGGTACAAATTAGAAACCCAGACAACCACTCACATCCTGCATGAATGCATGGAAATGCACTCTTCTCTTCCTCGTTATGGCACATGACGAATAAAACAAGTCCATGGTCATTGTCTTTCCAGTTCCTACATCTCCCCACAGATATCTATATATGACGTGTCAGAAAACTAATTCTCCATAAATTGTCTTGCCAATAGGGTGCTTACAGTCCTCGTGGCCCTATCACCATATCTCGTTCTGGTGCTTTGCTGGCAAACATACTAGAGAACTGGAGTGCGAAAAAAAATAAAATCAAACTAAGCCCAATCAAATGTTTCGTCCACACACTCAACATACCATACTAAACACACCACCATCACTCTCCACAGCACCCTCACTGCTCTGAATGGTGGGTGGACTATACCCCTTCAGACGATCATACAGCTCCTGCAACTTTTTCACAGTAACTCTCTGGTGCGCATCATCATTCAACTGTCCTCTGTTAACAAGCGACGTGTAGAGCGCCTGAGGACCCGAAACTATAACTCCAGTTTCCCAAGGTGCATTAGCTGGAGTGTCTGGATGCGACATGGCAGCTGGTTTGGTATCTGTTGTTGATGAGGTCGCAAGAGCTGGTTTTGAATATGATGATGTGACATCATCCGGTTGTTTGGGTATCGAAGGAGGCTGTTGAGATAGTATGGGAGCTTCGGCGTGAGCTAGAGATGATTGGCATCGCACTAAGGAGCAGAAAAGTGTTGGTTCCAAGCAAACCCAAAAACTTCAGCTTTTTAACTTGGACGAATTGGAAGGATTCGCAGAGACCGAGCTTACCACGATATGAACGAGGAGAGACTCGTATTGCCTGGCACGTTGACAACGCTTTGACAGCGCTTCGAGTGAGCGACCGACTTGCCATTTCTCAACTTCGAGGTTTGACGGGGTTTTTGAACTTTTTGTACGTTGCGAGAACCCCAACCCTGCTAATAAAAACACCAAACGTCCCGTAGCGTTCATTATTAAATGCTAAATATCTAATGCTAGAAAAATACAATCTTCCCTTTCTGACTCTAAACTAGGCTAGTATACAAACTTTTACAATTCTTGCGCTTCGCGAATGTATAGGAGAACGAAAAGAATCAAGAGTAATATGACCATCAATGCCATTGTAGGGGCTGATGGTAGGCCTAAGTGAATAGGCAAAATGATTCAGCACGTATTCGACGTGATCTGTGAGGGCATCCACTTACTGGATCTCTTTGGCAACAAGACCAGATGAACAGATGAATCTGCTGATCCACTTGCCAAAACACCTCCATCTGGACTGAATGCCACAGACGTCACTGGGAATGAATGTGCATTGAGGACTCGGCATTGTACCTATGTTTGAGTTAGGGATGAGTTCGAAAACGTCGGCGAGGAAGAACAAAAAAGCAGGCTAGGTGTACTGATCAACCAGCTTACATTGAGGCTGTTGGCACTCAACACCACCACACTCAAATCAGATATCCCAACTGCCATCTTTTCACCATCAGGACTATGTTCACAAATAAATCTTTCAATAGCAGCGCAAAAAAGCAACATGCAAAAACGATACAATACCTCATCGTAAAGGCCGTAACAGGCTTCTTTCCAATCTGTCTCTTCCTCACCATCTCCCAAGTATCCGTCCTCCATTGCCCAACAAATGATTTTTTTCTCGACTTTTCATTGATGATCAAATACAAGTATTTTGCAGTGTCTTGTCTTCCAAATCGACATCCTCGGAATTCGCATGGAGATCCACTTGATGTTGCTGGATTGGATATTTGGAAGGCGACTTTACCATCTTCTATGGATATCACTTGGCATTGTTTTGGAGTGACAAAGACCAACTAAAGGCAAGCGAGCTGGTGTGAGGAATATGCTTCCAACATTTTTTGACCATGTGCGATATGGTCTCATCTTCAAACGCATACATACCCATTTGGATTTCGAATCAAAATCAGCATCAAATATTTCTTCATTTATTGTCATTGAAGGTCGGTGTTCTGTCAATGACGGGAACTTCCATAAATGTAGCTAGGTTGGGAAAAAGCGATCAGGGAGATGACGCGTACACACAACTTGAGTTCAATATACCCACTTTGCCATCTGTTGTTCCTGTAACCAGCATGGAGCCATCTGAGCTTGAGCGGGCCACTCTCTGCCATGCATACACGTTACGTTTTTTTGTCATAATCAATAACTCGTTCCAACTGACACATCATACCTGATAATGTTCAGCCTTCTTTCCAGTAACAGTCTGCACAGAATTGACGAGCTCAAATACAGCTGTCTTAGTATCTTGTGTGATTGTCTTGTCAGGATCAGTAGCAGTTCGTGTGTAAAGTCGAAAGTTCTTGTTGTCTCCAGCTTGTATCAGTTCTTGCGATGCATTGACACCAGCGACAACGAATGTCTTGTCTTCCTACAACAGTAATAGCAAAAAAAGAGGCATAAATGATGATGATTCAAGAATTATTGAAAGATCTGTAGCGCTGTATATTACCTGACGCACAACATCCAAACTCATACAAGCATCATCTTGTTTTGAGAATTGAATATCTCCAGCTTGCCTAAGCTCCAATTCCGATGGATCCACATCATACACGACCTACAATTGAGCGTACGGTTGTTGAATCGTGATCTCGACAGTTGCAATCTTCAACAAATGAACCCACAAACTAGACAGATGTATCGACACTTACAACAGCATTTTTGACACCAGATTTATTGGGACCTCCACCTCCACCAACATATAGCTTGCACCTTGTTGTTGAATCATCGTCTGCAAACGCCAAACTAAACACTGGGAAATCAACTGGCGTCGACTTTTTCGTCATGGAGCCGAACATGGTGATATAGAGGCTATTATTATTCAAATTGGATGTTAGTAATATGTTCTTGTCTCTCTTTGCAATGAAATGATTCACTTACCAAGTTGCCAACTTTTACAGATTAGAAGAAATGAGCAAGTTGGCAAGAGTCGAGTGTTTCTTGTCGCGTATTACGGATCCATACACCAATCTGGCCCTAGAAGATTGGTAAGCTATCTCATATAAAAACGACGCGTTTTTCTATTCAGATTCTTGGAAAATGACTGACATCAAACTTTGATGTGTTAGGTTGTTTCAACAAAAGACAGCTTCAAGCTACGTTTTATTCTTGTACAGGAATTCTCCAAGTGTCATCATTGGAAGGAATCAAGTACGTTTACAATGCTGCTTTGACTTGAGGTTGATGAACTAGTCACGATCAGCTCACTCGGAAATGTTAGAATCCATGGCGAGAATGCAATCTACGGTTGATCAAAGACCATCATGTGCCGCTAGTACGAAGGAGAAGTGGTGGAGGAACTGTATATCATGTACTTTTCCAGGTGATATGTTTCGGCTTTTTTTCGCCTAAAGCTAACTCAAACCCGATTTCTTTGAGGACTTGGGAAACACCAACTACTCGTTAATGATGCCTCGTCAAGACTTTTCACGCAGTCGTGGTGTCCAACTAATATGTCGAGCACTCCACCAACTCGACATCCCAGCCTCTGAAAACACTCGACACGATATAACGATATCAGATCGAAAAGTATCTGGATCTGCATTCAAAATCGTTAACGATCGAGCATACCATCACGGCACTATGCTTATACACTCCAATCTAAGCCATTTGAAACAGTATCTTGCTAAAGATGCCAAGTCTGGATTGGCTGGTAGTAGTATTCAGGGGAGAGGGGTTGAGAGTATCGCGTCTCCTGTTACAAGACTGGCGAATCACTCATTGACGATTACGCATTTGGGGTTTGTGGAGGCTGTGGTTGATGAGTTTGTAAAGAGTTTCGGGGGTAGAGATGTCACCTGGAGTGGACTTGACTATGAACGTGCTGCTACTACGGCGAAGGGTGATGTAGAGCTTAAAGTGCTAGATGATGAATTTATAGAGGAGCATGAGGAGGTGGCTGAAGGTGCGGAGTCTCTTAAGGTGACCTTCTCATGTAATTCTGCCTTTTTTTGGCTACGTCCCTCACACTTTTTCAAACTTAGACATGGGACTGGACATTTGGGCAAACGCCTCTATTCACACATACTCTATCACCTCTCTCAACTGCAAAGGGAATCGTACAAGCTACCTTCACTGTAGATAACGGCATCATTGTTGATTCAGCGGTGACTGGTCTCAACGCTGAAATCTTCAAGGGACAACGATACGATGCATCATCGCTAGAGACATGGACTGATACATTGGATGATGATATCATGAATTGGTTTAAACGTGAGATTACATAGAAGTAAGAACCTGGTCTAAACCACATTTTTGTAAAACAACTCTTTCGTCTGCCACGTACAAATACAATGTAAAAATTGATCTCTCATCACAAATTAGAATTCTAGCAACCGTGTTTTGATTCTCGAATGCTCTTGGCTTCTTGCTCTTCTAGAAAGATGCAGTCTGATTGGTTGTTACTGCGCGCACCGAATAACTTCTTTTTCTTTGACACGGCGCGATCAAAAACCTCTCTGGAACCAAGACCTTATCAAATCTGCTTTGTACCAGCATCTTGAAATCATGTTTATCAAACTTGCTTTGGGGCTATCGTTAATTACGTCTGCTCTTGGGCATGCCGAACTCGTGTCGCCTTTAGCTTTCAACTCCAATCCGAGCAAGACGTTCCCGTGTGGTGGATCTCCTGCCCTGACCATGCCTGCAGCGTACGTGAAACTTGGGTATTTTCGGAAGGGTCTCGGTTTTGGTGTTGACAATTTCTTCCTATTCAGGTATTACAACGCTTCTCAAACCGTCACATTCCAATGGACTATTGTTGCCGCAGATGGTGTTGGTGATGGTGCGTTTGACCAGACGCCTGCTACCCTGTAGCAATACTAACAACTTGTACCATTCAGGTACTCTCGCTGCATACATTGACACAACCGGCGGCGTAACCAACTTTGGATCATCATCAGCATCAGTCACTACAGGTGGAAACGTCATCAGCGTTGGCACAGTGACTGGATCATCCTCTGCGGGTGTTGGAGGTATTTTTAGGCCAACAAGTGTTAAATTTTGATATCTAGACTCATTTGATTCTTGTTAGGACCGTATCCATTCTCATTTACCATGCCAGCTGGCTTCAATTGCACGGGCACCACCTCAAATGCAAACGTTTCTCAATGTACTCTGTTAATCACGTCTCCGTCCACCGGCTGGACTGCCTGTACTTCGTTTGCATTGGGCGCCCCACTCGCCAACTCCGTATCAACCAATCCCACAGCTCAATGTGTTTTGGGTGGTGGATCTGCACCAAATTCGTTTGTCAGCTTTTGCTCTGCACTTAATGGGTACTACTTTTTGTTGAATCCTTTGACGAGTATTGCTGGACAAGATTCGGCTGCAAATGCTGCCTACACTTTCAATGTGAACAACCAGAACGTGTTCAATACAAGGTAATCATCGCTCTTGCAGCTGGAAAAAAATTAAATGATATCTCACGCATTTCCACTGTTTCTAGGACATCAACATATTGCCCGTTAAAGTACAAGAACTATGTCTGTGGGCAAAACTTCCCTCCGTGCAATGCCACTGCACCATGTAAGTGCCTCTGAAAGCTTGTATGTTATACTACAATACTCATGCTGCGTCATGCCTAGATCCATCCGACTATTCTGTAACATCAACAACCTGTTCCAGCATGACTTCCACATGTGGATTAAACTCTACTCACGCAGCTCTCTATAACTGCACACTATTGAACTCTGTGGTTCCATCTTCTGCTATTGGTTTGAGACAGGTTGGGCTGGTACCCTTCCTCGTGGTAGCACTGTTTATGATCATGGCCTAAGACGAGTGGTTGGTTGATATCGATATGGCAAGAAAACAAGTAATTTAGTAGTATTAGTTTAGTTAGTATTAGTTTTTAGTAATGGATACCCAACACATACCAATGATGGTTTTTTCGCGATGGTTTGAGGACGGAATGATGTATAATAGCTGTACCACGCGTATTCGATCCTGAAATGTACGTGATTCTTTCTGAAGTTTGTGGTTGGTTGAGCGTTACGATGGTTCTGCCACGTCAGAGAAGCCAAAACACTTTACTTGGCAGACAACGACAAACTGATTGAAGAAGCAACGAGAACAGGTAAAAGAAGCACGATATAGCTAATATTTGCAAACCATTCGCATCACTTGTCCATTACAAGCTAAACACCACTCTCTCTCTGATAGAAACTAGTATCGCATCGATTCACCCGGCCACCATGCCCCCATCGAAAACCGTCAGTAGACGAGATACTACCACCACAGCACGTCAACCAGAGCCGGACTATTCCAAACCTCGTAAACGCACCGTCTCCACCATCGAGAAATTAACCAAGAAGGTCGATTCCCTTGAGGCATTGCTACGGTCATTAAACAACTATCGTATACCACCACTTAAGGCTTGGAGTAGCATGGAATCTCCGGAATCATCTTCCGGAACTGACTATAGCATGGTGAGTGCCTCTGACTTGCTACGGCTGCTCGATAGTGATGATATGCTGACTCAGACAATGTTATCGCAGGATGATGCTCATAGTAGTGCTACCACAAGTCCCATTGCATCTTTCCTACCATCTATATCGCTACCGGAACCGACAGGATGGGACGACTCGCTCCTCTTTGAAGACACAATACCAACCTTCCCAACAATTGACACACTCGAATCCCTATTCGACGACGTAACTCAACCAATCCTAATTCAACCGCTACCCACCATCCCCAATTACTGTGGAATTGATACCGCTACCGTCCAATCAGCTGTAGATGTCTTGTTTCAACGCTTACATACGTGGGTACCCATTAGCTTCCTTCATAAACCGACATTCATGAACCGATTAGGGAGTCAGACGTCTCCGTTGCTCTTGTATGCTACTTTGGCGTGCACTGTAGAGTATATACCCGGTGGTGGTTGTACTGCCGCTGACGAGTATTTCAGCTTGGGGAGGAAATATGTGTCGTTGGAAATGGATGGAGAGTTTAGTCTTGACTATGTACATGGATTGTTGTTGTTAACGCTGTTTGCTGGACGTACTCGTAAAGGTAGGAGAATGAGATTTGTTTTGGTAAAACGCACAAAATAGCTGACCGTCGCGACTCCATATAGAATCAATCCACAACACTCTCTTTGGTCTATGCATTCGTGCTTCTCAAGCACTCAAACTGGACATTGATCCAAGTGAATCCAAGCAAAACTTCACTTGGATTGAATCTGAGACTCGACGAAGGACGTGGTGGTCGCTCTTCATGTACGTTGCAACTTTTTGCACTATCAAATCAACTCCTTCTGACTTTTTCTATCTTAACCATAGAATCGACACGATGATGACCATAATCTCAGACACGTCATCAAACCTCTGCTTCCCAAACCTCAACCTCCCAGCCCCAGAATCGGGCTACTACTCCATCACAGCCACTACCGGAATACCAAACATCTCACCATCGCTTGTATCTCTTGATCCCGGAATCCAGCTTTGTCAACTAATTCGTATACTGTACAACTTGAAGCACGGGCACAATCAGAGTCAGAATCATAGTGATGATGATTTGAGTGTGTTTAGTGCTGCTCTACCATCTGCTTGGAGTATTATTGAACCTGTTGAATGGAATGTGTTTGGAATGCATCAACGGGTTGGATTGCTTCATGTGCTGCACAGGACTTGTGTTTTGATGTCGGTATGTAAAGAGAAGTAGTCGTGATGCCATGATTTGTTTATAGGCATTAGATATGTTTCCGTCATGTGTTTGCTGCTCAGCTAACCTCTTCTAAACTTTTTCTACTCAGAATCGAGCCAAAATGTTGGACCCAAACCACCCATCATCAGCCATGTCCACCGGTCTCTGCCTATCCGCATCTCTATCAGCAGCAGACGACATCTGCACTCTCTTGCAACCAACAATGCTCTCAGATCTCGAAAACTTGGGTATCTTGGCTATCCCAGTCGCCTTTGCGTGCTTTCAGGTAATAAATACCGTTACTTCACTGTTGAGCATCGCATCATACTGAACAACTAACATTGTTGAATCCAACTCCCTGATGTCCTTTTTATGTTAGGCTGGACTAGTTTACACACTCTGCATGGGCACCCAAGCAACAGCAAGCGACTTGTGGTCTGGACGACTGAGTCGTCTTCGATCAATCCTGTTGCGATTAGGTGCATCTTGGCCTGTGGCGCTTGATTATGATGCTAAATTGGGTAATATTATTTTACTCAATTCGGCGTCGTCGTCGTCGGTGCAAGTGCCAACGTCAGTAAGTTTCAATGATGAAAATTACTTTGGCGTAGCGATATAAAACGTCGTAGCGAGCATATACCGTAGCGATATATATTTTGGGTTGTTTTTACGCTGATGGGCATGCGTGCCTACTATACATATATAAGGGGAGGAAGATTGTGATGATGATGGAATGAGGGATATGATGATGGATAACGTTAGCGAACAAAACGTCGTAGCGTGTTTTTGATTGATTATAACAACTTTTTATAAAGCCAAAAAAATGTTAAAATGTAGCACCATCTGGATCCAACTGCGAATTATGGTTACATGGCGACAATCTACATCTATATTTACTATGTCCGCTCAAGTATATACAACAGCGGTCTGACAACAACTTTAACAGGCAACTCTAAAACGTAAAACTTGAATACCGATGGCCTCCATACCAATTCCCTCGTCCTCCACCTCTGAACTTGTTCACTCACCCACTGCCTAACACTTCCAATACGCAACCCGCTATACCCATTAATCTGACTCACCACCTTCCATTCTCCACCTGTTGTATGATTACTCGCATGCTCCGTAATCAGATGCGTATACCCAAAATCCACGTACTCGGACAACGACGTATGATTTTCATATTTTGAGTACTTCCATTCATTATTTAGCTGTCCGAAGAGTGATGCGCCTGTTGTGCATGTGTATGTGTCTAGATGGATGTATAACTGTGTGGATGGTGGGTACAAGGTGTGGAGACGGGCAAGGGCGATTCCACCTGGATAGTTCATCGATGATACGTATAGTTGGAGGAGCGAGTATGTGAATGTTGATAGGAGGGCGGCTAGAATGCTGCCTGTGAGTAGCATCTTGCTACTATGGTTGTTTGTGCTTTTGAGTATGGATACGAGGGATACCGAAGCAGCCATATTAAATAACGGGATTACGTAGATGACGAACCTCCACTCCTTGTGTGGGAGGATTGAGTACATGCTTACGTACATGAGTGCTGGGATGAGATATTTCCGTATCTTGGCATTACTGCTACCGCTAAAACTAATGACAACCCCATATATCGATATAGGCAGAGCAAGAGGCATCAGTTTCGGTAGATGCATACTAAAATACGCATGCCACGGCTCAACACCCCAATTCGACGATTTACCATACACGACATTATATATAAACGATTTGGCTTCAGGCCACATCCATAGTTCGTTCCAGAAATACATGTCGACTGATACTGTCATTGCGACAGACATTGCAGCAGCTTGGTAACCGACTATTATAGATTGTGAGATTATAGACGGGTGTAAGATCCATTCGACGAGTATTATAGAGGCGGCAAAGACGGATATTTCTGCTCGTAGTACAGCGGCTGTGAAGCAAAAGATTTGTATCATTTGCGTTAAGCCTTCTGTTAGTTGTTTGGGCTTGCTATTACTTTTTGGAGTTTCCTGTTTTGGCTGCTTCTTCTCACTACTGCTATTACTACTCTTACTACCATCCTTTGATCCTGTAGCAGCCGATGATGATCCCGGCGCGTCCTTTATACCACTACTCGACTGCCCATCCTCATCAACATCGCCCAAAATCCAACACGCCAAAGCATAATTCGTAGCAACAAACGCGAACGTATTAGGCAACGTCCGACTCCCATAATATAGTAAATGAAACTCTGTCATCCCAATAATCGAATACCAAGCAGCCACGTCCTTTCCAAACCTAGCTTTAACAGCATCTCGAATACTCGCTAGTGACAAGACAGTCAATCCACCTAATACGACGCGCACGACGATCTGGATGTCGAATTTGGAAATCCATGATTGTTTGTATGCGAGGAGGGATGGAGATGCGAGAAAGGATAGGAGGAGAGAAGGCATGAATGATTTGGGGACTGCTCCTGGGAAGGTAAAGTGATCATAGAGAGTCATGTTTATGGGACCATAGAGCATTATGTCGTGCGTCGCTTGTAGGTGGAAGCTTTCTTCGACCTAGACGTGAGCATGCGTGAGTACTTGAGTAAGCGTCAGTGAGCAAACAGCACTCATCAATTTGATGTTACTTTGGTGTATGGACAAACCAAGATATAGAAGAGGACAAGCGAGAATGTCGCAATGTCGAGTAATGCATCTGGAATGTCCATTGTTGTGGACGTTCTCGTCTTGGATTGGCCTTTCTTCAACACCATGTTTAGATCCTAACAAAATCTGTACATGTCAAGCACGATCAGTCACAACTGTAGTTTCTAAGTGAATATACGACATGCAACACGTGTAAATAATAGACTTGCCCCTCTCCTTTGTATGCAATCTTCTTGTCTCAGCAGTTTAATCTACATCAAAATGTTATGGAGTTATGGGCGTTGGCAGGAGTTTCGACACAATACAAGCGTGTTAAGAATTTGATATTGAGCTGGCAACGCGCTATTGGAACGTGATTTACCTGTCCTGGGTCCTCAAGGGCTCCTTCAACAAGCCTTCTCCTCGCTAAACTAAACCAACAAAAAGCTGCAAGCTAGCGCAATGCTGCCCGAGATTCCCGGCAACTTGCTTCCAGAACACGATGAAATCTTGTATGAGCTCAAGGTTCAGGTTGGCTCTTGGTTGAAAGTTGGTCCAAACAGGCAAGTTTCTGTTCTTTGTTGAGCACATTTGGTGTTGATGAGGTTTATGCTAGAATGTATGTTTATGAACTGAGTTTGTATGCATCTCTTGACTATAGATTCCCCGGAGCGCAGCCTGTAAGCTTTGCCAAACATCATCTGGAAGAGCTTCAACATGAAAACTATTTCGTGTCGGAGAAGGCGGATGGAATACGATGCTTCATGTATGCTACAAGGAGCACTACTGCAAATAAAGTCTGGACGTTTCTGGTAATGAAATTGGAGTGATGCTGGTGAAGGATCTAGGCTTCCACATGACGAGACTGACTGTCTTTTTGGGTCACTCATGTAGATTGATCGCAAAAACAACTATTACCTGCAACCAAATCTATGGTTGCCATCTGCTGAAAACATTGGCAATCCACAAATTGAGACATTGTTGGATGGGGAACTGGTTTTGGATCAGTATCCTGATGGAAGAGTATGTATGCTTGGAACTTCTCTTGCACAGACAACAGCTGATTCTTTTTTGTTGTTGTAGAAATCAACCATTTTTTATTTATTCGATTGCCTCGTATGCAATGGCAAGAATCTATGTGAACGAAGCTATGAGAAAAGACTTGGGGTAGGAGCTAGCTCGCGTGAATAACCACATGGTGTCTTTTGACCTTCCTCTTTTTAGCATTTGAGAGAACTTGTGTTGAAGCCATACAAGAAACGAGTGAAGAGTCATCCCGAGTATGCCAGTCTACATGCCTTTCGGTAAGCACTCGACCTCTCTCCATCCCGCCACATCACGCATCACTGACACGTTTTACGCCAATGATAGAATTGAAGAGAAGCCCCTCCAACTAGCATACCATGTCCGAAAAGTATTCGAAGACATGCCTACACTGCTACACCTGAACGACGGTGTCATTTTCACATCAGCTACAGCACCGTATGAAGCTGGAACATGTGAAAAGATGATTAAATGGAAACCAGTAGATGAAAACACGGTTGATTTCCGAATACGGATTGACGATACAAATGCTGGTGATTGGAAAGTCTATTTGGATATATTTAGTGGAGTGTATGGAGAGCCTACGTATCAGAGGATTGGAGAATTAACGCTGGATGATGCGTTACGTGATGAGTAAGTATGCAAAAAGTCGCTCAGATTCTACAAGCGGATTGCGAGACATGACACATCATCCTTGCTAACAAACATACACCGTTAGATGGAAGGCTCATCCACCACAATCAGGACGAATAGCAGAATGTCGATACGATTCATCCGCCACGACACATTGGAAGTTTAGTCGCTGGCGTGATGACAAGGATGAAGCAAACCACATCTCTGTCTATGCAAAAATCATGCAGAGTATAGCAGATGCTGTCGCTAAAGAAGAATTGATAGCTACATCTACAGACATTCAAAGAGCTTGGTATGCTCGTGATGGTAAACCATTACCACCTTCAAGTGATGTTTCGTCACTAAAGCGATCTTCTACTGCTGGTGGTGAAGATCATGAACCGAGTAATAATGATGCGAGTAGCAGTGTAGGAGGAGACGCGAATGGGAATAAGCGGGCGCGTGGAAGCTGAGGAGAAAACAGAAGGAGGGAGAAAGAAGGGAAGAATAGAGTGATTGATTGGCAAGAAGAACAAACAAGCGGCCTCATGTGTAAAATTGTAATATAACACTAGCAAGCAATTTAGTACATTATAAACCAGTATAATTAGATCTGAAACACCTTGCGGGATCTCGATCTGTCTGTTATACAGCTTCCACCACTTTGCACCTACACAAAGGCCGCAACCAACTTGGAGAATGACAGAGGCATTTGTAGCGGACTTTGCGCGATTCCTACGCAAGTATCCTGAAGAAGTCACGTCTACACTACCAGACAGCTGGCAAGAAGTCTTTCGCAATGTGGAAGAATCTGTTGAAAACTCGGATGTGAGTTTCAAGCTTATTGCCTGTCACGCAATAGGCGATATTCTAACGTTTTGCATGATTTATATATAGGTGGTTGACTTTAAGGACATAACGGATTTAGACGAGCTTGAGGAACGGTTAGCATTAGATTTGTCCCCAATCATCAACGGAGTCTGGATGACGCCCACTAGTAAAGTCGCTAAAGATGTATGGTGGGAGCTTCCTGAAGGTGCTGAGCGCATGGAGCCTTCTGCTGGATTGTGTACGTCTTGATTGTGTCTTGGAATCGTTGACCTCATAAGTTCACGGTATACTGCAGTATTTTTCGCCGCATGCACTGACATACCACCCCATTACTACTAGTACTATGGCTCGACAAGGTCCACCGCGTATGGAACTATGGCTCTGAATCCATGCGCCGCACCATAGTCGACCTCTTCCTCGCCGACGTCCTCGATCGTCCCGAATTTCACAAGGAAGGTGAACCAGCCCTCCGTGCATTCGGTTCCCAACGCATCGAATGGCTCGACACACGCACCCACCGCGGTATAGGTGGTGAAGTAGACTATGCAATCGGACCCGGCCGCTCCTTCAACGAATATAAAGCATCACCATCGGAATTCGTCGTCACGGTCAAAATCACTCGGGATTGGCCAATGTCTGGTATGGCGCAGGCTATTGCTAGTGCTGGTGCGCTGCACAAGCTGAGGAGGAAGAAGAGCACAAAGACACCGGCTACGGCGTTTGCTATATTGACTAATGGGGATTTTTGGCAGTTTTTTTGTGTGCATGAGGATAAGAGGGTTGTGTCGTCGAGGGTGCATATACGTGCTGGACCGGTATGTGATGTTGAATGTTATGTGGTTGTTTTGGAGTGTGCTGTAATACTTACACAGTTACTTGTAGGGTGTGATTTGTACATGGTTGTTACACATTCTAAGAAACGTCAAGGCACTATCACCTGGAGCCAAAAAGAATCATATGTATCCATTGGAATTCTAAAAGATTCAGAGAGGTAGAAAACCTCTCGTGTAGCATAGATATTGTATTTGGAATTTTGGCAAAAACACACTATAAAACCTAGTCTCACAACCCACAACTCTTGACTCAGTTGTTTGTAACAGCGCTTAAGACATTTACACAATGGGTTTAAATGGTACAGATAGTTTGGATGTATTTATGGTTCAGCGTGTCCAGCACGCTATACATTATAGAAACCTATGCCCCCAACAAATTAAATATGCCTTTTTGTCACAGTCCTGTAAAGATTGGAAATCAACCTTTGCTCGTGCAGTATCCGTAGAGTGGCTAAGAAGAAAATTCGAGTTAGCATGTAGTGTAAGCCTTTTGCTTGTGTTGTGCTTTCTTGCATCAGGAGACTTACTTGACATCCAGATGCACAGTATGTCGAGCCAGTACCACACCATCTATTCGTCAAATTGTTAGGTCAAGACTGCGAGGAAAAAAAAAGCCGATGATACTACAATCGCCAACATAACGTACCCGTATCTACTACAACAACTCTTGCCCCCACAAACTGTTTTAGCGTATGGTCCACACCGCGTGTCTTTTGACACTGCCAAATTCAGTACTGCCGTTGATGCTGATGACGGTAACGGACTTGGTTTCTACAAAAAAATTGAAATGGGTTGAAAAAAATGTATGCTACAAGAGTCATGACGAGAACACCAGGCTCTTTGAGGTTCTTACCATGCTAGCAGCTGGTGAAGCCAACTAGACAAACGTTCGAAACGTTAGACATAAAACTAGACGCGATAATCGAAGGTATCGTGTTCTCACCACACTTGGTGCCACTGAGGCTTGCACTGATGCTATTGAGGCAGACACAGCTGGCGATGCGGCGGGTGATGCCATCTTGGATGTTGTCTGCGTGAAAACTCACTATTTTTAGCAAAAGTGACTAGACAAGCGGAGCGAAATGCAGAGACTTACCACGCTAGGAGTTCCCGATGGGGTGACTGATGGTGTCTAAGTTGAGGAGTGACGGTTCAAAAAAAGTTCGAAGATGCTGTGCAAAAGACGCAGTTGTAGCTGCTTTTGAAGAGTGCTTACCCCACTTGGAGTTCCTGATGGGGTTACAGATGGTTTTATGGATGGTGTCTGATATCATGAATGAGGGATTAGAAAACACTCGCAAATATAGCTGCCCGATGAACGAGTCAAAACTATTTTCTACTCACCACACTTGCAGTTCCTGACGGTATGCCAGAAGGAGCTCCAGAAGTTGCAGCCGATGGCGTTCCAGTAGAAGCAACATACATCGACGTCAGCGGCGATGGCGTCACTGACGATATAACAGCAGCAGGTAATTGACACGTCAAATCAATATTAAACCAATAATAATTGCCATTGCCGACCGTAGGTGAGAATCCCGTCAACACTACGGCTCTCACTCTCGTCCTGTTTACGGCACCGGGTATGACGCTGGCTAACGGCACTATTACATCGTTTTCGACATTGGTCGTCAACAGCGTGTTGTAGTAGTATGTTGTGATTTTGTTTGTGCAGGTTGCGTCCATGATGTCAAACCCGACTGCGAATGTTCCGTTGGCTGGGGTTGCTGATGCGCTGTCTAGCCAGACTCCGCCGTTGCTGAAGACTAGGTAGTTGTATGGTGTTGTGTCGAAGCAGCCTGTTAGTGTGGGAGTTACAAACCACCTGTAACAAATGGCGTATCGTAAGCGTAAGCTCTCAATTCGGTATTTGGAACGTAGTTGCTCGAACTCACCAGCCTCCAACAACAGGCACGAACAGCGTGGTGGCAACCGTCCGTGGCGTCTTTGGATAATTCGTATATGCACTCTTTCCATCAAATCCAGAAGTTCCAGTCAGGTTCGTCTGCATTGGATTCCAAATATTGCGAGCTGCAGCACATGTCGGTGATGCACTTGCAGGGGCAGGCGAAGGAGTGATTCCTGATGGTGCTGGTGATGCGACCACACTAGGTGCAATACTGGGAGCAACAGCTACAGTTCCAGCCAATGGACAAGAGTCCAGACTCATACTACTCCATATGACTTGTACACCCGTCGTCATTGATGAGAATGAGATGGCTTTGAGACGCTTGTTGGATATCCCGTCTGTGAATAGTGGCGCTAGTGCGATGCTTATTGCTTTTGGCGTTGTCGATGATATACTTCCGGCCGTCAGGGTGTAGTATATCGTGTTTGAGACCGTAGCACAATCTGAAAGTTTGAGTGGTTAGAATACAAACATTCTGACAGCTAGTGTTTAAGGATAATTTACCTGCTTTGTAAATATCAAAACCTATCACAAGAGGACTTGTCCCAGCAGGGCACGAAATCATCAAATTCAGATATGAATATGCACTCATATCAAAGCAACCTCGACCTATTGTTGTGAACCAGTACGCTTGGGCTGAGGATGCTGTGAATTGAGTCACGCCCGTCGTCGATATCCTACATACAAGTCAAACTTGTTAACATTGATCGACATGAAGTTCCAATTTTACACTCACGTATATGAACTTCTACCATCAAAACCACTGGTAGAGTACCCAACAGAGTCTCTACCATTCGCCCATATGCTTAAGGTGTTCGCCGTGCAAGCTGGTGCTGCTGACGCTGCTGCTGAAGGAGCTGCTGAGGGTACTCCAACAGCGGCGGATGGTATTATTGTTCCTGATGGTGTCGTTCCGCAGTACTGTCCATAAGCTGCTTGACATCCAGTTCCACAGTAATCTGTTGTCTACAACGAGGGGTAAACTGCCGTGTTTGCAAAGATTTGCAAGAGGTATTCAGAAAAAGGCAAGTCCAGCTTTCGAGACTCCAAATCGAGACTACCACTCTTGAAACCAATTCGACAAGCTCAAACTTGTGACTGAAGGCGTTCGACAGTACATCCAATAAACAGCCCAACAAGGAGGCACATAACGTTAACACGGTAACTTACATTTCCACAATATCCTATATTCGAAAACAAGAGCACTGTCAGCTCCGAGTTGAAAAATGTTATGTCGGCTGGTTGATCAATTCAAGACGCTTCCAAGCATCCAATCTGTACAATCTTTTACGGTACTCACCATAGATACTACAGCATCCCACGGCACATTTAGCAGCAGCTCCACATCTATTTCAAATAGGTTAGAATACGAAGTGATGAGGGTGCAAAATGTCCTATTTTTTCTTTCGTGGAGACAGCTGAGTTTCAAAGAATACGTACTGTTGCGCAGCTGCAATTGCCAGGAATCCAAATAGGACTGCTATACTTAGGGATCTCATCACTTGAAGGCAGTCTTGTGTAAAAGAACCCTTCGTAAGTCCCTTGTGGTCGAGGTTTTAAAACGACCGTCGTGTGAGGTAAGCAAAAGAGGAATAGAGAAAGAGATCGGCCACCAAGCTTCACATTATGTTTACTAGAGAAGGATTCGGTCTATTGTGCGGGTTGTAGCGACAATTCTCGGCATAATATTATGCAAGTCTTGCGATTGGGAGACTGCATCTTTCATGATGAAAGAGAAACAATTCGACCAATGTTTTGACAACGTCTGGAGAGTCCATTTTCTGCTCCGACAAAGAAGATTGAAGCAGGCTTCTAGGCGAGAAAATAGCCTGCTTCGTGGGCAATCAAATATAGTCAATTACCTCACGTTCTGAATACGTGTTTTCCCATTGACATGTTGCTGTCTTGAAAGAATCACCAATGGTAGTCAACCATGCAACCAAACGAGTGCGAAGAGACCATAGCAGAGATCCGATAGCGACCGCGTAATAAATATCAGCGACTTTTCAATGCCGAATCGTTCGAACCCTTCGCTACGTTCTCACTAATGGCACCACGATTTCAAAACTTTATGAAACTTCAACCATGTTTTACTCGCCCCCAACCTAGGCGATCGCTGTGTAAACTAGGCGCAGTTGAGACACTCGTATTATTTTGGTTACGTACAGTCTATTACTCGTTTGTATTCGTTTCAGATCAATGACTCGTTTGTATTCGTTTCAGATCCATGACTAGATCACTAGACATTTTCTTGTCTGGACGTCTCTACCTTCTCTGAATTTGGCTCGTCCGTCTTCTCATCTTTGCTCTTCTTTGCTTGTCTTATCTTGAAGAAGGTAGCGGCTGCACCAGCGGTGAGAACTGCAGCTGAACCAATGACACTTCCAGAGATGATACCAGCCGTGTTTGGGTTGGATGAAGGACTAGGTGTTGGTGTTGAAGTTGGTGCAGGAGTTTGCACTACAGGAGATGCAGCATCTGGAGAAGCAACAATTGGAGAAGGAGCGGGAGAAGCGGGAATGGGGCTTGGAACAGTGGGATTGAAATCTTGCGTGATTTAGAAAAGGAATAATTAGCGATTGTAACGACGGCGGTTATAACACTAATGAAAAAAAAAATACTTGACTTACTGATCAGGCGAATCATCGGCGGATCCATGACATACATTTTACTATAGTCTGAGGTAAAGGCGATTGCGGTAGGGGTTCCAAATCTAGCAGCTGTTCCGTTTGCATTGGTATGGGCACTTGAAACGTGACTTCCCGCGATCGTCTGTACTGTACCGTTTGTCCAAATGACTCTGATGGAGTTACAGAAATAGTCCGCTAAAAATAAGTTTCCAAGAGCATCAAGGGCTATAGAATAGGGCAACCCAATGAGGGCAGTGGTATCTTTATTGCCATCAGTACAACCCAAGCTAGGGCCCCCTCCAACGTTGCCTGCATAGGTTGAGACCTGCACCAAGTTCGAGAAGAAGCGCAAAAATGTAGATGAGGACTCCGGGACTTTCAAAAATTGGTTGCGACAAATACTTTGTCTTTCTGCAAAACGTACCGTGTTGCCAACAAGATCTATACGGCGAATACAATAGTTGTAAGTGTCAGCAACATAGAGTATGTTGCCCGTTGAATCTGAGACAACGGCCGATGGGCCATAGAATTGAGCACTTCCAACTAGAAACGAGACAAGGGTTAGTAAGCGAGCTGAGCGACAACAAGGGAGCGAAATGGCTCAAGACCTCCAAAGTGTAATTACGTACTGGCGCCATTTGTGTATCCTGCTCCAGCGCCCGATACAGTTGAGACATAATAGGTGTTGCTTAATTTTCTAATTGCATGTCCAGTCGCGTCTGCAATGTACGTGCTGTCACTCACAGAGTCGTAATGACTGCCAGCATTTTGACCAAACTGAGCCGCCGTTCCTTGACCATCAACTTCACCGGCTGAGCTCTGCCCAGCAATGGTCAAAATTGTATTGGATGAAGTATCCCAATGACGGACCATATTGTTGCGCTGAATTGAAAAGTTGATGAAAACGACATGTGAAGCAAGCAACCAGATCGATTCGTACCTTACTCATAATCAAAATATTGCCTGATCCATCATATGTGAGTCCTGGAATGGCGTGGTTGGTCAATATTAGTTGAGGATGGAATCCGAGAGTAGAAATCAAGTCAAATATTACCATATGGGTAGTTAAAGTGAGCACTAGTGCCAACTCCATCGTCCGGAGCCGTATTTGCGTAACTTCCAAATAGAGTAGTGGCAGTACTTCCGTCCACTTTTCTGATAAGATCGTTGGTTGTGTCTGCAACATATACAATCGAGTCATTTGTTCGGTCAACGAGTAATGAGAAACCTATACTAAAGGTAGCAAAGGTAGCCGAAGCACATGCTCCATCTACAATCAAGCAGAAAATCGTGGTCAAAAGACAACTGGTCAAATGGATGATTCAAAAATCGCTGACGAGCGATTTGGCCTACCACCGTGCCCATCGACTGTTGTTCCGCAATACGTTGTTACGACAGCTTGCTGATATAGCCCATGAACACGGCATGTGAAGTATGATGCAGCTGCTAGGAATCCAAGAGCACGATACATGGTTTACCAAAGCTGACGAATTCGCCTTGTCCGAGATATTTGTGTTTGCGAACCGCCACTAGGAAGAAATCCTCCCAAAGCAGAGGATGTTAAACATGGCTCTGAAAATTTCCGCACAGAAGCTCTCATTTTCAATCCAGGCGCAGGATGACGTGGTTCGGAAACTAATTTGACGAATGACGAAGTTCAGTACCGATCAAAGTTGTCATCGACAATTTAGGCTAAAGTAAGGACTGTCGTATTTTGTGGCCTACCTGTCCTCTAGCTACGTGTTTAAAGACGAGCGAGACAAATCCAAATTGTGGCCAAGGTTCCAAGATGTTTTACTTTTCTGCTCCATCAAAGAAATCTGTGGTGATCTAGATGAATCCAGCGTAAGTATTCACAATAAGAATCAAACATCTCTGCAGTTGCAACCATCTTAGTGGTGTCTTCCTCGGTGACTTGTCGTTGTCTGCAAACCAGTTGCAAAAGCAAGCAATTTGGCCGATCAGGACAGTCCAACGCGATTCTACAAACAGCACGCCATGCTGCCATTCAACGTTACATTTTCCAAGGGTCGAACGGATTTGCCGCTTCGTTACATCGTACTTGCGCTAACCACATTCCAACGAACTGAAACCGGTGGCGTTTTGGGTCTAAGCGGTCGCTCCTGAACAAAGAGAGATTGGAAAACCGGTATCGAATTTATTTGTTGAAACACAAATGTATTAATTTGCTTGTATTCTTTTCATTCCCAATAATTCCACGCTTACATTTTTGGATATTTACTGTACACCTTTTTTACATGATTGCACTCCTTTGATAGATTTTCTAAACCTTTTCTGTATAAGGCGTTCCAAAGGCAGGCAATTATACAGAAAAGGTTTAGGTTCCTCCTTTCAGCACCGTTGCTCTTCTTTGCTTGCTGCACCTTGACGAATAGAGCTCCAGCACCAGCAGCGACAACTGCAGCAGAACCAATAACACTTCCAGACATAATACCAGCAGTATTTGTGTTGGGTGAATCTCCAGGTGTAGATGTTGGAGATGTTGGTGCTGGAGCTCTAACCTTCAAGAGAAGCAACAGGGAAGCAACAGGGGAAGCAACCGGACCTCCAAATGTCCTTAACCGTACTTGATTCTCTGAACGATTTGAGCTTCCGCATTCATCTTCGGGCACGTCATGAGCCAAACCCAACATGGGGACATTACAATGGATTGAAAAGAATCTGCCCTTTTTGAAGCAAACCACCATTGGGGTCTCTTCTACGGTGCTAGCCAATCTTTTGGTCTGAAGATCTACGCTGATGCTGGATACAAGTCAGACTCCAACAGCAGAAAGAGCTAGACGGGATATATCTACACCATCAATGGAACAGCAATGTTGTGGAGATCTACTGAGCAAACCATCACTGCGATTTCAGCTTTTGAAGCTGAACTAGTAGCGTCGGATGACCAAACAGAGATTTGACGTGGAGACTAGCTTTCACAAAAGCGCTGGAGGACAACATGGATCTTCATATGGTAAAGACTCCTATTCAAGTCTATGAAGACATGAGACGGTCAGCAATCAGATCAATAACGGGGACACAAAGGAATCGTCATATTGATCCCAAATTTTATCGGAATTTGTGACTTAATAGTGGCGAAGACAAATCAAAGGTAACCATATACCAGGCAACCAAACCATTGCTGACAGCTTTACCAAGACTCTACCACCAGGCCATGAATCAAGGGCCGTTAAACACCATGAAGGGGAGAAGTGCCTATGAATCCACTCCAGCCGACTCTACATCTGAATCAATAATACTTATGTCATGATTGCAAATTTCAGATGTAGTTATTAGGGTGCACGAGTTGAAGGGGAAGTGCTGAGATAATGATTCTGTAATATCTAACTCTCACAAGCACAACACGTTTTGTGGTGACGGTTGGCCCAAACTGACTGTTGGGATAGTTCAATGCGACCGTAGTCAATAACAGCTGAATTTCTTGATCTTGCCATTCTATCACTCATTCTATCACTTCCAGCAAAAGAGCTTGGTTTGTCATTTCATGATACTACATTCAAAATGACGCAGTTTCCAAGAACAATCGAACAGACATTGGTTTTGATGGATTTCGCTGAATTTTCTGGTCAAATAGACATAATCGTACTCCATAATAGCGCAATTTTTTTGTGTATACAGGGAAATCAACTCACTCTTTGATTCGCCGTTATATTTCTTTTCACTCACGTACATTTCGGCAATATGTCCTCACATCCGTATGAGAAGCTACACTTTAGAGCGTGGTATTTGAACGTTGCTATGATCCGTCACGCAAAAACGCTCCAGGCAAAACAACCTTGAATCACTCTTCCCAAACCCTCAATTCTGTCCTTCTCGAATTTTGTCGTGTTTCTCGACCATTGCAACTTCTAGCATCGCAGCTAGTAACATAAAAATGCCTCCAAAATCTAGCAGAGGAAGGGAAAAGAAACAGCAGCCAAGAGCTCTTACGACGTCTGATGTCAATTTGCTCGATGCTGTCTCGAATTCAAACATTGACAGCGTATGTTGGTGTTTCGATATTAGTTGCACCGGATAGCATTAGAAACTTGATATTCCTGTACTATAGGTGTATTCAAGCATGTGGGACAATGCCAACGTCGAAGCCAAGTATCCAGTTTCGCTGGCTTCACCGTGCGTGATTTTCACAGTGATTCAGCAAACACGACGTGTACCAACACGACTTTATCCATGCTTAGGCTATCAATCGCTGTAAAGACGAACAAGGCACTTGTAGTAAAGATACTCTTAGAATTCGGTGCCAATCCAGCAGCAACAGACTCTTACGGAGCGACGCCACTACATTGGGCTTCTCTATCCAACGATTCAACAAGCCAAGAAATCCTACAAGCATTAATTGCCAGAGCAAACTCTAAAGGATTATCAAGCAGAGACTCGTTTGGCTCAACACCGCTTCATTTCGCAACTGTGGAGAACAATGAAGGCGCGGTGTTAGCCTTACTGGAACATGGCGCAGATCCAACCATCACAAACAATGATAACAGGAAGCCAAGTGATATTACAACCAGTGATATTATCCGCGCAGCATTGATTGAGAGTGAGATTCGAATTGCTGCAGCCAATTCAGCAAAACAAGCTAAACCGAAAAAAGCAAAGAATGGAGCCAAGTCTGGTAGTATGAAGAAGAAGGGATCTGTTAGTGCTGCTGCCGCTAAAAAGACGAAATCTACGCCAGATTTGAAACCAAAAACACCACCTGTACCTGCTACTCCACAATCTGCAAGTGAAGCATCGGCTGTAGCACTACCACCACTGCCAATAGCTAAACCACAACCAGAAGCATTACTGCCGGTCGAGCCATCAGCAGTCCGTGACGAAGAAACGCCTACACAACCACTCCCCATATCATCCGCATACCCCAAGCAAGGATCTCTACGAGCACTCAAATCGAAATCAACGCCAAAAGTATCTTCCTCAAACGAAAGCGTGAATAGGTCTAATGTCTCGTTGCGAAGTATGGTAGGCGAAACAAAGAAAGTGTCTGTCTTTACTTATGCTGCTCTTGAGACGCCCGATGTATTGATCCAGGCAAAGGACAGAAACGGGTTCAAGTCAAGTGAGAAGATAGGCGGATCGTCGAGATCAAGTGATAGGATTGGTGGCATATCGTCCAAAGAGGATATTAGTGGTAGTAGGTCTGTTGGGGGTAGTAAGTCTCGTATGGCCACGAGGGTAAAGAGTCAGACTTTCCAATAAAGTAACAAGTTTTGGAGATCAAGTCAATTTAATGATTGAATGAGAGTTGCAAAGATGAATTAGAATCAGTTTACCAGAAAACGTGAGACTTTGACAAAGTGTGCGTGTGAAAAGAGTCTTGACCGTTGTCTTGATCACGAATAGCGATGGAAGCCAAACCGTGAGGAACGAATACCGTTGATTCTGAATAAAAGAAACGAGCTCCAGCGCACAATTAGTGCTTTACATAGTACGTGCTTGCGTGCCTGCCGTAAAACCAATGTCCCAAAAACATCACGTTTGTGCAAGGATAGAGCCACTGATCCGACGACCGTATCATACAATATATTTGAGTGGATACAATTTGGATGTTTTAGACTGATTTGGCTGTGTGAGTCGCCATAGCCTTTGGGTGTTGGCTTTCTGTCCCAACTGTTGCCTAGAAAGGAACGACACGCTAGAGCGACCAGGAGCCAGGGGATATAGTTCACTATGGAACATCCAACATTGTCTAGCCAGCCAATCAATTTTTTTTTCATGGACCAGACACCGAGTCATTCGCAAGCCAAGGATCGAAACGAAAGTCCAAACCTGAAAGACAACAAATCACAAGTTTCCGAAGAAGCAGCAAAAGATAACTAGACGAACGAAGCTTGGATCACTGTTGGAATATATATAATTTGGAGTATACGATGTGGGGCTCACGCAACAGGAACGTACCCACACAATCAGCTGATGTTACCAAGACTATGCGCTATGGACGACTCGGGGTCAGTAGTAACCACGTAGGTCGACAAGGACAGCAGCAGCCAAGAACAATGGAGGTACATAGGGCCACTGCTGTTAACGTTACTCCTCACGCAAGATCTACCTCAGCTGCTCCGCAGAACCTTATACATCATAATTCGTATGACGTTGTAGATCCGCATCGCAACTTCACCACCAACAACCAACACACATTTCCACATACAAACAACATGGCCTACCAACTGGATCACCACTCAAACGACACTGCCATGGACATGCCACTCACCATTCGCACGGACCTAGACCAGAACTTGATCCGCAAAAACACCACCAGCAGCAACCATAGTAGCACTCACAGCAGACAACCTTCACGAGAGGACTCGGCCATCGGATTGTCGGATGATGACTGGGGTACTAATAACATGAGCATGCTGATGGGCCGTGTATTCAACAAGCTCGATGAAGAGGACGAGCAGCGATTGCTTGCGTCCCCACATAATCCACCTGCTCCCCAACCTGCATCAAACACCAATTATAGCAAGGCCAATTATAGGGTATTGGATCTCCCACCGCCACGATACACGTCGCTGCCTCGTACCAAGTATAGTGCTCCACCACAACGCGGAGAAGTTAGTGTCAAGGAAGCTGCTAGGTCGGCTCCCGATTTGATCTTGTTTGACTCTGTCGACGGATTCGAAGATCCAGCTGTATTTGATCGTGTTAGGCCAGAGGATTTGGTATATGATACCGTCACCGATGCTAGAGGACAAGAAAAGAGGGCTGTCGTAGCTGGATCGCCGATTCAACTCATAGCTCACCTCACTTCTCCCCACTGTGAGCCCGACTTCCCGATCGAATTCTTTTTGGGATATAGGTATGTATACGCTTGTACTTGGCACGATTCATCGCCTTCTCCCACACTTTAGTATTGCCACCTCGTCAACTTCGCTAACCATTTGTCATTTTCGCCGCTCTTCCAATATTTAGATCTATAATGTCCCCTGCCATGCTCTCAAGTCTCCTAGCACTACGCCTCCGCCACTCCCTCACAACAACCCAATTCGCAGCCCCAATAAGGTTGCGCACCCTCGTCGTAATATCGCAATGGCTCGAATTATGTGGAAAGGCCGATCTCAAATCAAACGTCAGATTACGAGACGCTCTCCGCTCATACCTCCAGCTCGTCATCGTACCCACCCCCGAATTCCAAATAAATCAAGCTAGGGAATATATAAAAACCATCTTTCAATCCCTGGATGAACTTGAATTGAGTCAAGTAGTTGGATTAAACAGCCCGGCAGAGGATGTGGGGCTGACACATGCTTCTACGTTTCCAAGACGGAAGGGGTCGTATAACAGTTATCTTAGCTATCATCCACAGCAGCAAGCACCACCGTTGAGAGGCGCCAGTATCACTGCACAGACAAAGCCTTGGGTGCTAGATTTCGGTTCTGAGGAGATAGCGAGGGCTTTCGCCACTTACGACCAGGTACTACTGAAGTTTTGAAGAAAAATTCCACTACATGCTGCTTTGTGATTAACTTTGTTTTTTTGTTTTAGGAATCGTTCATGAAAGCAGAATGGACTGACTTGCTCGATGCATCGAAATGCTCGGTGAGAACTAAAGGAGAGAAGGGCTCTATCGCCAAACTAGTCGAACGATTCAATAAGGTATGGCATGTGCTGACATCATACTGATCTGCATCAACCTTAAAACCCAAGTGATTTTCCAAAAGCTAACAAGCTTTTAACCACAACAAACAGATATCGGACTGGGCATGCACACTCATCCTCCTATCCCCACACATCCAAGTCCGTGCTTCTGTAACCGAGAAACTAATCCGTGTTGCCAGACGGTCGTTGAGTCTACATAATCTCCCATTCACACTCGCCATCACACTCGCAGTTACCCATCCAGCTATAATCAGATTGCAAGATACCTGGAATATCGTACCTAAATCAGCACTTCGAACACTAGAAGAATTAAAGACCGTGTGTGATGTTAACGGAAACTGGAGATGTTTACGGGCTCGCATGAGCAGTCTGCAGTATGATCGTGTTGCGTGTGTGCCACTGGTGGCTATAATACAGCATGATATTGTACTTGTCGGTGAGATGCCATCTCATGTTGCTCATCCAAGTAATAATGTGTCGGGGGAGCAGCTGGGTAATTTCAGAAAGGCTAGAGCTATGGCTCGTGTGGTGACGAGGTTTAGGAGTTTCCAGCATGAGTGGAGGCAGTATGGGTTTATAAGAAATCCGGAGTTAAGTCCTTTCGTCGAGCATCTGAGCACGAATGTCGCTGGATCGGTGCTGGATACCGATGGAATATGGGAGTTGAGTAAGAGACGGGAACCGAAACGTTTATAACGATGAGGAGGGAATTTGGATGTGGTGGTGTTGTTTAAATATGTAATGAACTCTTGCTGGTTAAAGTTGATTCTAAAGCTTTTGGTATTATATCATATTTGTTAATGTAGTATTTTCTGATCCATATACACACTCTTTGTTCATAAATATGAATTCTTTACAAGTATACGTTTGACACAGACGACTGTTGATGTTCGTTATGAAAAGGACAAAAATAAATCAGCGAGTTTCTTAGTATGTGACAAAGTCGCTCAGCAACCATAATCACAACACATACACAATCCCCACATGTTGATGCCATCCTATTCAGTATTCTTGAATGTTCTTAGACGAGAGTGTAAACTAGTAAGAGTCAAATTGAAAAAGAAACTACTGGGATGTGGTGTCCAAAAAATAGCTAAAATCCCATCCACATCAGTTTATGATTTATCTGCCATCCTGACCAACGTCTTCCACAAAGCGTCGTCTCTCACACAGGCTGCGACTCAGCCTTCTACCAACACTTCCACTTCTCAACTGTTTAGCTTTCTTCCATATTATGGGTGCCAAAGCCTACAGACATAGCTATACGGGTCGTCGATGCTCGAATCGTGTCTTCTTGAGATGGACGGTTTAGAAATGACTTTTGAATGTAGTCTTCCGAATGTCCTGGTGATAGGATGTCAGAGTCAGCAGAGTACGTCCTGGCTGATACGAAGCAGATTTTGGCAAGGTGGGGGCAAAAGAAGCATCCTACATCAAAGCATCCACATCCTTTAGAAGTACCTGCAATTCACACAATCGGCCTGATGCTTGAAATGAGTTAAATCTCAACTTGCTCTTCAGTTAGCATCCCAACAAACAAAAGACGCAGAATAGCCTTGCAAGTCTCCAAGACTAGTACAACAGGTACCGGTGCTACGAGATTCCCTCTACTTGGATATACATCCGATATGGCAGCTAGATTGGTACATTGCATTGCACTCTCGGCAACGTTCCTCACACCACATCAGAGGAAAATGTTCAGGTTCTACGGTCCGGTCCCTCTTCGTAAGACGACTCTTATAGTAAAGTTACTTTTCGCCAGAGCAAAGATACAATGTTCATGGGTCGATAATATCAGAGCCTCCAGTCAAGGATCGGTGTACGGAGGTTGATGCATGTCGAAGGACCCAGATAGGCTCACGTGTCATCGCAATCGTTCAGAAAGTGTGCTGATGGACATGCTAGCAGATCAGTTTCGGATGTGGCAGGCGACCGATGAATTGTGTGTGTGAATCTGTGGTTGAAGAGTCGGAATAATCAAATCAGCAAAAAAATGACAAGGCTATGCGGCTATGACATTCATACTTGCCGTTACATCCCTTACACGGAGTCATGCTAGCCCAAACACCAAAGCCCGCACTTTAGCAACCCAAACATACCAAAATTGCCAATTCATCAACAATGCAAACTTATTTAGTGACAAAAAGATTACAAGAGGTATGTGATTAAACCAATAATGGCATGCATGCAAACAGTGCAACCAAACTCGACCATAAAATGCAAAAACACCATCTACACCCCATCAAATAACATCAATGAAAGAAATATTTACTATCCTGCACAACATCTACTCCAAAATCCCCTCTCTCTGGGACAGGTGGCAGCTCAACTTTCAACCAAGCTCTAATAGTCTTTGAACCTCGCTTCAGTCCTTTAGCTTCCTTCCACTGTTTTACTTGTTCAGGTGTCAGTGATACATCTACAGCAATCCGGTTATTCGATACTCGGTCCGTGACTTCTCGCGCCAGACGGTTCAAGATGTCTGTTGAGTGTAGGCGTACGAATGTCTGGCGAAGAAGTTGTGCTAGGGTGTCAGAATCGGCGGCGTGCGTCCAGAACGAGTCGTGGACTGAGGCGAAGCGGATTTTGGCAGAGTTGCATGCAATCTGTTTGTTGTTTTGAAGAGACGAGTGAGTCCGACGAAAAGGGCAAAAGGTAGCTTGAACTACATGCATAGGCCTTTCAGGTCTGCACAGCACTTACAGCCGTCAATATCATATGACTAGCATCCAAAGAATGTACAAAATTAGGTGGGAATGCTGACGACTGTTTACGAGGATTGATTTCACAAGTGTCGTCAATCCTCCTTAAAGTGACTGATTGCATTGGTGTATATACCTACCACGAAAAGTTCAGGTCAGTATGGAAGCAAAAAAGAGCACTACAGGACAAATACCTCTTTAACAGTAGTATCCCGATACGGCTGCACAACAGGCATACCCAAAGGCGTAGTCCATATCATCGGCGTAGTCTTCAACACTTTATCCTTCGACGATTTACCACCACTACCCTTCCTGACTGGTTTAGGCACCTCAACAGCCTCACCATCCCCATCTTCGAGGAGCTCGTCAGGCAATCCAAGACTACTGGTGTCGGCTTTTACAAGCGACAATGTTGTCTTTGCGCCACTATTATCCCTGAGGATTTGACTAAACGATATACCAGCAGCTTGAGGGGTCACAATCCCTAATCTGCCCAGTATCTTGGCATCTTCAATCGCGTCCGGCGGTACATGCGTTTCGGGTATGGATTTACATACAAGTGCAGCAGTTATATTAAGCCACTCTTGTATAGCTTTAGCACCAGCGAATAGCTCTCCCAATGAATTAAATATCAGACGTGCAATGTATTTAGATATCGATGCAATCTGCTTTGGTGTGAAATTATTCTCTTCTCGTGATTCCTTGAGCCGAGAAGCGACTTGCTCTCGTGCTCCTATAAATGTTACTCCGTAGGATTCAGTCATCACGGTCTGTTTTACAAGTGATCGGGTCACTCTTCCTTGCATCCAGGATGCTTCTATAGGTGGATCTATCAAATGTCCATTAAACACGACTTTGCATTCATTACCAGGATCGCGACCTTGAGCTAACTCGTCTTGCTGTCTTTTATATGCGACAGCATGAGTTTCGACAGCTTTGGCAACCAGGTTGGCGACTCCTGAATAGACATCTTGTGGTTTATCAGATGGTATCAGGTTTACATTCTTGGCACCATCTTTGTCACCACCTAACGCAGCATAATGTTGTAGACCATTACATGTCCCGTCTTGATGGATAGGTAGACGAGATGGGTATAGTTCGGGAGATGGTTCATAACGCATGGCGGCTGCTAATTCTAGACAAGTAGCCAAGAGTTGGAGAGGTTCGTCACTCTTCATCCACCATTTGTTACCCTGCAATAAAAACACCGTAAGTGTTACATAATAATCAGAGGACTGTACATTATATCACTCACAGTCAACGGCTGATCAGCGCTATCATACACTTCCTTCATGATATCTTCAGTGAATTGAATACGATCTTCGAATGACACTCTAAGAAAGACACAGAAATTCAGCGAGAGCAAAAGGTGTACTGGTATTGAAGGATGGAGGACCATTACTCACTTGGAAGCACCAGCCAATGTAGCAACCTGAATCTTGAGCCATTCAAGCCCTCGTTTACCCAATGGTTTGGCTTCAGCGAATTCCATAATTCCACGACACAAGTCATTGCCCATATGATTTAGATGCGGTGGTATTGGATAGGCTCGACCACGGAAATCGACGTTATGTGGGAAGTAGACTGTATGGCCCACGAACTAGTAAAGAGTGATTGGCAAAGTTACAATCATGACTCAAAGAGGCCCGTGCCTTTTTTGCATCTTCATCTTCAAACCGAAAGCAAAGAAAGTTTGCTTCACTCTTCCACATAACTTACAGCTTTAGCAATCTCAATCTTATAAGCCTCCGAGCATCTTTGCGAATACAACGACGTAGCTTCATTCTGCCACAACTTTGATTCCTGCAAATACGTCTTTAGCAAACTCGGATCACCCTTAATAGCTTCCTCACTAGGTTTCGCAGGCTGTGGACTCTTAGGCCCAATGGCAGGCAGCCCAGCCACAGCATTCTTATCATCCTTCCATATCTGCGAGACAACATCCAACACCCTTTCATTTACTCTCCAAGGAGTTTGCCCAAGGACATCTAATCCCTTCATCAATATCTTCAAGTGTCCGCCATCCTCATCGACTTGTTCAGCAGCTTTGATATATTCTTGATGTTCGGGACAGAGGAAGATACGGACTAGAGGTGTCTTTGAGGTCAAGTATCCACCAGTGTTTCGACCAATCCATGCACGTGGAGGTGATAACATTGGTAAGAGAGCTGGTGATAGGACTACGGGGACATGTTCCACATTACGGAGTGCTTCGGACGGTCTGAAGAAACCGATGGCTCGCGATCCAACACTGTGTCCGACATAGTGTTCAAATGCTGGGACCATTTTCGGACTGTGGGGGAGAAATTTTTGAGAATGCCAAAAAAGCCGCGTAGATGATGTTATGTGTGAACTCACGGAGAATCTGCATTTGCTTCATCAACTACAGGAACCTTGGCAACTTTCAGTAATAGACCTGCCAAGAAAGCTCCAACCTAGGAAGTAGAGGACAGAATGAGCACGTTGTTCAGTGAAAAAAAGCTTAACTCCCCGACTTTCACATTACCTTGACACGAACGGTATCCGGCCAAATCGGATCCCAATCTCTCTCCTTCTTGTCAACATCAAAAGCATCCATATGCTTTTTGATACGTTTGATCTGCATTTCATATAATCGTCCAGATGTTTGCAGGGCATTGATTTTCAGCTCTGCCTTGAGCTATGAGAACCAAACAAAAAAAGCATAAGTCCACACTACCTCAAGTTCTAGCATCCCAGGAAACATACCAAACTACGTACCCATCGCCGATTAGCAGATTTCGAAGCTTGTTGCAAATTATACTCTCGTTCACAAGCTTTCCCGATTTCAATACTCAATCTAGCAAATCGTGTAGACGAGTTATCACCACCAACAGCATCCATGTCGTCTCGACTCCGTCTACCAGGTTCTACAGCACATGATATGGCGATCAGGGCGGCGGCCTGAGGATTGATTAGAGATACAAAAGAGTGCTCGGTGGCGAACTTCGTTGATGCTGTAGTATCAGATTCTATAGCCCTGAGTTCAGCTCCTATTTGGTTTGCTAAATCACGAGTCCACGACCATATTAGATGATATGGCTGAGATGAGAGAGCGAATACGGATGGTTGGGATTCGGCTAGGGTCTGCAATTCCTTGATGGCTGCTTCTACGGTTGCTCCTTCTAGAACCACTTGGGCGTTTGCTAGCACTTCGGGTGATGCATCTGTTGCCGGCACATGTTCGAGTACGGATTGGAGGTAGAGTAGACCTGAAGGCCGCGATCTTGCCTCTGCCTTGGTAGCAGGTGTTGCTGTTGAAGCAATAGCTACCTGAGAAGTAGACCAGGCTACAGCTAAATCTAATTCTTCCTCTTCCTCGTTTACAGTTTCGAATTCCGTAGCAAATTCTTCAGCAATCTCTCTGTCTAGTCCTTCCTTTTCCAAGGCCGATAGGAGTAACGAGTCGGCCTGTGAATACCCATCTACAACTTTGCCGATTTGTCTCAGCAGCGCTTCAAGAGCTGTTCGTCTAGACGGATCCGTAAATCTAGAATCACGTCGCAAAACTTCTACAGATGTGCCCTGAGCTTCCGCCTCCTGTATAGTTGCTATAGCATGATCCACCATTCCGCGCGACAAGTGCCATCCAACTAGTATGGCATACGTGGTAGTATCACAACCAGGGCCATATGTTCGATTGGCTATAGAATGTTCCCATTGTGCTACTTTGAGAGTATTTCCTTTATTTACATATGCTTCCAAGATGGCGTTCAGGATTGGTGTGTTGAGTCTCAGCTTTATCAAGTCCCTGATTTTAGGCTCATACCACATCATCAGAAACATTTGTTCGGCTCTTATTGGGTCTCTGTGTAAGACCACTCGTATAGTGGCTAGCTGCTCTTCCACATCGTAATAGGTCATCATACGTGGTCCGTCCAACTGAGTTTCTAGCCAGGGACTAGGTGGAGACTGCGGGAGTTTGATATATGATGAGGGAAACAGATCGGAAGGTATATCGTTGTATTCGGTTAGAGAGAGTGGTGATGGGCGTGCTGGCAGATGCGTATTGGACGTTGATGTCAGGCCCTCGACCATAGATATCGAGGCCATTCCCCTGTTTAGAGGCCGATTACATGGCTGTATAGCATCTAATTGTGGAGGAGTAGCCAGCCTCCGTCTCACTTTATGGTAGGTTCTGAGTGTTTGGAGCGACCGATGCATTGTGTCTGAATTTAAATCTAGATGATGGTTTGATTTAGTTACAAAGGGACTCGATGCTTGAACGAATAACGAGCTTACATACTCAAATAACACTTATATCCACGCTTCCATACTATTACAAACCAAAAACAGCTGCACTAGCTTGTTTTGCAGTTTTTTTTATTACCAAAGTTTACACCAAAAACTTATAAAGCCCCATTTACAGCAAATCGCTACCAAAGGAAAGGCGACACGTGCACCAGAAGCATTAAATCTACCTGAAACTTCATCTGATTCTGATTTTGATTTCGGTGCTGATACTGTATATTCGTGTTGGATGTTGGATCTATGGATTGCAGAGGAATACCATTTGATCCTACATTGATGACTACGTATGGCTACCCTCAACGTTATGGATATCAACTGTATCCAGTACCACCACCAGTTGTCCCTCAACGTGAGGCATATCCTCAACATCATCAATTTGCACTGCCATCTTTACTTCCAACGACGTACTACTGTTACGATAGAGTCTCGCAGACTACTATTACCAATACTCCAACCACTATGAGTATCGCATTATCAACGCATGACTTTAAAGGAGTGAGCGGTGTGTTGGCTGGTGGTCATCCACTTTCCAAACTCTTGGACAACATGAATTGTTGATGCAGCAGCAACAACAATACCCTGTATACCCATCGTCATATATACCACCATCTACACCATCATTTATTGAGTCTGTTGGCACTCAAAATGTGTTGGTTGCACAATCTCATCGAGGAGGTGCTTCACTTCCCATCACAGAACAGTACACTTTGAACGATGGCGTCACTGCTCAACCTGCTGCTACTGACTCGCCTGAAGACGGTCTGATCGCGAAGAAACAAAAGACTAGTACTCCTTCAAACAATGTTTGGAAGAGGTAACCTTCTCTCGTTGGAAACTGTTGAACACATTCACTATTAAGTGTGTAGTTGTAGTACCTGGTCATTTGCATAGTATGCGACTAATACACACTCGTATCTTATAGAGGGCATCTTACACGACATGCGAGTTATTCAGTTAGTTCAAGTTCTCATGGCAGGAGTTACTGACGCCTTTTCTGACCCAGATGAAGATTCATTCAGGCTTGAAGCCTCACGCATGTCTTGTTTAAGGGGTTGGTGCCAAAATCATGAGGATTGACAATGTGTAAGATTGCGTCGTTATTGCAGTAGTTGCAAGCTGGGTCATTCATACAACCCTACTCTCGCAATCATCAGGAAGGCGCATCGTTACAATCATCTTCGCTCAGAATGCTACTGAAACTCTTGATCCTTTTAGTATTGTTGCAATTTGCTCAACCTCGAAACTTCGATTGCTGGTGTTGAAATGTGTTGTTTATGCATATCAGCCATGTATATTTGCCAGACGAAATGTGAAATATGCAATGCTGTCTCGATCTCCACAAAGATTGTCGTTGGAGTGTCCATCGATGCTCTTAGAGAAATCGAGTGCTGCGTGTAGAGTAACGCTTCCGTCACGAATTTATTCCTCATTACGCTCAAGACAAATGATCCATATTCGATGCTCATCGCTTTGGATTCGGGTCGGTTGAACGCCTCTCAGCAATGAAACGAGCCATGACCACCAGTTTGACAAGGCTCAGAACTTTCCGGCATTTCGGAGTAGTGTAGAGCAACAAGATGATTTCAGGTCGGAGGGTTCTGATGTCCAGCAGGAAAACGTTAGCAGCGAGCATCATTTATAAAGGTCGGAGGACAGAGAAGGTCATCATTGAGTTCGTTCTACGGCTCAGATGGTTTGAAATATGTGAGTCGAGAGATATACAAGCGCGGTTTTGACAGCCGTCGAAAACAACATCTTGCTCAAGTTACACAAATGGATCTATATACTTGCTGTAAATGTAACTATACAATTCCTATTCTTTCTGCTAAATGAGGCCAACTCTCTATCCTAGCTACAGAATCCTCGAAGGGAGACCACAATGTGGTTTGATACCATAGCAAGCTCCGACACGAGCATAGCATCATTACTACGCATACCACCAAAGGTATTCACCTTCAGAAAAATGCCAGGAATGCCTATACGTATGGTCACCGCCTTCTTCAATTCAGCCACCTTCCATTGTTTGGGAGCGGATATTGCATATGTTTTATCCGCGTAAGACACCAACACCTGTATACATTCACCCTCATTCAGCCTTTCTCCTATAATTTGAGCACTGGACGATGATTGGGACAAGGTATGAGCATGAATACTCGTATCTGTCCACACTCCACAGCTGTAACAGTCTTCATCCAAGGTGGTAACCACACGCCCATCAACCTTGACAACAAAGAGCGAGTCTACTATATACCATGCACGTAGCCACCTATATACATTCGATACCTTGTCCTGAGGATAGACGTACAACACACAATCTCTGTTGTTGTATTTGATGACGACCTTCGCAGGCGGCGAGTCGACATCGAATGACGGTGCGGTATGATGATGAGATACACGATTATTACGCATTGCATTCGTTCCAGTAATCGGGATTTCGACATCAATGAGCTGGTCGTTGCCCAACGAGTAAAAGTTTCGGGGTGTTATGGGCTCGTCGTTTCGGGTCAGCAATACAGGGGCTCCTGGTCTGACTAGTTGTCCCAGAGCTGTGCAACATGATAATTGAAGCTCCTGTGGTTAATGTATAATAAAGTGATTCAGATTCAAGTGACATGTTTGGAGCGAATTCACGTCAACACATACGATGAAACTGTTTGGAATGTAGATAGGAATAGGCCTCACTGCTGTATTACGACGTCTTATGAGCACACGACGTACGATTTGGGCTTCCATCGCTTGTCCATCTAGGCCTAATGAAGATTGTTAACGGTCAACACGAGGAGAACAGCAGTTGAATCAGTGATGCTTACAGTTCCGATGTCGACAAAGAGTTTGACCGTCCCAATGCCGCCTGGGTCTGATTCTCAAAAAACTAAGGCTGGTTCGTTTTTCTAACAGTTTTATTATAACCACTGGATAACTCTATCAGGAAATACCGTGGGACAGATTTAGAGTATAATAATCACAGATGTGATGTTATAAATTTAGCATTTAACAGTAGTAATACATGTCTTTCGACGTGATAAAGCGCGATTATGTGAAGCTGTTATGTCCATAGACCACTTCAATGATACATCAGTCAGACGAATCAGTGATAGAGCGCGACTATGTGAAGCTTGTTATGTCTATGGTCTATGGACCACTTCAATGATCCATCAGTCAGACGAATCAGTCCTTGCTAGTGTGCTGCAGAGTTGTTGATGAGGTGCTTTGCTGACCAGATCCGTTGCAGAGCCTAGGAGTAAAGCACGACTCTTTGTAACATTCAACTTGGCAGCAGAAGCGTTTTCGTATAGTTTCAGCGCAGCCTGCGTGAGATGCCAGTCTTGACGGTTGCGACAGTAAATCTAGATGTCGTCAGCATAGGAAGCGTACTTCATGTATATGGAAAAGCGAGAGCGGAATCCCATGGTTATAGCTCGTATGAGATACAATAGAGGTTCCAGGGTCAGGACGTATAGCAGGGGTGATAATGGATCTTCTTGCTAAGGAGCGTGGTTTCGACAACAAGATTTTGGAAGTCCTGGTTTTGCATTTCTACGTGACGAGAGACATTGTATCTATTTTAGCAATGAAAAGCACGTCGACAAGCCTTCTTCACTACAGGCTTAATAACAGCTCGTGACGTCAGTTTCTGACGTACGACTTTGCTTGCTTTGGAATGTTGGTGTTTTGCAAATAGCACTTGGGCTGGTTGTTTAATACTGGAATCGAGCTGAATCCTGTATTCCGTTACGTATATCTCGAACCATGAAGGCATACGTCGTTGAAAAGTTCATTGAGGTCCCAGAAGACCTGACCTTGACAGAGACATCTGATCCTGAATGTCCAGAAGATGGAATGGTCATTGAGGTATGTAACAATAGAACGTTTTACTGTGAAATTCGAATCTGTCGTAGCATTTCATTCTTGATACATCGCAAGATGTGTTGTTTGTCGTGATTTCGGGCATTTGACGCACCCTTTTACATCAATAGGTCAGAGCTAGTGGTATAAACTTCGCCAACCTCATGTTTTGTCAAGGCAAATATCAAGTCAAGCCGAAATTACCGTTTATTCCTGGTAGTGACGTACGTTTGTCAACCCTATAGCAAAGAAACCTTGCTTAGCTAAGCTTGCAGCAGAGCGATGCAACGACACTCTCTTAACGACAATTCTCAAACTCTAGGTTGCTGGGATCATTGTCCAAATTGGCCCCAAATGCCCAAAACCATTCGCACTCGGTCAACGTGTCTTTGGATCAGGAGCTTCTTATTGTGAATACGTGGCTCTAAGACCGAGCCAAACAGTCGTATTTCGGGTACCTGGAAATATCAGTATGGCGGAAGCTTGTGCCCTCCCAACGAACTTCCCTACCTCATGGATTGGACTTGTGAATCGTGGACGATTAGCTAGAAAGGAGGTTGCGCTTATTCATAGTGGTGCTGGTGGAATCGGAAATTCTGGCAAGCTGCGTTTGAATCGTGAGCAGCTTCAAAAGACAGCACTCTGACCATCTTTTGCGTATTAGCCATCCAGATTGCAAAACATTTGGGCGCCTATGTAATAGCTACAGTCTCATCAGACGACAAGATGGAGGCCTGCAGAGAGGCAGGAGCAGATGTTGTGCTAAACTATGTCGCAGACAAAGACTGGCCTGAAAAAGTTAAAGAAATCACACGGAATATTCCTGGAAGGACTAGAGAAGGTGCTGATGTGGTTTTAGATCCAACCGGACTTATAATCCCATCCACGAAATGCACCGCTTGGAATGGACGTTTGCTAGTTGTTGGATTTACCGGTGGAAACATTGAAAACATACCGACAAATCGACTCCTGCTTAAAGTATGTGTTTGTGAGTTGCATACTCTGATTCAGGTCAAAACTAACTGTATGTCTATCCCTTTTAGAACATAACTGCAATGGGAGTCTACTTGAATGGCTACCGCCCAAACTGGGGCTTCGCAGACGACAAACTTGAACCAGAAATATTGGCCGATGCCTGGGGTGGCATCTTCCAGATGCTGCAATTTGGTCAGGCGAGAGATGGAAAGCCGCCTCACCCTATATTATACAGTGAAAAATATCACGGACTCGAAGATATACCGAGAGCCATGCGAGATGTCTCGCTAACACGAAAAACTTTTGGTAAAGTCGTAGTCACGCATGGACCTGAAGAGCCAGAGCCTGATCGTGGTGCTGGTGGATGGCTCGCCATGATGGCGAATCAGGAAGAGGAGGTGGATGATGATGATGATGATGATATAGAATAGACCTGTTGAGGTTTTTGTTGGCAAGCCATTTTCGTGTTTTGCGTGTTGAGCAGCAAACTATGACGTGAGTACTCAAATTCAAAGTCGATCTATGCGCCCTTCCGTTCCAATTTGTCTTTGTCCAATGTGGGCGATCGATACGCGTCTGTGATGTCATTCGCTCACCATCAATACACGACCGTTCGACAAAATACCGACATCCTTCTCTTTGAAAGCTGTGGACACAGGGGAAGGGACGCTGCAAGCTGACGTGCACAAGGTATCGTGTCGTTGTTCTGTACTTGGCATCTGAGTAACGTCCCAAACGCTAACAACACTTCGTCAAACCATAGATTTTAACAGCTCCAAGCTTTCATACCCAAACCGACAATGAAGGGCTACATTGCAAACGAGTACATCAAAGTTCCCGAAGATCTCAAACTACGGGATGATCTGCCGGAACCAACGTGTCCACCTAATGGGTTTTTGCTTGAGGCATGTCCAAACATTTGACTTGGGAGTGTTTATGGCAGCAACAACTGAGGGACCGCATTCTCATGTCTCATTAATCTTTATTTTGTAGGTCAGAGCCGCTGGCATATCATTCGCATCTCTGATGGTATTGCAAGGAAAATACCAATTCAAGCCTAAATTGCCGATGAGACCTGGTGCAGACGTAGGTTTCGAACTGTCTCCTCAAATACCCTTTTTTCTTACTCACTTTCTTACATAGGTAGCAGGAATCATACTCGAAGTCGGACCAAACTGTCCCAAACAATTCTATGTTGGTCAACGAGTCTTTTGCGGTGGGGAAATAGCTGAACGTACGGCTGTTATACCCACTGAAGAGACATTCGAGGTGCCGGCGAGCTTGACGATGGCTGAAGCTGCGGCTATTGGAGTGAATTACACTACGTCGTGGATTGGGTTAGTGAATCGAGGGAGAGTGGCTAAAGACGAGGTTGTGTTGGGTAAGCTGCGAGAGAATTGGTCAACTTTGTGGTACTTGATTTGGCTGACACTTTTCAAATATCATATAGTTCATTCGGGAGCTGGTGGAATCGGTAGTTCATGTATGAGGCCGCATGTTGCAAAATCTACACACAAACTCATCGCTAACACTTCATTTCCTTCTAGCAATCCAAATCGCAAAACACCTAGGAGCATACGTCATCGCCACTGTATCATCCGACGACAAGATCCCCGTTTGCAAAACAGCAGGCGCCGACGCAGTTCTCAATTACGCCACAGATAAAGAATGGCCTGAAAAAGTCAAAGAAATCACGAGAAATATACCTGGACGCGAACGGGAGGGTGCTGATATTGTGGTTGATCCCACGGGACTTATAATCCCATCTACCAAATGTACTGCTTGGAATGGACGGTTGCTTGTTGTTGGATTTACTGGTGGAAAGATTGAGCAGATACCTGCGAATCGGTTGTTGCTCAAGGTATCGCAGGTTTGTTGTTTCCTTGTGACTTGTAGAGTGCCTTACTTGGTTTTTGATTTTGATAGAATGTCGCAGCTATTGGCGTCAACATTAACGGATACAAGAAATCATTCGGGCAGACTACGGTAACAGAACCAGGAGTGCTGGATGACGCATGGAGAGGAGTACGTGTTGGAATTCTCGCAGCATGTGGAGTGCGCTCTAATTTTTTCTCCTTAGCTCTTCCAAATGTTTACAGAAGGAAGAGCACCAGACGGCCAGCCTCCCAAACCAATACTATACCATGAGAAATTCGAAGGTCTTGAATCACTACCACTAGCTCTGAGAGCATCGTCGATGAATAGGGCCTCATTTGGTAAAATTATGATTACTTTTGGACCGCCAGAAGTGCTGGTGCCACGTAGTAGCCATCTTTGAAACTTGTTTTGGAAAGAAATGACGCAGATTAGGTGTTGTCAGCTTTGAAATTTGGTGTTGACGAGGAAATGACGCGGATTAGAATATATTGTACAAGTTAGTACTAGTTGTAATGACTCGCAATAGAACCTAGGAGTATTCAATTAGGACTATAACGAGCCGGGTATTCTGCTCATCCTGTAGTTCTTCTTCATTAAGCAACAAAGCCTTTTGTAACCTCGACTTTTTCGTGAAGCAAGATAAAGAGATAGCATCAGAGAGAATAACTCCATCAAACAATAGCAGCAATGTCCAGTAAAGCTCCTCCACCACCTGCGGATGTATTAGGCTGGACTAAAGGCTATTGGGCCACAAACACTTCACGAAGTGCAGTCGATTCACATTTCTTCAAAGAGGCAAGTTTTTTTTCACTGGTTTGGCGTCTGTAGCCATGGCTGACACGATGCATGGATCTATTATCGTCTTAGCTTGAAATAGTGGAAGCAAAGCCTGGCAAGATACGAGCCCGTTTGCCTGTTTCAAAGGTATCATCAACATTTCTGTTTGATTTGGCAAGACGGGCGGGTTTTTTTCTAACGAATGGTTACGATTTAGGTTATGATCGTAAGCGCGCACTTAAATATTTGAATTCGTGTATATCCATATATCTATTAACTCCTCTCTATTTGATGGGCTTGTCTCAGAACGGGTTTGGCACTTTACATGGTGAGCTGCTCACAAAGTGTTGGCACAAAGGAATCTTGCAAATGAGATCACGATCTATTCAGACACCATCGGTCGAATGTCTACGTGTACAACCTGTAACTCTTTGCATCAACTGTCATAGGAGGAGCAATCGGCATCTTTATAGATGCTCTTGGATCTCTCGCCATTGCTTCAAACGGGCCCGCTTACGCAGCACACGTCTCAGTCGACATCAACACGACATTCATCGCTGGAGCTAATCTGGGTGAAATCTTAGAATTGGAAGGTGTTGTTGACAAACTTGGAAAGGTTAGCCCAAAGGTGCGCATTGTAGTATACTCTTATACTAACTGCGAAAATAATTTAGAGTCTAGCATTCACATCTGTATCAGTCAAGGTTGGAAACAAGGTCGTTGCCTTGGGACGACACACGAAATTTATGATGCCACCACCAAAACTTTGATTTGTTGGGGTAGCAGTGACCATCCTATTCTAATTGAACGTGATCTCGATATGCGTATGAGATTAAAATTTTATTGTATGAGTTTATCTTGGAGTTTATACACGGTGTTTGGTTTTAACGGTTTCGAAAAAGTTGCTACTAGTACTGGCTGGTTTCGTTAAAAAACGGTGATTTATGTCGACACAGGTATAAGCGACAGAGAGAGATCTTCTCTCCGTCCTTGGAGCTTTCTATGGAATCCAGAAAACCGGTGGTGGTGCGCCATCCTGACTCTCGCTCGGTTGGAGTGAAATGCAAGCACCGCAAACCCTAAGACACAACATGACTCGAAATCAGCAATCACCACCTATTTAAAGCGACACACTCTCGTAACAACTCCAACATTCAAAAAACATTACAAGCACTACAGAAGTAATGTAAGTTCTACAATTGAGCGACCACATTGTATATACAAAGTCATTGCATACTAAAACCACCATTCCATTCACTTCTAGATCTACACGCACACCCCACACATAAAACAAAAAATGGTATCTGCATTCAGCATCCGTCGTATGCCAACTGAAGTCATTCCCTTGGCTGCCATGCTATCAATACCCTTCATCTTTGGTACGTGCTATTCCCACTTGGGTTTGCCTTGCTTGAACAAATTTGATCTATCAAACATCCAACTTGATCCTTAAACTAACTATTTCCTATTTCATATTACGTAGCTGCCTGGGTATCTCAAAAGCACTTTACTCAAGACAAGGACCTGCGATTGTCTTCACACATGGGACTCAACCAACGGTCTATTGGAGAACATTGGGCTCGAAGATTAGCGGAAAATGCTAAGAGACAATAGTTTATTGATATGTCAGCTGGCTTGACTGGCCGCCTTCTTGTACACACCAATGTTCTTTTATAACCCAACTGGACTCTTAAATAATAATATACTAAACTTTTTACGTATTTCGATATTGTGCATGGTGTGATCTAGAGCTGTTTTGTCGTCAAAATTGCGCACGTTTCAATATTACGCTTGCAAAGCTTCGAAGCTGTTGCTGCTATCAATCATTTTGGTTGGGTTAAACACGCATCTGGCCGGTCGCTCTATGAAAAGTGATGCGTGGAAGAGTATCATGTAGCCGATTCTGAAGATTCGAATAATGAAGATCCAATAGAGGTTTAAAACTAGCTCAATGTTTGATCAGTATGGAGGCTCTGCGCGTTTCAAAACCTGCCAAGCTGCTCCCCACCAACAAAAACAACAAACAGCCAAAATGACCAGCTTAAAAAGGTCATTCGTGATGCTTTTGGTATCTATGAGCTGCATCACTTCAATTCTCGCTGATATCATTAGGTACAATTACCTCGATTTCAACTCCGCCGCGAACTTTTCCAAACAAATCGAGCTTACAAGCAACCATTGGTTGTTAGGATACCAACTACTTATACCACTCAAGACTCATCATCCGGATCATCTAAATTAGCTGCCGATGCAGGCTTGATATACTATGGTGAGTGAAATTGAAATCAGACATGTTGCGTACTAGTCCGTCCACAACAACACTTTGCAAGTTTTGCTCAAACTTTTGATATAATAGGGACTCTGGCGGCCAAGATCTCTATTGGAACACCATCTCAGACCGTTAGAGTCACGGTACGTGCTCTTGAAACACCTTGATGCGAAGCACACAGTCGCAGCTGTCGGAGTTGGGACAAAAAAAGTGTTGTGTCAGCAGTCCTCACCAACTCACTTTTTTTCAGCTTGATACTGGAAGCAGCAAGCTTTGGGCTCGAGGAAGCTCTTGCACTGCATCGGTATCGTGTCCTGGTGCAGCAGGATCTTTATCATTTGATCCAACACTGTCGTCGACCTTTATGACGACCAGTGCGAATGTTACGAATATCGCCACATATGGTGATGGGCTAGTGGTTTTGGGGGTTGTTGGATCTGATACAGTTGCATTGGCTGGTATTAGTGTACCGGGCTCGACGGTTTACTATGCTACTTCAATTACGATTGGCACTGCGACTTTGAGGACTGATGGTGCGTAAGCCATCTTTTGGATCTTTAGAACTTGACTTTGATATTCTTTGCTCTGAAAGGTATTTTGGGAATTGCCGCTGGAACTTTAGGAGTATTTCCTACATGTGAGTTGATGTTGGTTTTCAATCATGACCAAACAGACTTCTGAGGTTTTTTTTCTCTTAAATTTAGTGGAGAGCCAATCTATTTCTGGCCACTTGCTTTCCACCAAGATCCTAGACTCGAATATATGGGGATTTTGGTATAATTCGTCAAGCAGTTTTCGTTCACACAGATCGTGAGCTAAATCTTGCTCTTCAAACAAGGCAAAACGCTTCTGCTGCAACTACAGGTCTTACATACACAGATGGGCTGGTTACTTTGGGTGGTATCGATGAGAAACTGTGAGTGTATGGACGTTCAAAGTCATCAATAGTCTTCTTATAATGATTTTTTTTGGCATGACAGATACTCTGGTAACATTACATGGATTGACTTAATGTGGAAGCCATCATCGATACCAGCTAGCCAATCGTTCAATGCTCAATACTGGTACGTGAGCTCGACTTAAGGTGGTGATCACTTGGATCACTCTACTGAAGAATTTGTTGCGCTTTAGGTACACGGCTTTGACTGCTTTGAATGTTGGAACTACCAATGTCTTGACATTGTCAAAAGGAGGAAGTGCCTACGTATTCGGTCAAATCAGTTCGTCAGGCTTTGTTATCAACACGCCTCTAGAACTGCCTCTTTTGATTGATACTGGTAAAAAAACTGCTCTACATTATAAGGGATGCTGCTCCACAGTCTAACTCTGCTGGCGCGAACTTTAGGCACGACATTATGTCTTCTCCCACAAGCAATGGTTGACGCCATTGGCTCCCTCCTACAAGCTCAACAGAGCACCGTCCTGGGCGTGCCACTATACGGTCCCAACTGCAGTGCGATTCCGTTCGCATCTTTACCAACCATCACATTTACAATTGGTGGAAAGATATTGGCAGTACCGCCAACAGGCTACACATTTGCAAACCCCAAAACTGGAGATTATTGTACAGGTGCTTTTGTCTTCCAGGGTTCAGCTGCTCAATACAATGGTGGAATTCTCGGGAATTTGATTTTGGTAAACACTGGCAGGTCTTCTCGTTTGATGGGCCAACGTCACTCATCAATTTTTGCTGTTGTAGAGGTCATTCTACACTTTATTCGACGTTTCTAATCGTCGCATCGGATTTGCTACGCCGTCGATGAGTGGAAGTGGAGCTGGCGTCACGTAAGTTGAATAAGCTAGTGTATCGAGACAGTTGCCTAAACACAACCTTTCAGTTTTCAAGACCCAGCTGCTAATGGAACTTTAGCTGGAACAGCTAATACCGCTCCAGCCAATGGAACTATTACAGTCGGAAGTGCGTCAGGAGCATCTAGAGTGGACTTTGCTTCTACATTTAGTTTGTTGGCTACCGTATTGGTAGCCACGCTGTGCTTGTCTTCTTAACATTGTGACCTCATATACCGAAACGCATTACCACATAATTAATACCCATTGGGAGCGTAATACATACTTAGTTTCAGTCATTTTTGGTATACATTACGAGGTTTTCTGAAACGTTTGGAATACTCTGTTGTTTATTAGCGATAGATCAGGTTCGTTTTGTTACAGGAATGGCGATGGTATTATTTCCGGTAAATTCTGCAACTTTCTCGTGTCTTCTGCCTTCAAGGTATCTACAAACTTTGGATATCTAGAGTATGTCAACACAAAAATGAGCATCAACAATGTTTCATTCTTCCCGTATACGGATTAAAACTAACTCTAAAACACTTACACGTTCAGATACAGCCCCTTTACAACATCCTGAATAGCTCCCTTGAATATAGATATCTTGGGTGCCGGTCCCCCTTTAGCATACAGTTCAAAAGCATCGAGAATAGGCTGATTGACCCGTTTGGGAATATTGATTTCCATCATTGAAAGAGGTCGACAATATATATCACATATCGCCTTAGCATCATCAACAATAGAACTGGGCATTGGGTCATCTTCAGTCAAGAATGCCGCTGGTTTATCATCACCAATGGAAATCCGGAATTCGGTGGCTTCATCAGCACCAGCGGTTGCAACGATGGTTCCAGAAACATGGGTGGAAGCAGAAATGATACCCGAAGTATGGTTGGAAGTAACGGGGGCTCCAGAAGCATGGCTGGAAGTAGAAGGAGAGTGGTGCATGCCAAACATGTAAAATAGTTGGGCTCTCTCACTAATTATGGGTAGTTTTGGGACGTCCTGCTTCGGGCTATCCAAAGATGCACCACTGGCAGTACTTGTTGTTTTCGAGACTACTGTAGAGTGTCGTCCCAGAGAAGGCTCTCCGGATATCCGTCTCGATGACGCTGACGGTCGCCGTGACTCTGATGCTCGTCGATGTTCAGGAGTTGGTGCTTTCCTGTATTCTCCATCCAGACTTAATGAACTGTGAACGTATTCAACAATCATGTTAGAGTTAGTTCAGTCCGTTTTGAGCCCTTCACGTAGCGACAAAGTGAGCAATCTGAAGTTACCTGCCAAGCGGTCTTGCCTCAGTCGTGGAAATTCTGCCTTTAAACATTGCCGTAGCTGATTTTTTATGATCGTGCGGCTTTGGTGGCCATACTACTTCATTCAGTCTCACAATCTCCATCATGAATGTGACATTTTCAACACAAAAAAGTTGAATCTGCGTTGAATAAAAAAACGTTATAGAGAAATTGAAATGCATTCTCTCAAATGTTGATGACACTTACCGAAAACGTCTTTAATTTCTTCATCATTTCCTTATCTCTCAACAGTTTGTGAAAGACTATCTCGCTCCTCACTGATGGTATTGCAACAGAAGTTGAAGAAAGCGTAGAAGGCATACGATTCAAACTTTTTCTGAATAGCGCTATAATTCTTCTTGTAATACTGTAACTATTCCATAGCGGGACCAACTAGGTAGAATACGTTAGCTTTCCAGCCCAGTCAATCACTTATAGGAAACAGCACATTACTTACAACTGATGCAATAAAGAGCAACCCGAATATCAATGCGCCCTCGATTCTCGGAGGGAATGAGCTGTAAAACTCACGAGAAATAGGGACAACCTCGTCGAGGGTAACGTAAATAGCCGTGAATAGCACTGCTATAAACTACAAAAGCGATACTGCGAGTCAGTTTGACAATAAATGATGCGTGCAAATTTACAAACGTGACTTACATAGTTCACTCCAATATCAATTCGTATACCGAGCTAGATTACGAAAGGATATGAGCAAGAAGAGTCGTTGATTTCTCTCGTCCAAATTGGACGCAAACCAAAGTACGTTTACCCTATCATCACACTTTCTGGTTTTGTACATCCAAAATGCCAAGAATGAGAACAGGATTGCCGCACCTACAAGTACACAATTAAACTCCCTAAACAGCAAATTCATAGATTAGATTATTAGTGTTTGAATACCAAGATTGTGCAAAATTTGTGGATCGTTTCATACCAATTCTGGAAATCACCCAATATCATACAATGTCCAGTTGGAGCGGCTCCATCTTCAAAGAGTGAATGGGTTTAGAGTATGTTCTCTTGCTTGTGGGCACATAGAACTGTTGAACTTACATAGTGGCGAAACAAGCACCACTACGATTGCAAGGATGAACACCATGATCAAGGCTGCTGTAAATGTAATCCAAAAGACAGTATCAACTCCGTTCCATCGTTTCTTGGTAGCGTCCGCTGAAAGAGAATTAGAAACCATAGATCTGATATGGGAATTACAAGCACAAACCTCAAGTTGATGTACCTTTTGGTGGTGCGCTTGCTTTTGTACTGGTCATCAGATACCGAGTGTCCATATTGAACAATTCTGTTTGGTCTCTGTGGAGACACGTAGAAGCTGTTGAGGTGATGTAGACACGAAATCTCAGTTGATTGCTAGGCTTACGAGTAGATAAAGAAGAGGCGTCGAGCTCGTCCCTATAAAGGACTTGTCAGCGTACGCAAAAGCCGCCAAGAATCAGTTGCCCGTACCCATAGAGAGAACATTGCACTATTTTAAGGAAGCATGTTCTAGTAAAGCTCGAGCTTAAAAATAGCGAAAAGAAAAAAAAGCCAAACTTACAATAAAACAGCTGTAGGTGTGACAATAGCAGGCACCGTACATGATGCAAAATCACTTTCCCAGTATGCTATCCCAATATTGTGAATACCCATTAGGATGGACCTGTTGTAATAGAGGGGGAGTTCATTGGTTTGATTTGTCTTTTACAGAGCAGATGACTTTGCGTACGCCACAGAGATGAATAAAATCATCGTCACACCCCTCTTAGCAAGATTCTGGTCTTGTCGAGCCCTGAGAACCAATAGAATGCTGGCAGCAATCACTACTGCAATCCATATTGAGCCTTCAGAACAAGGAGGAGGTGTTAGTCTTGACGCGAAAACAAAAGAGAGGAGTGGGCTGTATCAACAAGAAAATTCCAGACTCACTCAGTATAATAATGGCATCAACAGTCGACGGTTTCAAGTATCGATCCTGGAGAGCCACGGAACCAGGATATGGTTTTAGTAATGGAATAGTCCAATTGCCAATAGTGTCCCAGGCATCAAGATCCATGATGGCATCCAGCACAAGGGCACCACAAGCGTTCTTTGATGATTTCGTTATCTTCAGGCAATCGTTTGCACAAACATTCATGGAATGTTTACACAACCTTAGGGTCGATTGGAGGTTTAGACCCGTAGTCTGGGAGGATGTCGCGATTTCGGCCAGCTCACCTGAAACATATTTCGGATGGAGCCTGCGCCCGACTTCCATCCAGAATTCTGGCGACCTCGACAAAGCGTAATCTTGGTTGTGCCCAAACAAAAGTACGCAATCACCGAATGGCAGATCTTGGAACGGTCTATGGGAAATTAAGTTTAAAAATTCAAATGTCAAAGACTCATTGGACTAACTTGCAGATAACCTGCATTGGGTCTGCTGGTTGTTTTCAATGTTTTATAGTCACTAAACGAAAACTTCTTGCAGGAAGTTACCGACGAACAGAGTGTTACAGTACCAAGCACTTGCACTGCTCTCGACATATATTCACGGTCATTTAGATCTTCAAGGCCTGGGATTTGGTAGACTATCGTGGGTCCCAAGTCAAACCATCTGAATGCCATTCTTCGCTCTACCAAGAAAGACAAGGCAAAAGTGTAATCGAGCACTACAAAAGCCATTATATTGACGCAAAAATCCATTAGTGGCGTCGCCTGGCTGATCGTGTAGTACGGACATACCCGTGAGATCCCGTAAGCTGTCTATGCATCAAATTCTATGTTTCATCATTGTCGGTAGTTTTGCAACGTTTTCTGTACCGATCACTCAGATTTTACATGTTTGCTATTATCATAATATTATACATTCTCCATTGTGCAGAATGATTCAGGCACACCCATTCAGCAGCCAACTGGCTGCTCAGCCCAAACATGCCTGGAATCTGAGAAACTTCGATGTTTTATTTGCAGTATAGTCTACTTCACAGGAATAGTGTAGTTACTATTTCTGGCAGATTGAGCAGCCGTTTTGTGTCTTCTGGTTTCAAGGTCTCTAAGAACTTGGGATACCTACAAGTGGAAAGAAATGAGGTCAACGTTTCATTCCGACCCAAAAGATCCAAAAACACTTGCACGTTCAGATAGAGCCCTTTCGCAACATCCTGAATAGCCCCCTTGAAAATAGATATCTTGGGTGCTGGCCCGCCCTTTGTATACAAGTCAAAAGCATCAATAATGGGTTGATTGACTCGTTTAGGAATATTGATTTGCATCATTGACAGATGGCGACAGTATAAATCACATAGGGCTCTAGCATCTTCAATGATAACAGCCGGAATTGGATCATCTGCCGTTAAGAGGGTCGTTGATGGCTCTGCTGCCTCATCTCGAACGGCGATCCGGGTGTCAGGGTTTTCATCGGCGTCAGCACTGTACATTATTCCTCCTGGAGTAGCACTAAAACCTGAATTGCGCATTACAGTGCCAAATAAACACAAAGATCGAGTTCTGTCAACGATGATAGGGAGTTTCACACTCTCAGAAGGTCCACCACTGGCTTTTCTAGCGTCTACAGAAGGGCGCCCAACTGTGGCTGACTCTCCGGATATTCGCCTTGCTGCTGTAGATAGTCGTGAATCTCCAGATATTCTTCGGCTTTCAGGACTTGGGGATTTTGGGTTTTCGACAGCCAGACTGGACGAACTATGCCAAAATCCGCGAGACACGAAGAGTCAGAGTCGTCAATTTCTGAGTTTTTGGGGAGAGAAACTGCAACAATTTGAGGTTACCTGTCAAGCGATCGACTCTCGGTCGTAGAATTTCTGCCCCTAAACATTGACAAACTCGACTTGCGATAATCCATAGCTTTGGGTGGCCACAGCACTTCATTCAGTTTCACAATCTCCATCATGAATGTGACGTTCTCGACGCAGAATAGTTGAA